GATTTTTTGTGATGAAATTTTATTTCATTTGTGCTGCAATAGGTCCATGTAGAAATCAACCGCATCTTCATACTGCGTATGACTAGCCGGAAGATCTAATGATCCAGGATGTTTTGGTTGGTTTGAAGCTTGTTCTTCGTCATGGAAGTATAATTACGACATGTTTAAAAAATTTATTTTTAACAATTAATTTGCTTTGAAAATGTTTACAAATATCTTATATGTATATATTGTTGTTTTTTAAAAATTCTTACGAAATCAAAACAATAAAAAACTAGAATTAAGTTCCACTTATAAAATACGGCAATTTTTCATATAAATACGACCTGTTTTAAAAAAATTCCTGATTAACAATTTTCGTGTTTTTTAAAGAATATCCACACATCAAGAAGAGAGTGATTTTATAATGTGTGAGATATTCTCTTGATACGATTAGAAAAAATTGTAATAAATTCGTCTTATAAGTAGAAATGTTGGAAATTTTTGTGATGAGATTTTATTTCATTTGCGCTGCATGTCATTAGCTCCATGTCGAAATCGACTGCATCTTCATACTGCGTTTGACTAGCCGGAAGATCTAATGATCCAGGATGTGTTGGTTGGTCCAAAGCTTGTTCTTCGTCATGGGTGTATACTAAAATTTTGAACAAAAAATGAGAAAAGAAAGAAATGAAGAAAGTTACAAGAACTACTCACAATCACCATAATAAACTTGTTCCCGTTGGTGGTCATTTTGCCGCGGTGCTATGTAGTCTATGTTCCATACTTGGTATCTATTTGCCATTAGTTCGTTTGGTTCAACTTCATCGTTTGTTTCATTCGAAGACTGCGTAAAAACTTGAATTAAAACCTCTGATATTATCACATTTCCCGCTCCGTCGAAACTATGCATTAACGTTTCTCCGATTGTGATTTCGGAATCACCCATTGGCCGTTCGTCATCACTTGAGTCAAGCGTTAGGTCGATGACCTCTTTGTAACTTGACTAGTCAATCTTTTCCTTTTCACTAAAATGATCAACTGTTCGTAAAATAATAATTAACTATTGCAACAGTAACATTTCTTTAACAAAAGATTAGGACACAAGATTTACTATCGCTCGTGACTTCATCATCATTGGTTTCAATATTAATGATCTGGTTCGTTAATCGGCTCTGATTTTGATCCGGAATCTCTTCAACTGTTGGCATTTCGTAATGAATTGCATCATATACAGTCTCATTCGCACCTGACATAGCGTCATCGACTGTTCGTAATAAATTAACCATTGTAGTAGTCAGATCGTAAAATCAAGACACACGACTTACAATCATCTTTGCTACTTTCATTTGATTCATCATGATTTCTGTCCAAAAGATCATCGGTGATAGAAAATTCCTCTTTAGTGGCCTCTTCATATTCATCAGTCTCAATTTTATTGACCAGATCCGTTAATTTGCTTTCGTCTTGATGCCACATTTCTTCTTCTGTTTGCATTTCGTTATGGCTTTCATCAAATGCTTCCTCTGGTAGAGCTAGATGTTTGTTAATCGTTTCAAAAATTATTGCAATAGTCACATCGTAAAGTCAAGGCACAACACTCACAATCGCTTACAGATATATTGTCATCGCTTCTTTCATTTGATTCATCATTATTTCTGTTCAAAAGATCATCGGTGATAGAAAATTCCTCTTTAGGGACCTCTTCATATTCATTTGATTCATCATTATTTCTGTCCAAAAGATCATCGATGAAAGAGAATTCCTCGCTATTTCCCTTTTCATTTTCGCTCGAAGAATCATCAGTCGAACTCTGATGTATTTTTGATCGATTGTCGGACTCTCGCTTAAGACAGGCAATGGGAGTATCGTCTTCCTCATCAGAGTTGCTTGATATGTACGAGTGACTTGGACGAACTATTATAGTGTGTTGCAATAGTGGGAAAATTCAGTGAGATACCGAAATAAAAATGTAAAAAAATAAGCTGATATCAAGGATATTTCATTTCTTTGTACAAGAAGCACCAAACACTGCTCAAATTGAGGTTAGAGCTATTTACCGCTCATTTTTCGACGCCAACTTATTGAAAAGCGTAATTCCTTGTTTCATTTATTATTATTTTTTTTTTTCAAGTACCTTTTTTAATCCATATCCACTCAATATCTTTTTTTCTTGCGGTATTGCCAACAATTTTTGCACCATGGTGATGTTTTTTAACCTTCATATGCCCTTCAAAAAAAATTACAAATTTTACCCTTGTGCGTGGATTTCTACGCATATGGAATTTGTATGGAAAACACATATTTTGACAGATTTTTTGAAGATATTTTTGATTTTACTTGATTTTTTTCAAAAATCATTACATTAAAAGTGATTTGTTTTTAAAGTAGGCGTTCTACAATACATTTCACGCACACATTTCGATTATGGGTGCTTTTACAAACACCTTTAGTACAAAAACAACAGATAGTTTCATGCATATTATTTCTATTTCTCAGTAATTTCTATTTCTCTTTTGATTTCTCAGTATAGCACATGTGACATCTTGATCTGCCTTTCGACACCGATGGAACACTTTTTGCTCTTTTACGAGGAATTTCGAATGATGTAGATGGTAGCAAAGTTGGTGAACCTTCACGTGACATCGAAGACTCACGAGAAATGGAGGAAGACGAAGACTGAATAGCTGGTGAACTTTCACGCCATTGTAGGGATTCTCGGCTCGCTGAAAGAAGCGATGCTGATGATTCAGATCGTGGCACACCTTTTCTCATATCCATGTATGGCTGCGCAAGAGAATATCCAAGTTCCCGTAGAAAATTGCGTCGTAATGTAGTTTTCTGTGTTGTTTGCCAATTCGGTGACACTTCTTTGAAAATGACAAATGCGTTCAAGGCTGAAATATCGATTATATTCGAAAACACGACCATGTGCCAACGATTTGTTTTGCGCTTACAGCTGTAACACGAAAGCATCTTGTCAACCGTATCCACACCACCTAAAGAAAAGAAATCAAAGATCATGTGAAAAAATATCAAATTACCATCAAAAAGTAGCATTTGACAAACCTTTAGTTTTGTTGTAGTATTCTATAATTTCGGGCAATTTTTTGTCGCCGGATCCTACATCATTTGAACTATGCATTGTGCTTTGCAAAATCGTGCACTTGTTTTTTCGTCCGACATATGAAACGAGTGTTGTGTCTTTCGTGAATGCAAAAGTTGACTGGTACAAAGGAACTTTTTTACATTCAAGGAGCTTTGGTGGAATGCTTCTTTTATTTTTTCGCATCGTACCAACCATTGTGAGACCTTTTGATAGCAATTTCTGCCCAAGTTCATAAGATGAGAAAAAGTTATCCATTGTTACGTTGTGACCTTTCAGTCCGCCAATAAGATCCAATACTACGCGTGCACCTTGTCCTTTTTCAGCCGAATCAACACCAACGGCTTTTCCCAAATATGGCTGTATTTTCCATACATAACATGTTTCAGAACAAACTAATTGCCAAAATTTTATGCCATATTTTTCTGGTTTGGATGGCATGTATTGCCGGAACTTACATCGGCCACGAAAACCAAGAAGTTGCTCGTCTACAGTGACACATTCAGATGGATTGTAGAAATCAGGTAAAAGTTCCGACCACTTATCGAATAAATCACGAATTGGTGCAAACTTGTCGGTGGATTTTTGTTGTCGTCTGTTCATGACATCATCGAAACGCATAACTCGGCTCATGTATTGGAATGTTTTCTTTGACATGATCGCTCTGAAAATTGGACGGCCATATTCACCGTCAAATAAATCAACCAAATTTTCATTTTTTGATCTAGGTAAAATAAAAACCCAAACATAAAAATCATCTCAAAAAATGAAAGAAAAATCCAACAACACACCTGTATACACCGGCCAAGATTAGTACAGCGATATACGCATGTAATAAGTTTGAATCGATTTCAATGGCATTTTCGCCATACGTCGCCTTTGCATACGCATTCGAATTCTTCAAAATAATGTTTTCAACTGGTGATGGAAAGAAAAGGAGAAATGCATCTTTGATAGAATCAACACGGTTTTTTGCAAATCTTGTTAGTCCCGGACGAAGTGTGATAACGTTTTCTTTACGCAATCTTCCACTTCGATCTGTCACTGGTTCAGAGTTCCAAACTATGCCATCTTTTGAAATAAACGTTGGATCAGCATTTTCATCAATTTCAATATCGTCTGCTGAGCCATCAATTTCGATATCGTCCGGTTCTTCAACATCAGAATCACTTGTTTCAATCAAACTGTCTTCTTGTAATTCACATTCGTCATCGCTAATGTCGGCATCTTCGTCGTCAGTCTCATTCAATAGTGTTTCCAACTCCTCTTGTGTAAGATATTTTGGTCTAGCCATGTTATATTTTTGAAATTATTCTTCAGAAAATTTCATAACAATACACAACATTGCACACACTCACTAAACTTGCAAACAAACGTTGACTGAATGACGTTTTTTCCGTCAAATACGTTGAAATCCCATATGAGTAGAAATCTACTCACTGAAGGTAGTCTATGTAATTTTTTTAATATTCCGATGCGAAAAATACTTTTGACATCGGGTAACATTTTTTTATGTTTAAAATAAAGCAAAAATTAAAGTCAAGAAGTTTCATAAAAATTGGTTTAGAATTTTTCGAAAAAAAATAAAAAATAAAAATGATATGCGTAGTTTTCTACACCAGGAGCATATAAAGGTTAAGATGAACTTGTAAATTGGATTTTGTCGAATATGATTCCGCACATTTTCCTCCTCTCTTTTCTTTAAATGGACAAATCGCCACTAACACGTATTTCGAATGTTGTGATTTGCCGTGAAGCCGCAAATTTTCCTCTCGTGCAAATTTCAAGTTGCACTTTTTACACGTAATTTTTTTCATTTTCAACACTTTTTAAAACTTTTCAAAATAAACAACAAATGTGACTGATTGTATACGTATTAATAATGGCAAAAACATTTTTCCGATAGGGCTGTTGCACACTCATATATCAGTGGCGCCACCAAAAATTAATACACAAACTACTATAATGCAAAGTCAAAAGATTTTGCGTGTAGACGGTAACACTGCTATTATGCATTGAAATCTCTTTGTGGTAAACTCCCAGAATGGTATTTTCGTGTGATAAAAATAACCTGTGCAAAGTTTCAGCTCATTACGATATCATACAGGCATGGCATTCATACAAAAACCCAATTTTTTTGAAATTTTTGTATAAAAAGTGTGTCAAAATATATTTGTATCACAAAACTTACGTCATATTCGGTTTTCTCGTACCCAAAAACCAATACATATTTTTGAGTGTTTAAGAATACACTAAATATCACTTTTGGAAGAAAAATTGAATTTTTCCCATGGATGGCCATAGGCATCACACCAGACATGACACTTTACTCTATCAACCAAAGTCGCTCAAAATCTAATGGTTTCTATTCCTCGGCACCCCTAATCATCCTGTGAAGTCAGATTTTGAATTACTTTTCTTGTTTGAAAGCTATCGTGTTAACAAATTTTTGCGTACAGGGTACAGGGTACAGGGTACGCACATACATTCGGACATCGAAAAAACGCTAGATTCGTGTTCCCTGGGTCCTAAAACACCCAGAAAACATGTTTTTTGAGGGTGTTAATTTTTCGACCGATTCCAATACTTTACCTTAAGGTCCATTTTCCAAGGCGGCGATTACAATCGTGTACGATTTCAAATCGTTGGCCAAAATCGTTAACGATTGAGATCAATGGTTTTTTGACGCCAAAATCGTGAACGATTTATTATTTGTGGTTTTTTTGACGCCCGATTTGAAAAAAAAATCATGGACGATTGCAATCGTCGCCTTGGAAAATGCACCTTTACACACTAGGTGTGTGCGGAAGAGTAAAACACGTTCAATTTATTTTCCAATGAAAAATGGAAATGGGTATTTTACCCAAGTATCATTTGTAATTTTACAATTAATCGGATGTAAAATAATCAAACTAGAAAGTAAGAAAAATGGCAGAATCACAAGGTTGAAAAAATGCCAGACGATGATCAAAATAAAAACGAGAAATATTCTTATTATACATGTATGTATTTATAATCATAATTAGTTTTGAAAATGCAAAAAGAAATTGACAATAAATAATTTAATAATACCACATTGAATTATATTGACGTTTTTCTTTACTTTCTAATACATATTAATACGAATAATACGAACAGTGCAGCAAGTTGTCATTTTATATTGCAAATAATTAAATCTCATTTTTTTAAACTGAAAATATAGAAATTGGTTCGTTTTTCTTTATCGTCCGGAATTAACATTTGCATATGGCTAAACATAATTATTATTGCTGCAGTAAAAAGTATTTCCAATTGTAAATATTGGTATCTACATTGATCGCAAAATTATTTTTCTTTTTTAGTGTCACTTGATTCGTCTTTACTCACTAAGCTGAGCAGTTGAATGATAAGAAGTGCTTCCAAGGAATCTAATGGGTCCATGAATCCACGTTGAATCCATTTTGGTATAGTGGTCCTTGCATGACTGAATCCTAGTTTATTGAGAATATAGTCGATACCATATGGTTCGATTGATTTTCCAGCCCAAGAAAGCAAACGAACGGTTGGCTCTAAATGCCACGTTTGACACTCGAAATTTCTCCAATCTCTTAAATAAGCTTCTATTTCAGACTTATTTAATTTGGCGCTAATTGTTTTATTATTCAACATTGTTTGTAACTTTTCCGTTCCTTTCTTTGATTGATTTGTACTTCCATCGGCAGAGGAAGTGCTTGTTAAGGATGTTGTACTTGTTGGTGTTGGTTCAGACTTCTTAGCATCACTAGTAGGTGAATTACCCGATTGTGATGGATTTGGTGATGATGCACGTGCATTTTGAGAGATCAACTAAGATAACATCAAGTAAAAAAAAAATATTCAAAGCTAAGTCATCAGACTATTTATTTTCCTAAAAAAATATGTTACCGTTTTCTCCTTCTCCTTAACATAGGATGTTATCAAATCGTGTAAGAAGAAAAAAGCGTCTGCATCGACTGTAACGAAGATATGATCTTCAAACTCTGTTATAAAACTACATTGTACCGATGGTTTATCTAAATGAAAGAGAAAAAAAATTATCTTAAATGTTATGTACATTTGTTGACAATGGAATCGCTCTAATTACCAGAGTTTGTATCTGGTGTGGATGGACCTTGCAAATGTTCTGATTTGAAATGCAATCTTAGACTTGGCAACGCAAAAATCACTTCTCGATTATGATTATTATCTTGTGATTTATTCGATTGACCTCGACTTCGCTCAATGGAATTCGTGTTTTGCTCTTTTTCACGTTCAGACACCGGGAAACGTTCAACAGCTAAATGAAAATGGAATAAAAAAGTCCCAATATTACCCACTAAATTTGTAAATTATCAATAAAGAGAAATTCATTAAATTACCATCTATATCACTATTTGCAAATGCGTATGTAAACCATTCCTATTGATTAAAAAGATTTTAGATTAAAAAGACTATGTGCTAGAGATACGTTAATTATAATAAAATATTAACCTGCAACGTTTTGAACTGTGGCGGAAAAATGATATTACGAGTCATGCGGCACACTGTTGCCAACGAATGAGTTTGATTCGTATTGTTTGCAATGCCCAAACCAAATGTTAACGTTTGAATGGCAATGACATCGTTCGTGTTATCAATTTGTTTAGCTTCGGTAGCAAAATTAATACAAGGATCACGTAAACTAAACAATGCCCATGATTTAGCCTTGAATTTAGATTAAAAATTGTAGTTTTTGTTTTAGTTTTTGCTTGGATAAATTCAATTCAAATTTGTATTTAATTACCTTGAAGTTGATTCCATGAAAACAGGCAAGAGAAATGTTGGTTCCATGCAGTTCAATTGTACCGCCCAAAACAATGCCCGTTTTTGGGAGTGGTACGCTTAATGTTGTCAACATTAAACCCTTTGCCTTTTGAAAGAAAAATAAAACATGCATAAATACAATTGAAGATCGTTTTGTGGGATATTTGCGATATTTACCTTCTTCAGTGGTTTCTGCCAGTGTCTGTGATGATGTGCATCACTGAATTCCTTTGGTTCAAATGAATTATCCGTGTTGAGTGTCGTTTTCCGTTGCCGACGTGATATGCTATTCGATGATCGACTAGAAAGGCGTGGCTCCAGGTTTGTAAATACACGCTTTGATGATTTGAATTGTTGACTGAAGAATTCTTCAAGCTTATAAAACATTTTCAGCAAATCTGCCGTTGTTGATTTCGATATCATCATTTGGAACTGTTTGAACAATTGTATAATGGTTACCATTGATGTCAGCTACCATGCATAAAGTTCTAATTACCTGATCCCAGCTTAAATCTCCATGTATTAAAATGATTGTAGGCCGTTCATTTGGAAGCATTTTACCAACTTCAGTTGAGCACTTCCATTCATCTCTCATGGCAACGTTCAAGGAGCTGATTCGGGTCATCAAACACTAATTTTTTAAGGAAGCATAAAATGAGCAATCATCATGCTTGGGCTTGGAAAAATATTTATATAAAAAGCAATACATACACTTGTTCCCATATAGTCCAGTCGAAGTTCTAGTGCCGCTAAATTTAAACCGATTCGGTGATGCGGTTCTAGTCCCTGTTCTTCCCAAATATGGGTGTATGTGTTAATTAGGTTCAAATCTATAGTTCCACCTACAATGCCACCCTTAGCATCGAGCGTCGAGCCTCCTAAACCAAATCCAATGTACATATTTTTACGACCTGTACTACCAATACTTAATCGTCCATCACTTCGGAATGCTTTTGTTAGCCAAATCTGAAAATCAAAGTCGAAAAAATCGAATTGTGAATCTTCCCTTGTGTTTATCAAATTTAAAATACACTGTACGAACCACATTGCCCATAACATTTCCCATGTTCATTTGTACGTTCAATTTCGTAAAGTTGAAGGCAAATAATACAAGAGTTTCCCATGATGTGATCTGATTGCTTTCAGACAACGATGTGCTTGAATCAAAGCTTGACTTTTCCGAACGCAATTTTGAATTTTGCGAAATATTATCATTGTTAATGTTCAAACGCAAATCACCCGGTTTTCGTGTAGGTTTCTCTGCATCTATTTGGTCCGCATTGATTTCACTTTGATTTGATGTTGTTGGTGTTTCCGGTTCATTTGTTGAATTGGTTTTCATTTTCGTGCTAATATCACCTAAAAATAAGCGTCGAACGATACGTCGTCGATACCAAGCATTTGGAAAGGCTAAAATTTCTGTTAGACGGCGCATATCATACTTGAATGAAGCACTTCCAATATCAACGATTGTTGAAAATCTTACAACCGCACGTTGTTCGCTTGATTTTTTGAAGTTCGTTTCAAAATTGATCTTTCTGGCTCTGGTTAAATGAAATTTAACAAATTCCACATTTATACTCAGCGAATCCTTCCGCTCGCTATCTGCCAGCGGTGAAAATTGTGATTGCTCTTTATGTCCTGTTTTCTTTCCACCTCCATATGGATGGAAAATGTACACATTAAAGTCGGCAAGACAGCCAGTAATACTTAAACCACCAGTCGGTATTTTGTCCGTTCCATCATTTATCGTTTGATCGTCATCTTGACGCTTCGAACTAAAAACAATGTCCAAGCTTGGTAATTGCAGCAGGCACTCCACGCGAGACACTGGTAAACAGCTAAATCGGAACGTTGAAGGCTGCATGTGAAAATAAACAATGACATCAACTGGAAATGATGCGTACGCCACATAATTGTAGTTCTCTTGCAAAAGATCCATATTAACTGGATTGTTGGACGGCAATAGTTCTTCAGTTTTGAACGGAATTGGTTCAAGCGTTTGCTCCAAAAATTCCAAAATGTGGGGTGAAATTATCGTTTCTTCCGGTACACTTTGTAGTGTCATCCAAGCAAAAAGTGATGCACGCTTGAAGCCACTTCGCCGAAACGTACTTGTATCGGTGACGCTTAATCGTGGCATTGCTTCATCAGATACAGTTTTCGATTCATAATGTAATTTTACATCTAATCCCGGAATGTGAAAAATGGTTAAATCGATGAGCACAGTATTGTTTTGTGGAGTTGTGTATCGCAGCCGATTTTTATTGTCCTTATTACGTCGTGATGCAACTGGACTACCCCAATCCGTACCGATACTACGTTCACGTTTGTGATGTTTTACAGTTGCTGATGTATTGACATTGATTTTTTCGTCATTAACTGATTTTGTGTGTAAAACACATTTTCCTGCAATCATGAAAGATAAAAGATATGTAAGATAAAATATAAACTACTGGCCTTCAAAAATATATAGGTCATCATATTTCGTTCGGATAAACGCAAATAAAGCAATCTGTCTGTATTTGCAGAATTGATATTTACCTGAATTGACCAACACTTTGATATCTAGTTCGAAATCAATGTTTGGCTCTTGTTGTTTTTGTGGATGAATTGGATTCTTCTTTCTTAGCTCTACTCGTTCTCCATCGACGTCAATGACATCAGACAACTGTGAACCCTTCCATTCAAAATTTACCGAATCGCCACTTGGTAGAGACGACTGACGCATTGTATCGTTGAATGAAACACGTTGGGTTTGATTTGTTCTGATTTTCAACGATGAGCTTCGGGTGGGTCCTGATTTTGATGATTCACTTTGTGGATCACCACTGTCATAGTCAAACATCGTCTTTAGATCATTATCTTCTAAATTTTGAACCAGGAAATCTTCATCGCTGGGAGAAGCTGCAATAAAGGATTGTGATCGATTTGCTGTTCTCAGCATAACCTTTGAAGGTCGTTTCCATTTGTGTATCATATCGCGACGGAAGTATTTGTAGCATAGTGCTTGCAGTTCTTGAAGGCGCTTCTCTTCGGCAGCTATTGTTTGAGCTGTTGCACCAAGTGTTCGCAAATCATTTATCGTTTTCACTTGTTCGCTCATTTCTTTTTTCATCATTAGTGAGCGTTTCTTCGAATCCAATGTCGGATCTAATATGAACGCTGGGATATTTTCCATTGTTTTCTGTTGTCGTTTGGTTTGTTTTTCCTAAAATGTGAAGAAAATTATTTCATTTTGAAAATACCAACCATTATTGAAGTGTGCTTACCTTATTTGTTTTCACGCTGCCATCTCCATCATCACTATCTTGACTGTAAATTGTTGTGCTTTCATCTTCTTCAAAACTTGACAGCGTTGTCAATGTGTGGCCCAAAGCAGAAAGCTGTTTTCCAATGTTCACATCCAAATTCACGTCAACACCTTCCATTTGCCACTTCACATTGAGCAACCATTTGGCATTTTCAGTAGAGTTTTTCGCAACAGTCGTACGTGAACACACTTCGTATGTACCCTCAGACACCACACACAAATTCATAATCGGTTCGTTCATATTTGGCTTCCAATCATCCAATGTTGTTTCAAAAACATCCGCAAATCGTAAACACAAGCCGAAAAATTTGCCGGTTGATACGAGTGATCCTGAATTACATGCTGTTATATTTGTATTCTCAAGTGTTATTACAACAGCGCCTCTCGGCTCGAAGTCAGCAAACGATCGTGCTGTCCAATTTGTCTGAAATTTTAATGTATTTTTTGTTATTTAATTGAAACATGAAAAAAAACACGATTTACCATTGGTGGTTGATTTAGCGGCAAGCAAATGCCCATATCTTCGACAGTGAGTGCAAGGAACAGAGTCGATAAGTTCGATGCTCCCAAATTTTGGAATGGCATTTTCTCAAATACTTGTTGTGTCGCTGTAAGTACATCTTTATTCAAATTGGCACGTTTCTCTGCCCAATATTCATAGGCATTTTTATAGTTTAACCACACCAAAATTGCTTTATCTACAGCAACTGGCTGAATGTATATAAGTGGCCGTTTCAATGTAATTAGCACCAATTCTTGGTCATCGTTCATCATTTCATTTTGGAATGCATTCCTCAAGTCGATCGTTGTATTGAAAAATGCATACTGTTGAAATTCTGGATCAGCTTCATCGAACATTAGATTTTTAATAATTTGCCCAAGTGATAAATTGAAATCAATTTGAGCTTTTACAAAAAGTTTTGTGTTGGCTCGTTCGGCAATATTTTTCACTCTGTTTGATAAATGAAACTCTAAAGCATTGGTTTCAAAGCGTACAGCCGATGAGCATGGCGTCGTTGCTGTCAACTGAATACGTTCCATCCGAATATTGAGCGAAAATAGAATATTTGTTTGTTTCACAGATGATGTATTGCCAATCTCAGTGTCATCTAACCAAAGGGGTACTGGTTTTTCACCTGTCATTAGAACCTTTTGTACCACCTCATTTACCTCACGCATGAATACCTTAAGTTGATCAGAAGAAAAGAATGGAAAAATGGAAATAATCAATAGGTAATGGAACAGAATCGAAAGAATGGATCAGGAATTGTAGAGTAATTGAATACATACTTTTTGTGCAAATACCAAGTGATTGAGCAAATCGGTGGTCAAACATCGTTCAAATTTACCAATTTCGGCGGAAGCTGACACATAACCACCTTGCCTTAGAATAACGCCATCGACAGGAATGTCTTGAGATGCACTTTCATTTACATACTGTGCACTTACATGAATCGGAGGCAAGGAAATTGAAGCCTCTGGTGGAAGTATTGTATCAGCAGTCTGTTGAGATGATAACATTAGAGATTTGTCATCGTAACTATAAATTGTTCGATTAAAGTGTCAATACATACGTGATGTTTTGTTGTAAAACTTAATGTATGATTTGGTAAGTCAATCGTGAATTTTGCTTTGCATCCGCTAATTCCATTAGATGTGACTCGATCCATTTTGTACTGAGCCTGAAGCGATGGAAGCAATGCAGCCGATATCGATAAACTTTGCAATAGAATATTGAATTGCATTACAAGTGGTTGGATTAATCCGCTAGCTGATTTAAGTTTTGTTGGATAAGGCGTGGACTTTTCAATATTTGGTCCATTATCTTTTGAATTGTCTTTGGAATGTGTCGGTGATTCAGCTTCTTCATTTTGACGTAATCTTGCCGAATTTCTTGTTACTCTCAATTCCTTTAAAACAAATCGAAAAGAAAAACGGCGTTAGTAATGAATATATGGCGGTAAAAAGTGTTCGAATATATATTACCTGCAACGTTGTTGACAATTGCTTCGAACTTCTAGTCATTACCCCATGTAAAGCAACAGGATGTTGTGGAATGTCAATATTTACAGCTCCGATCGATAGCAGTCCATTGTTTTTATCTTTACCTCGTCTCGAAACACTTGAGTAAAGCGTTTGACTTTTTCCAACGGTTACTTTGACCACAGTCTGTTGATTCGGAGCAACACCTTCGAGTAAAACGATCATTGCTCGTCCCACCTGTCCAGTGTGTGAACACTCTAAAGCTATCGGTCTCGTTTTCTTTCGCCACGTCGCACTGCTGTGTAAAGCACTGATTTCGGCCTCCAACTAATGAGATTAAAAACCGTTCTAAGTTAGTTTGCTCCGATTTTTCAGAACATGAATTAATTAGTTTACCTTCAATCCACTGAGTGTTGCTAATAAACGTGTCTTTTGAATTTTGGCAACGCCAAATACAATCAAACGAGTTCGTTCGGGCTGAGACGTCTCTCGATGTGGAGGCAATGGTGTTGTAGGTTTTTCGTCTTCGATGTCAATTGTCTTGGACTCATTTGAAATATTTAATTTTTTTTGTGCTTTTTCGGTTGGGTCAGGCGATATAGACACTCTAAAGAAAATAATAAATGTAAAAATTGAAGTTTCAATTAAGACAGAGCAATGAAATTTACCTTTGTGCAACCGTTTTCGTTTCAGGCATGGTTGCATATAGCTCAAGTAAATGGAACATTGTTTTCCAGCATATTGGCGTATCAATCGTACTACCCGGCAAAATATTGGACGATGATGATCGGTGCGTATGTACATCAGATGCAAGGCCAAATGATTTTTGATGTTCTGAAAATGTTTTTGGTGTTCGAAATGGATTATCGATGGACATTGTTGGGCTCTTTTTAATCGGTGTTAAGATGCTCTCGTTGAGATTAGTGTATCCTAGTTTCCCTTTGACTTGTTTACTTGTTGATTTTAACTTTTGTGCAAAACTTTGAGGTCTTCGCAGTCCAGGCGATGGTGTTAATGCAAGCGTTGGCATTCTTGATCGACTGCTAGAATTGCCCAAATGATAGCCCTCGTTGAATTTGTCATAATGTTCATCATGCAGTGTGCTATCAAGTGGTTCTTGCAATGATTCCATTATGGTTGGATCATTTATTTCCGATGCTAGGCTAGATTCGTCCTTCAAAGGTAACGTATTGCGATAAGTTGTTGGTTGATCGCACAACTCATCTTGGGCATCCTTTACGTTTTGATACATATTGGTGATTTGATGCAATAATCGCAGCAGTGGCATATTCACTTGTTGTGAAATGTATCGTACATTAAAACTGAAATTGATCATAGTGCTGGTCAGTTTTTTCAACTGTCCCCGCGATACATAAAGTGCATTCGGTTTATTGTCATCATTCAGCCCGTCCGTTACTTTTAAAACTTCAAGTTCAACACCAACACGCTCACACAAGAATGCAGGCATTTCAAGATTTGGCATTGTAAATTTGCCATTTGCCTTCCGCGTGCATGGCCGATTTTTTAACTTTTTCTCATTTTGCTCACTGACCACAATATCAATGCGCATGCAATCGAAAGAACCGACCAATGACAAATTGGTACCCAAGCTATCCAAAGATGGCATATCTGTAATGTACATCATTTTTAGGGATTGTTTTTAAGGAAAATTGCAATTTCGGATCACCTACCAGCATTCGTGATATTATTAACCATTTGTTGAGGCATAACACCCAGACAAGTTAAGATGGGTTCAAATATTAAGTGTGCATCCAACAAGCGAAGTGAATCCTGCATAACTGAAGTTCCAAATGATGGCCGTGTTATTGGTGTCATCGTTCGTTTGGTCTCCTGAAAAGATTATTTCCAATTAGAAATTTCAATAAAACCAACATCTACTACTATACAACATTAATTCAACTGCTTACAGTAACGTTTTCTGTATTTTCTTTATTTGTCGATTCCTTTCGGTCATTATGCTGTTTTGCCATCCAAGAATACAGATCGTCTTTGGGTGGTGACCATGGTCTATCCAACGATGTATTCGAACTGTAACACGATTGCAACGAACCGTTTTGCAATGTTCCATACTCTGTTTTTGTGCAAGTGAAATGAGTTGTGTTATTTTAGTATGTATTTATTGTATTTAAGTATTAAATAATCTCACCTATTTCAAGGTTTTGCTTATCAACCAGCCCCGATATAATTGGGAACATGTGCAAACTTGATCGTGACGAATGAACGACATGTGGAAGTGAAGTTTTGCTTGATCGTTTACGCATTTTCATTGAATTAAACGATGGCGAAGTATTCGCTGAATCCGACAGTTTTACCTGAGTCGTGATATCAGGTGCCTTCAGTACTTTATTTGATAATGAATAAAAAACAGATTATCAGCATAAAAACACAATAAATATAAGTTTCAAGACGGTGCCAAAACATTTATGAAGTTATGTGTTAAAACACATCTTTGAAATAACACAAACCCAAATGATAAAATACCAAAGACAATTATTATCATAAAAGCAAACAATTAAAGCAAATAGATAAAGCATAAAAATATTATACACTTGGAAATTGGGAAGGGAAACTGGTTTGAAGAGAAAATCGTTACCCTTATATTGTTGTTGATTCACACCACGTCCCAAAAGCATCGTATGTTCACTCTCTTCATCGATGATTAGAGTATTATTTTCGGTCGGTTCATTTCCATCCATGTCGTTTTCATCTTCACCTTCCTGTAAATCATTTCAGTTCAAGAAAAAAAAAATACAAATGTGCACAACAGCCGGGAAAAAACCTTGCGACAAAAGCGCTTTAACAAGTTGGGAAATGTTTACTTTGTTAGTCACAATGTTTAAATTTCACATCAGAAAAGACGTAGACACAATTTATACAGGATCAGCGCTATCGAACGCAGTTTGATAGATGAAAAATAGTATGTTGATAAATTTTGTTGAGTGAAAAAATGGTGCACGAAATTTTGTATTTGAGCCCAAAGCGATATCGATTAAAATGCATAAAAGTGATTTGACACAGATAAACCAAATTATAAGATTTTGTTTTTCAATTATTTTTACCATTTGTATAGGATTCGCCATAAAATCCAAAAATCTCATCATTCGATGAGCATGTACTCTGAAACATTTCATATATAATTCTCGATTCAGTTCGCTTAACGCAAAAGTCAATGTATGAAATTTTAAGTTATTTGAGCGATTTGATGTGATGCTAAACATGGTGAACACAAACAAAATATTACGTGTTTACCTCTTCCGATTGGGGAACGGCGAATGTTACATTCATCGGTCTTGACAACTTATATTTGTATTGATGTTCAAAAAGCATTGGATTGTACAGCATATTTTTCCATTGACGACTCAAGACTATTACACCCTGTATTGAAGCAAAAATTGATTTTTTTTTAATTTATTACCGTGATTCTTCGGTATTGTAATAAAGTAATATGTTACTTAAGTAATGGGGGTGAAGCTGTAAAAACAATATTTGTTTGACCAAATTTTTTTTACCTGACGTAATGTTGTTAGCTGTGGCATATCTGGATGTTTCAATATGTCGTTGATTTTGTGGGCGGTCTCTTGAATAACGAATTTCTGCATCACAGTGCATAGTTGACATGATGGATCCTCTTGAAGAGTCTTTGCTAGCGGTGTAAATTTAGCAGAATAGCGAGTCTATCGAAGAAGCAAATTGAATTAAATTATTTATTTGAACTTGTTAATTGTATTCCCATTCATACTTTCGGATGTTTCTGAATGCCCTGAACTTCAAGTCCATCCGCCATGATACAAGCAGCAATGGCCGTGCGCCTTAGATGGAAAGCCTTCATCATTGCCACAACTTTAATGGCAAATCGATTGCTCGGATTCATCCATGCTGTAATTGCAGGAGATGCAGTGCTCAGTAAGTTCCAATCCAAACGTGTATAGTCGATTTTTCGTGTGATTGGAACACTTGGCGGTGCAGCAAAATTAAACCACACAGTTTTCAAATCAATTACACAAGATGATGCACGACCATTGTTTGAAACACCAACAACCGCTTTACTTTCTTTGTGTTCGTGAGGTGTTGTATTTGCAGTTGATGTTGATGGCTGAGCTTGATCGCTACCAGCTTTGTGAACCGATTCAGATGATTTGAATGAAAATTTAATTTTATCTTTGACATTGCTTTCGCCATCTTTTATCTTAGTATCAGCGTTTGGTGTGAGTTTTTCACGTGGCGTTTTTGGCGTTGTCGGATTTTTTAGGTTGCTTTTTGGTATTACCGTTTCAGTTCCTTTTGTTCCGGCTACTTCTTCTTTCACAACTTTTTCAGCATTCGTTGCATCTCGTTTATTTGTTGAATCAACAACCGATTTGATATTATCCTCATTATTTTCGGATTTTTCAAATTGTGATCTGGAATTTAAATTCAATAAATGTTTTTATTGTACTTTTAAAAAGAAAATTCATTTTTTTTACCGTTTAACCATTTTGGTTTTTATGCCTTCTAAACCACATTCAAACATAATGAAACCAAAAGCGCCCATATCTTTATTTGATTCCTCTGGCAATTTTAAGCAGTCGAACATTGCACGACTTTTGTGCTGTGGAATGGCGGTAATAATAATTTGACCATCTTGAAGGACAACTCCTTCATTTTTCAAACGTCTTAGTTGAGCATGTGCCTTTGAAATATCACATGTGATCACGAGCTCTTCTTGTTGTTTCTCCGATGTCTCGATTAAGATCGGTTCACCAGGAATGTTATCGTTACGAGTATGTGAAGATAAGTGAGCTAGAAACAAAAGAAGAGTAATTGTTGAATATTTTGAAAATAAAACGTTTAAAATAAATAGTTTACTCACATAATAGAGCTCTTGTTCCCTTCATTATGCGACCTTTTTTCAATCCACTTGACCGAACAGTTGGCTGGGTGTAAACGGTGTGAATGGCTGCTTTTGTTGTTTTGCCAAGATGCAAACGCGCGCAAATTCCATCGAAACTTACAGCCAACAATGATGCACAACTCAACTCTTGTACATTGTCCAGTGCTGAGAACGATATCACCTCTTCGACCACAGATGTTTGAATAAGTGAAATGTTTACGCGTTGTAAAACAATCAGTCCTTGAATTTGTGTTGAAATACTTTCCTCGTAAACGTCTGTAATAACTGGTCCTGATCCACCACCAGGACCTTGAAGATTTCGTTCGGCCGTTGATCGTTTTGAATTCGAATGTACACGTGACCAATAGCTAAGTGATTGATCTTTTTTCAAAATGTTTGCCGCTTCGACATTTCGAATGCAAGAGGCATGCATCGAATTGATAACATTTAATGGATGTATTGTTGAAAAAAGTGGTATGGCCGTTTCGATCATTCTAAAAGAATTGGTTAAATATTTACGTCAATCATTTAATATAGGCAATGGGCATAATATGTATAGCTTACCTTTGTAATCCTTCCAAAAGAAGAGGAGTCAATGTCACTTCCAGATTTCCTTTGAACTTGACAACAACCGAATTTCGCGTTGCAGTATCATTTTGTGACGTCATAAATTCCTTTTCATCAGCTAAATCGAGTGAAAAAATCGTATTAACACCAATTGCTCTTTTAAAATCAACATCAAAAAAATTATGCTCACTTTCAATATGGCTACCATGAATCGTTACACTTGGGTCCCATGGATGTGATCGTGGCATAGATTGTGTTGTATGCATGGACGATGTGCTACCGGAATCCGAATTTGAAACTATTCGAATTTCACGCCAATTTGAGTATGTGTTAAAATGAGGCACCAATTTACAACCTTTATGATAAAACATAATTTTTAAATATCATTAGTCATTAAATAATCTTCAATTATGACATTATTCAATCTTACCAATATAGGTTAAACCACCGTCTTCGTTCTGTTGGAAGAGTGGTGTTGAAAACGCGTCAGCACCCAATGGCAGACAACAACTGGACCAATTCGTGCATCGTACTTGCGCAAGATGTGACACATAGCTGGCCATTAGCAGAGGTGAATCGATTATCGGTTTGTTTACTTGCATATGAAGATTGACCAACGTGATATCTTCCTGTGAAGACATAGCCGATATGAATGAATTCGATGAGAGTGATGGTGAATCGGACGAAGATTCTTGCGACTCAGCCTAGAAAAGAAGAATTTGATTATTTACACTGAATAAGAATTTTCGGGAAATGGATTTTTTTGAAAACTGAAAAAATTGGTTTCTTTTTTCCAAGAAAGAAAACTCACATTAGTTGCTACTTAATTTTTTAAAATTAAAATATTATCGAAATTTCTTTTAAGAAAAGAATAAAAAATTGAACAAACCAAAATGAAAATAACATAGAACTGACACACTGGATTGCAAAAAAGCTTACTCACATCAAATACTGGTTTAAAGTGCCTGAACTCTGGTCTTGGTGAAACGCTACATAATCTCCTAAGTGGCGTTGCAAGACCGTGGAGACAACGACGTTCGTCGTTGCTCTATTTATGTATGGTTTTTAATGTGATGTGATATTTTGGTGTATTGGATATATATGAATAAAAATTGTTGTATATGAATTGATGATGAAATTGTGTTAGTAGAATTCATATAAAATATTTTTAAAGAAGTGATTCGACATGCAAGCATTGGTGCCAAGAAAAAACTTTCATTACAGCAAATCAAAAGCAGTTTAAATAGAGAAATCCGAATAATTGTATGCTTACCAGTTCGGCTGTACTTTGGGGACGTTTAGCATTTACGCGATAGTCTCTATTATCTGGAGTGTGAATTTCGTATTCACTACGATGTGTTGACAAACAAGCATCTAAGTCTGGAGGCGCACCGATACTATAAAAACGTTTAAAATTATTTAAATTTTGTGATCTATGAAATTGGGATAAATCTCTTAGTAAGAGACTCTTACCTTAAATCTGATGCAAATCTCTTCTTCTGATTCACACGATCATTAATACTCGTTCTCAGGCTAGATGAATGCATATCTTCATCTGCTGAGAAGAATGTTTCTGATGGATTTTCCGAAGTGAGTGATATGGTTCGTTGAACTTCACGTGCCAACGATTCATCCGATTTAATTTTGCTATCAATCGATTGATCCGAATCAAATTGTAATGGGTGAGTTTGTGGAGCTGAATGTGACATTATTTCACTTGGAATCTATTGGAACATTTAAGAAAAAATAAGTTTATAAATATTATTTCTTACACTACTATATGTTTACGCTCTTGATTAAGATTCATACCGAAATATCGCTTTTTTGAAAATAGTCCACGGTCAATTTGGATTCAGATGCACTCGATTTTGGTGTTGGCATTTGAATAGATCGATTAGTTCTGATTTTGATATCCAAATCATGCACTGGAGTTGAACTACTTCCAGTTTGTCCTTGTTTCTTGTTAGGGCTATCAATTAGCCGGGCGTATGGAACTTCATGTGAACTATTTTGATTGTTAGTTTGTCGTTGAGTTCTGCACAAAATAAATTGGATTATTCTTCGATTACGAAAATGAAAATATCAATAAGTGTAATGCTTACGATGTTGGTTGCTTGCGCATTTTTCTTTCGAGCACATTTGGCGATCCACCTTCTGAATTTCTTGATTGCCTGTCGCATTTTTCGATTGGAGAAATATTGCTGGTGCACAAGGTTTCAACATTGTGCGGTGATTTCGGTTCAGGGTCATATTTTGATACAATAATATTAGTTTTTCCAATGTATTCATAACATTCTTGAAGTGACACTGGTTGCAAACTGTATGGTGGTGTATGAAAGACCAATTGATTTTCGTACAGAACACTTTGACCGAATCCATATTCTTTTGAATTTGTATTAATGCTGGAATAAAATAGAATTATAAGTAAAAAAAATTATATTTCGTCGCAGCAAAGAGCATCAATGAAAAACTTGTCACTTACTGATATCGTGCTATATTGATGCCATCTTGAATATCTTGCGCGGAGGGTTTAAAGAATTTTGGCCCATTGATATTGCTGCCAAAAAACGCAGCACCACCTATGCATCCGCATCGCACTGAATCGAATCCAGAATTCCATAAGAACCAAAGACGTTTGTGTCGTTTGTCGTGTAGCTTTAGGAAACTGAAAACATATTTGATTTATAGTTTATATTCATTCTTTTGAAAGATTAAAAAGCAATTCTGTACTTATGTTGAATTAGGTGCAAGCAATGTTCTGGAATTGGTAAGGCAGATGCAGATTCCAAAACAACCGGTCCAAATGAAACACATCCAACTTCAAGCCATGGATCTATATCTGACTCTTTTATTTTGTCTCTGCCAGAAGAATGCATCGACGAATATTCGTCACGATCGCGACGATGATGAATGTCATTTTCACGTGATCGACGATGTTCATCTTTGTCTCTGGAACCTCTGCGATGTCCGCCAATAAAGCCATAATCAGACTCCTTCTTATATTTCACTGAACTGGTTGCATCTTTTTTCACCAAAATATTCAAATCTTCACGTTTTTCATCGGAATTATTTTGACTGTACTGATGTGGCACTTTTGAAGATCGACCACTACCTGTTGTATTCGTATTGCTATACAAACTGCTGCCGTTGTTTGGCTGACTAAAGTGTCCATTGGTTGACACAAAGTGCCGAACAAGTACAGTAGATATTAATGCCGTTACACCTGACTTCACTTTTTGTCCATGTAAATTGCACGTTGATACTCTCACTGGAGATATCTGTGGCCAAAATTATAAAGAATATTAGGAGTCAATTATTTGGTTTTGTGTTTTGACAGAAAATACGATTATTTCTTCTTACCCATGTGTGTAATGCTGTTCCGCTATCTATTAAATACAAGTCGATAACGTCGATAGCTACACGAGTCATACGATATTTTATATCTTCGGAGGTTGGACAACGATACTTGATTTCATCTTTTGTATGAGCACATTGACTCGATGGAACCCCGTGATGACAGTTTCGTTGAGAAATTGGCGGTCGCAGTTCATTCTCTGCATCGATAGCCAATGTCAAAAATGTTTCGAGTCCAATTACAATGTTATATAGTTGTGGCACAGTTAATTTGCCCGACAATTTTCCTAGATGTACTTCAAGTAACCACGCATATTCAACTGTCTCTTCATCTAGTGATCTTCCTTCCATACTGAACATTGCATGACCACGCACCTTAAAACAAATAAAAAAAAAACAAATAATATAATTATGATTGCCAGGGATTGTCAAAAATTTACCTGTAGTGCTGATAGAAGCAAATGGCCCTGCTTCAAATGTTTCTCTTTGTTGGGTCGAACAACAGTATCAGATGATATTAGGAAAGACGGACTAACCAGAATTTGAATTTCAGTTTCATAAAATCGTTTTTTGAGCTCCAAACCCAGTCGTTCAATGAGAACAATTGGACATGGTGGATCGTTGTCGTTGCAACTCTGTCAAGAAAACAAATAAATAGCTTATTTAATAAGACTTTTTTTTATAAGTTCATTGTAAATACCTTAACGATGTGAGCTTGAACATCATGAATCGTAAATGAAACGATTACTTCCAATGGACGGTAGATTCGTGGATCAAAAGGTTTTGGCTTTTCTTCAATACCAGCACTTGCTTCTGAAATGGATTTTGACGCATCGTCTTTGTTCGATGAATTTAATGGCACTTTCAAAAGTGGCTGGGTAAGATTTGGTAACAGCGCCGACTTTGTATTTGCTACACTAACACTCATGTCTGTGAACTCTTGATCTTCGCCAAATATATTCTCCTGCGCAAAAAAATTCAAATAATAACGTAGTAAAATCTTTTTCTATTGAAGTTCCAAATAAGTTAACATACTTTTAAATTGATGAAATTACGTAAAATGGTGCCATATGCAAAAAGTACTGATGAACCGATTTCAATTTCAACGTTCACTTTGTCGGGCGGTAGCGTGTTTGGATCGAACTGTGCCGAATCAGTTTGGGCCCATTTTAAAGCTGGCGATTTGAGTTTCGGCATTCGAATTGGACTGAGTAGTATCTCTTCTTTCTCGGGCGTGGTAATATCTGCTTGTGGATCGGGGCCTAATGGCGGAATCAAGTGATAAACCCAATTGATTTTGATAGCAACAATACTAACACTCCAACAATCGATCCATCCCGCACTGAAATGTTTAAATAAAAGTCAATTATTATAATTACATGAATCTAATTGTAAATGCAAATATTAATATTACCTTCGAAGGCAGTCTTTGCGCCATTTCTTCTTTGGAATATCGCAGACTCGTTTAACTTGACCATCGCGTGTAAGATATTTCATATTTGCTTCCAAACCTAATACAACTGGTCGTGTAGTACTGGTTTCTGGTAAATACAAAGATAAATCTAAATCTTCGCCATGAATCCATAGTCTAATTGGAATTGTCTTTGGTAGAAAATCGTCGAACGGAAGATTAAAACTCAAATCAAATAAGTCTCCACAAAATGCCAAGTGGTTGTTTTCTTGATTGGTACTTGAACAGTCAATCCAATTAAAATCGTTGCAAAGCATCAGTATTTCGAATTCTTTGAGCAAAATGCAAAATTTCCAAGTGTATGGAACAAATTCCAAAATGTCAGGCCGTGCTTTTGAGGCCCAATCTTCAATTAAATCTTGAAAAAAGAGCTTATGTGCAAATACCAAATAGGCTGTCGCTTTGCAACCTGTTAAATTGATGATCCACTCTTGATGGTCGTTGAATCTAAATAAAAATCAATTATTATAACATGAATCTAATACCATTGCAAATAGATCTGTAAACAGTAAATAATAATATTGTTTGCAGAAATCCAAAATCAATCATTTTGATTTCTGCAATCATTAGGGAACGCAATAATTTCAAAATATTTTGATTCTTAAACTGATAATAATATTACCTCAATGGATAGTGTATCCGAATTTTGAACTCAAGCGATTCACATTTTGCCAAACTGCGATATTGTAAACTAGTTGTTGCCTCCACATGTAACAATTGTCCGGCCACCTAAAATTTCCAAACAATATTTCAAGTTATTAAAAAAATAAGAAATTTATTGGGTAATCCGATTCACCTTTGTGGTAAACCCATCTTGCAATATGATCCACGGTAATGTCAATTCAAAATATGAACCAGGTCCAATGGTGACATGCATTGCATTTGTTTCCTTGTTTTTTGAAAATAGCACATCTATGGTTGCTTCATTCAAAGTGCTCAAGCTTAATTCAAATGATTGATATTCACGGCGATCGCCTGGTTTTGGTGGCTGTGTCACGAGCATGGTTTGCCAATCGGGAGGAAAGAAAAACCTAAAAAGGTGATCTCTTTGTCGGTCTGCCCATGGTCCATAACTGAAATGTGATAATTAAATTCGTTCAACAAATTGTCTAACATTTTTTTTAATTTTCTTAAAAATATATATGTAAAAAGAACCCGAAAGAAAAATTATAGTTTACCTGAAATTTGTTCCTTTGCCACATTTTACATCTAAACCCCAAACGGGCGGCGATGCTTCGACTACATCACCATTCGCTAATGTTAATAGAACTGGTTCTTCTTCAACGATTCCAGGTTCATCGATATAATAATATAATTCTACTAAATTGGACATCATAACGACGTAACCTTCACCCATATATCTATATAATTGAATGAAACAACGATATCAATTGATAAAAGTCGTAAAATTAAAATTCATCTTAGCTGAAAACTGACCTTGGTGGGTCGTCAACCAAGCCTGTATACTTTGGCGATGGTGCTAATAAAACTTTTGCATTGTCAACTTTTGCCTTTAAAAAGTGCATGAAGTGATCCAAACGAGAAGCAGCTGGTTTGGTACTATAAACACATTTTGCTTCCTCAACACAAATCGAAAGTGTGGTTGGTGTCAATCGATTGCCGAACACAAAACGTCCCGAACAAATGTCAATTTTGATGACCGGAATCAAATCTCGCCAAGTTTTAGCTGCCATTGCTTCTGATTTGGCATTTTTATTTTTGTTTGTTGACATGCTATTTTTTCGTTCATTTTCTAAATTTAAAGCAACTTCACGCATTTTTGCGGCTTCTTCGGTTGTCATATTTTCATTCTGCATAATTGAAAGAGACAGAAAAATAGTCAACGCAATGTTAAAGGATAGTTTGCAGTACAATCAACATACCGGAATCAACATCGAAGGTTTTAATCCAAATGTTTTTTCAAGTTTTGCATACAATTCGGAACGATTGAATACATGCAGCTCGAATCCATTCAACATAACAGATAGTCGAGTGTCCGAATGTGATAAGTCTTCGGACACATCTTTTGGTACATACGAACGCCACCAACGAAATATAAAATATCCGTCTTGCACACGAATTGAATAATCAAAACAAATGAACACGACATCTCGAAACATAATTTTGCCGGCCAAAGGATTCAAATTTAACGAACCTGTGGAATTTACAATGAAATTGAATTCAAATTTGCATCGAATATATTTTAGGAAAAAAGGTTAAATTTTGTTCAGATACAAACCAACTTTAAAGTAGGATCCTTTCATAAACATACGATTTATAAATTTTGTAAGAAAGTATCCAACAACACGAGAATTATAAAAAGTAATGTACACCACCCATAAGATTGATGCTCCCAACGATCCGATCAGCCAAGCCTAAAAAAAAGCGTATCATTTTACAATTAATAAGTGTTTTGAAGTGCCCGTTTGGCATTCTATTCAATATCAAAATTGCATTCTTACTATGCTTGAGTTCATTTGCAAGTCATCAAATGGAATATCCGTGCTGATGTTGCCATAGTTCCATTGGGCAGCTCTGGGCAAGCCGAAATCGGATGTTTCCGTTTGTATCATAGTATCTGCCATTGTTTCAAAATTTTGTTATCCCAAAAGTCAATCAATCCAACTGAAAATGAGAATAATTTTTTTTTTAAATAAGCACAATATTGAATTGAATGAAAAATCAATAATTGTTAACTATATCAATTATATGTTACACGCCATATAAAATGGACAACTACTACGATAATTTTTTTTACACGTTTCTCGATCATGATTCATTAAATCCTATTATTTAGTGAAATATTTCTGCGAATAAATGATAATATGCGGGTTTGTCTGATTTTTCATGAGAAATTTTCAACTTTGATCCCAGCCCAATAAATGGCGTCGCCATTATTGCACTAAATTCCTTTCGATTGTACATATTCTCAGTATGCCTTTGAAAATATTGCATTTGATTTGAAACTTACGGCCATGGCAAGAAATAAACGCAAATCGCGTACTAAATACAAAAACTTATTGACTCTTTCATGGATTATAATGTTTTTTCTTAAATTATTATCTCTACAAAAAAAATACACATTCACTCAGGTTTTCACAAACTATGACAAAGACGAAAATATAAAACAATTGTCATTGAACACTTTGACAGTTAAGAAATGCTTGACATTTTAAACGTCATTTATCAAACGTTGACAGTTGGCAAATAAATTCCATTTCAACCTGTTGCATTTGTTTTCAAACAACTGTCAGAAGAGAACGTAAACAAACTCACTTATCCACATGTAGTTGTGAGAGAGACAGAGAGCGCTCAAATCATTTCTCATTGAGAGAAAGTTTTGCGATGTTTTTTCATCGCACTCAATGGAAATGATTTTTCGATGATTTTTGTTTATTCAAAAATTGTGATGATTTTCAATTACTCTTCCAATTGGAATAAAATTGAATTCTTACACTTTTTTCTCAATTTTAACCAATTTTGAATTGTAAATAATTTGTTTTTATATTATTTCAAAAATTCTGTTGACTATATCTAAAAACCAGTTTTCTTATATATCAAAAATATTATTATAATATAAAAAATTATTACACTCACAAAAACAGTTAAAAACAGAAAAATATGTCAAAACAATACAGATCTAACAACATTTCTTCTAGCTGCTCCCATTGATTCTATTCTATCAAGTTATATATTAGTTGCATTTTATGTGGCCCTGTTTAATTTTGCGACATTGATGAGTTTGGCACGTTTTACTAATGCAATTTGATTAAATATCGTCTTCTAAATCCATTTGTTATTTTATTGTGTACAAAAAAGAAATATATGTTTTTAGAATCACAGATATACTCACTTCAAAACCATTATAATCACTTTTTTGCTGATGCAATGATCTTGAATGTCTTGCATTTCAGTAAACTTTACATTCAGATGACTAAGATCTCGAACAGCCTATTGTTGAAGATCCTGTCGTCAAAGTCTTTGCGACATTAAATCACATTTGAAAAGATAAATAAACAAAAATCGATACTCTTCCGTTTTATTTAAGTAAACATTTATTTCATTTTCCCTTACAATGATACATTTTGATCGGATAATGAGTGAGAAAAATAGATAAAGTTCATTTTATGTTGAGCAATAACACATTCTAAGAAATGCGTAATCGTCCCGTTACCGTTTCAAAGTGTTCTCATTCTTGAATATGAAAGAATTTTCATTGCATTGAGCTAAATAAAATGTAATTTTTATCATCTGTTTTCTTTTCGTTTGTTTGAAAAAGTACAAATCAATTCACGTTTTGAACAACACTTCTACATTTTGAAAATATGAATAGAAATTATTTGGTTCAGGCAATGCAAGAGTCAGCATGGTCATAAATATGGTTTTATGTAGCTTCAATTATTAATGAAGCATTGATAAAACTATACGTGACTCGATGAATTATGACACGCAATGCTAGAAACACATTTTTATTCACGAAAGTTGTACATTTAAAAACACCAAATGTCAATTAAAGACCAGTAAATCATATTTGTCCATTGATTGTCGAATTTTTCGAATATCTCGCACATATAGTTAATTTTAATTTTTGTTTTGCTCACGTCGGCTATCGTCTCTTGGGTATCAATGCGATTAAACAAATTTACGGTACAAACAAAATAAATAAGTTAAATAATTATAGGTATAGTAATTGTCTTCATTAGTTTTAACTGTCTTTTATCTTCTTTTTTTTTTAATTCCAACTCCAGAGAGAATGGAAAATATTTTTATTTTGTTTTTTCAATGTTGAAGAAAAAACTTGACTCCAATAGATTAGAAAAAATATGTGTGTTGTTTTTGTTGTAAACATGTATTTATAAGCTCAATGGCCCGAATAGGTAGACACCAGGATGTCCTGAAAAAAAGGGGAATTTATTTATTTACGTTACTATTATCAAGTCATTGGTTCAAATGGGTAGACATGTATACCCTCATCTGTGTTGCCCAAATAATGGCCATACAATTCTTGGTATCTTGCCAATGTCAAGCCACCCCGTCGTCGATCTTCGTCCTGTAATTTAAAATTAAAAACAATAAATATACTGCTCGAAAAGGTAGAACGGCGCAGCTAGAAAAAACTGAGCCAACTATTTAAATCTTCAATTTACATCCAACAGCTTGTTGAATGCGTCATCAACAACTTGAATGTTTTCAACAGCGACGCGAGTAATGCAATTGTAGCGGAATTCCTTGGCTCCAATGATTCCATCATCATCGATATCCATCATTTTGAAATTGGCTTCGATGAATGCTTTCATTGCCTGCAAATGCAATCGCAAATTAAATGTGAATGGAGGAGAAAATTCATGAGTAAACCAAGTAAATGATAAATGGCACATAAAAATAGCGACTTTCTGACGACAACGGACTAAACCACACCATTCCATTACATTCGTCTAATTGAATTCATATCAATTTTCTACAATCACATCACAACTTTTACCATTTCACTTTCATGGATGTGGAACTATTTCTTTTTTTATCTTGCAAATCAATCTAAAGTAACTTCAATGTCAATTTATAATTAAACACTAGAATGAATTTGTTGAAATCATGAATGTATAATGAAAATACCTGCGGAAAATCGGCATATTTTTTGCCTATGCATGTCTTCTGAACGGCTTGTTTGAATTCATCTGTACTGATTTTGCCATCCTAAACGGCGATGATTCGAGAAAAAAAAACAAACAAACAATAAATAGGCGAATTAAAATTAGGTCAACAATTTGTAAATATATCAAAATCAATCAAATATAGACTACATAATTACTAGCAACTATGCATGTCAGTAACATACACAAATAACATGGCTCATAAAATTCGACATATATGCATACCTTATCGAAATCAGCAAGGTTTGATATTTCTTCCCACAGGCTGCGCATTATGTGCTGATATTCGGTCAATTTGGCTTGGTTGCAATCACCTTTACCCTCGATGATGCAGGCGCGTAATGCCATGCACTCAAAATCATTCGAATCCAAAAAACCATTGTTGTCAATGTCTGCAGGCATAAAATAAATAAACAAGCATTTTTTTTATTAGTGAATCCTATTACATTGCATATGCGACTCAAATCTCATTGCATATCAATGTTGTCAATGAATTAATTAATGTGATGTTTTGCAGTACAAAAGCAAAATTGAAACAGAATTGAATGTCAGACGGCCAAGTGGGGTTTACATGTTTGGAGTAATTTTAGACCAAGTTTTTGGCTTTATCGTTTCAATTTACGTACGCATGTTGTGGTTCCGTTTTAAAATGTATTTATTTATAGCATCCGATATATAGGTAATTACACGCTGATTTTACACCGATGTCGTTTTATTTGACAACCAAACATATGTAGGAGCTACTCACATATATTATGTGTATATAAGTTGTTTTTTTTGCTTTCAGAAAAGGCCAATGAAATAAACAACATAAAAAATCGATTCGTTTGATATTTCAGTTGCTTTCTGCTATCGGATACTCGACATTTTTTCATTAATTAACTTTTACTGTGTATCTTTTGACTACAATTTGGATTCGATTCACAAATGAAAATAATTCGAAAAGCACTTCTCACTTGAAGTATGGATTTTTTATAAAATAAACAATATATTACCTGCAATATATTCGATAAATTATAGGAAAACGGAGAAAATCACTTACCGTACATGTAACGCACTACAAAGTCAACTCGATTGTCCCATGAATATGCCATGTTTAAGATGAAGCACGTTATAATTTTTCCTAACTCAATTTCAATCGAACGGATTGTATATCGTTTTGCTTTTGTTTTCCTCTTTCCTTTGGATAATTTTGAGTACGCCCACAGTTATGTGGCCGTGGTATTTTGTTTTTGGTTTTCCTTTTTATATTTGTCTAAAACTCAAGTATTCCCAACATGTACCACAAAATCAACAATTGAACAATACACTGTACGTTGGCACACAGCACACGAAATCCCGCTTTTATCGACTAGATTCTATTCAGAAAACAGAAAACAAAAAAAAATTGTCGTTTTTATGTACATTACAAATTAGTATAAGGTAGAAGAAGTAATGTATTATATTCGTTCGTTCAGTATTCTTTCCCTTTCGTGGCACCACTTTTATATATGTGCTTTCTTTTTATTCCGTTTCAGCTTGTTTCGGAATTTTAATCAAGTATTAAATCGATATTTGGTTGGTTCGATTAAAAACAAACAAATCGCGATTTGATTTTCCCTCAAAAGAGAAAGATGTGATGAACAACTGTGCCGAAGATTTATACCAAAAATGTAATTATATTCAAATGAAATCGCTGACTGACGATGGCAGAGCTTAAGCTTGATGACAACCGACTTCGTTCACGTTTTGTATCTAACTGAAATTCAAAATTTCATGCAGCCGACGAAATACGTGAGTAGCGCGGGATCTCAGGATCGGGCGCAGAAGTTCTAATGTACCGTTCCTCTCTATCTCTCAATCTATCTTTCTCCCTCTATTTCTCTATTATTTTTACGTTCGTACATATTGAAGCCGGGCTCTTTGCGTTGACATATTATGTGCGCTTTACTTGTATCGTGTACGATTTTCATTTTACATATAGATTTGGTTCATATTTCGTTACCAATTCGCTACATTTAGATTTGCAGTTAAGAAAACGAACAAAAAGGAAAATCCGTTGAAACAATATCTTATCTATATATATTTTATACTAGTCTAGAATTCTATATCTATATATTTGAGACAGAGTCAGAAAGAGATTTCTTCCTACAATTTCGGCTGTGCAGTGGTTATTTGAAAAAGTTTTAACAAAAGGAAAAAGTGAGATAAAAAATACGAGGAAAATGTAACAAAATTAGCAATGTCAATCCATTTAATAAACACAGATGCGAATACAGATAAAAAAAATCGTCAGCGTTTCCCAGCAATCCGCATCAATATACATTTCATAGCATAAAATTGTGTTACGATATGTGTTCGGTTCGTTTGCTACTTGAGATCGTAACGTCCATAAATATTATGATTAACGCAACATGTGTGTTACGATTCACTCAAGTTTCTACTTTTCGCGTTTACCTCATTTTTCGCCCATTGACACCGCACACCAACGAATCTCACCGACGGAAAATGGCATGACCGACAAACTGTTGCTACGTTTTCTCGAATGCGGTCGACATCTCTACGGCAATTGAACTTTTTTGTTGTTTCGCATTTATTTAGTTTTTTCTCTACACAAACAATCAGACATTCATACCAAATATAAGGGAAATTTCCCAGGAGCTTTAATAGTTAATATGAAACGCTTAAATGAGAAACGAGCTAAATGTTCTTTTTTATCTGAAACAATATGTATAATTGCTTTTTTGTATTGTTCATTCCTCATGTTTACATAGACTATTTGTTGTATTTCGTGTAAATTTGAGTAGAATAAAGTCAACGACGCCACATAGTTAATCAAACAAACTGTGCTCTGTAAGCGATTAAATAATAATGTACTGTAATACATCATTATTTCCATTAGTATTGCTTTTATCCTATTGATGAAATGATGAAAAATGCACCACGCGTTGTTATTTACTTTGCACAATGTAAGCGTTTTCAGTTCAAAGAAATTAATTGACATAAAAATGCACATCAGTCTCGGCAACATAGACACTTAGGCATTGAGATGTAGACAAAAGTTTCCGTTTTCATTTTTATTGGGCCACTGTCATACAATATATTGTTATTGTCGTATTATTTTTTTCTGTTACTGTTTCTGTTTTTCGAATGAATTTTACTTCGAAAAGAAAATTTCGTTTTTTCCCTCTCTTTATTTTTAACGTTTGATTGTATTTGTCATGCAATGCCTGCATAATAATGAATTGCCACTTACGAATCCAATTTATACTGAATATCAAATTGCGAGTTGATTTCTTTCGATCAATAATTGCCGACAGACGGATATATATATTTACATATTTGATAGATGATTTGATTGGAAAGAGATTGCAAAATTAAAGATATATAAAGAAGAGAGATACAGAGAGAGAGAGGAGTGGGGAAATTACGATTGATTTGCATTCGTACCTTCTTTTTCGAAATATATAATTTACAATTTGAGGAACAATCATATTCCCTTTCCTAAATAAATATCTTACGCATAACCTTTTATTCAACATCATTTTAACGAACATGACCAATCAAATATGTGGAAAAAGTTCGTTTGAAGAATAATACATTAAAAATTAAAAGGTCACAAATAAAATTGAACTTGATTTCACTAAGGAAATATTGAATTTGGGTCATGTATTCATTTTCAAACCATCATTATAGAAAACGTGCTAGTAAAAAAAAATTGGTTTGACATATATGGAACACCGGCTATAATTAACATCCCACAATAACTGTAATATAATGCCTTGTCAACCGTTATAACGGATATATTGTATCATTTTCAGGTTTTTGGTCAGAGTTCAAACTAAGCAAAGAGCGTCGATGAATTTTCCCTGGGATTTTTCGGTGAAAATTGAGTATTCGTGTGTAAGATATGTTTAATCAACCAGCATTATGTTTCTCGTTTACCATTTACCATAACCATTAAAATTCATGCGGTTGCATATTAATTATTCGAAATTGTTACGCTTGGTTGGTTGATTACGACTATTTAATGTTGATAGGCGATTTAATTACGTTGAAGTGCGAAAAAAAATGAACCCTGAAGCAAATTAGTGTGCTAGTAATTCGTCTTTCGGATGTTGCCATATAGCATCATGCATCCGAAAAGAAAAACCGAAATTCTTCCAACGATTTGTGGTTTATGTGCTTTCATTTTGACGCAACTCAATGATTTGTTTTATATTGTTCAAAATGCTTATGCCTTAAGGCAGAAAACGTGAATGACAATTGTAAACAAAAATCTGATCAAAATGTTATGTTTCATCAAAACGTTAGACATTCAAAATTTGCATTGTCGGTCTAAATTGAATTGCAAGTAAATGAAATAAAAAATTGAGAATTTTAGTAATTTTATATTCAAATAGACCTTTTTCCTTCCGAATAGAAGAAAAAAGAAAACGATGAAAATCTGTTTCATATTGATTGACGTCACTTGCGACGAGAGGCCATGAAAAAGAAAAGGATCGAGTGAAATTTTCGAATTGATTAAATAGCCGCGATTAAATCGCCACATATTTTCTGTATTTTCTGCGTTTTGCTTGCTGTCTGCAGTTTCGTTTGCTATTAGAAATAATTGTTTGAAGCGAACCGTCGAAATAAACATCTAATTCAGTGGCTTCTATAAACCCCAACCAACGAGCAGGCTATTTTCAATATTTTGCGGTGCTTTTGTTTCTCATACTTTTGAACAGATTTCTTTTTGTTGCACTAGCGATTGTTGCAATTGACACACCAAATCGGTATGCTCATCTGAATGTCTCTCAGTCATTGCATACATAAATTGGTGAGAAGCCAATATGATATGAATATGTCTCTTGTGTTTATTTTCAACTAATTCTGGGATGAATAGAGCAGAAAAAAATGAGAGGCGACAAACAATGCTTGTTGCCATAATCGAATGGTTTAAACAAAAGAGAACAATGCAAAAAAAAAAATTGTGGCATTGTTTAGTGTCTGCGAAAATGCAGGGAATTAGTTAAAATATACAAAAAATTGACATCGACACAAGGCAAATTCCTTTTCATTTAAATTCTTCATTAATATGGGAGATCTTACCTTTTTACCCTCCAATAAATCGGCATGTAAAAAAAGTTATGTTATAAAAATGATAGAAAATAATACTCGTACATGGACAAATTACATAAATATATTTTTTTATTGTTTTTCATTTTTTCACTTTTACATTACACTTTTTTCTTAAATATTCATTTTTTCTAACAAATCATTTCATAATACATATTCCATAAATATTTTTTTGTATCTTTTGTATAACAGCCATATTTACTTCTCTTTTTGTTTTGAGTCAGTTATATACTGATACAATGAGGAACAGAAAAATAAAATAATCTGTGGCAAACTATTTCATTGACTTTTGTATCGTCATGTTATCTCTGCTATATATAAATTATTTTTTTTCAGCAAATTTTGAAAAATAGATTTTATACTAAGTTTTTAAGTTTTATCCTGTTTTAAAAACGTATTTGTGTTCAATCACCATTTTGTTATTTTCTTTCTTTTCACGACATTTGTTGTATTTTCGTATGACTTACTTGTTGCACGTAAACTAGATTCTTTGATTTTTATTTTTGATGGTGTCTATAGATATTCAAGGAAATGATTTGGTTTAACACAAAAAATAACGAATTTTTCCTCAAATATTATATTATGAATAATTTTATGGTTTTCATTTTATAAATAGCTACTTGTTTTTCTAACGCTAATTGTTGTTGTTTTAATAGATATCATTGAATTTATGAAAGATGGCAAAACTTAAAAATTTTGGTAGAAATTCTTTTCAAACATTCCAGTAAATTCCTTGTAATGATTGCCATTGATGCGAAACATAAATAAAATCCGGAAAAAATATATAAGGTTATTACTAATATTTCAATTGTGACTTATTGATATCATTGGGTTGCATATGGATCGAAAAATTTAGATTCTTTTCAAATTGCATTGATTTGATCGCTTCGGTTCAACTAAAAATCAATACTGAACTTAAATAATAATGGACGTAAAGGAAAACACATTGCAATCTCCATCACCTACAAAATCAACCACACCGTAAAGTTTAGTGTGTTTCAAATTGTAATCAATTTGTGCTAACAAACACGCGATATTCATTTCAATTAAAATGTCGGAAATTTGATGCAAATTTATCTATTCAACTATAAATACAAACTAACATTCAAAACAAATGTACAAAATCGAAAAAAAAAACTTAGTTTTGTTGAAATTCGTTTTACGTTTCGCATCGATATTTCAAATAGTCTTGAACATTTGAAATAACGATCATATCAGTTCCGAAGAAGAATGTTTTAAATGTGGAATGCACAAAATAAATTCAATTTATAATAATACATACTTAATGTGAATCCTTCGAATTCACATTTGAAATAATTGCCAAACTAATTAATAAGCCATTAAATCGAAAACGTGTATCTAGCTATACATTTGTTCCACTGCCAACTTGATCCTGTGTTATATTCCATAACCAAAAATGCATATCTACTTTTTATATAGTTTAGAAAAAAAAGCAATTTATATCATATGTCAACAACAACTAATCGTATTCACAAAAGAATTCCATTTCACGACTTCAAAAGATAGCATAGCAGAATTATTTTTATGATGTTATTATTTCACCAAAACTCCCATTGAACATTATTAAGCAGAATTTTGCCACTAATTTTTATATAAATTAAATTCGCAATTAAACTTTCTACTCAGTTCATTAAAATTAACATTAACATAAATGTTAATGTTCTAAGAATAATAAGCAAGTTAAAGGCACTCCGTTGTTATTGTGTGTGTATTTTGTTGTCTACTCTGTTTTTATTACATAATAAATTCAGTTATTAGTTTATTTTTTGCGAATTCATATAAATATTCCGTATTCCAAGATAGTGTGTATTTCACACGTCAAATCATGTTCGAAAAATGTAATTAATATCAATAAAATCGTTGAATATGTTGAATTTATGAAATTATTATATCAACGATAATAACTGAATCGCTCTCTGGTATAGTTGCAGTTGTGATCGAAGAAAAAAAAAGTGATTAAAATTGTGACAGAATCAGAAGTGTTTTTCTTCTAATTGTGAATCGATATTTTAAATATAAATTAACATGTTTAATTTAAAAACAGTTGAAAATGAAATGGACTAATGTGATCAAGATTGATTACGAAATATAAGGCATTTCAATGAGTGATGGTAACGAGCAATTAGTTGTTGTTGTTTTTTTCCTTTTATATATTAATTTGTTTTCGATGTCAATTCGACGCCGTTTTTATATTCATTAGCCAATTACAAATTTTTGACATTAATTTCCATATGATTTATTTATAAATAGCTTTCGATTAACCTTCATAGACAAGTGCACTTGCGCTCTCAACGAATTTATACACAGAAAAACTTCCTGCTTGCCAAAATTGCACAAAGCCAATTTTTTTTATCCACTATCACGAAGAAAATAGAGAGTTTGCATTATCAATGCTTGCAAAATCATTCAATTTATTTATTTGGAGGTAAGTATTATTATTTCACTATTAGGATATTTTTCTCTGTATGATATCCGCTCTACTATCAAACGAGACAAGTACAACACAATTACACAAATAGAACTGCATTGAGGAAGTCGCGAAACGATGCACTCGAGTTTATGGCTATTTATATCTTAAACTTATTTACATTTTCACGTATTGGTTACTAAGTCAGTAGTCGATGATTCGGTTGTTGACGGCAAATCGATGGAATATCGAGAATGTTGCATTTGATGTGGTAACTCAAGTTTATTTGATTGATGATTGTCCGATTCTGAATTTAGAGATCCGTGGGGTCGCTCTGAGACCGATGATGACGAGATGGGAGTCGTCGATGACAAATAATTGTTTGTGGCATTAGATTGTGCAAGCGAATTTGAAACGCTTGCATTTGATGAAATGTCGATGTTGAGGGGATGGTTGACGACGTAAGTATTACGTCGTTTGGTTCGCATCACGCCTAAATAGATGCAATGATAAGACAATTATTATCGGAATAAATTGTCAAACTACAAATATGTTAACACAGGAAAAAACGTTAAATAAACAATAAGGAACTGAAATATAGTTTATTACAATTGAATCGTTGCGGCGAAACAGTAGCTCTTATTTTTCTCCAAATAATACTGCAACATGAAGTTTTTTTCACACGGTTTATTTGTTGTAATACAACAAATAAACTAATCATAAAAAACTTTATGTTGCAGTATTATTTGGAGAAGAATAAGAGCTACTCTTTCGCCGCAACGATTCAATTTTAAAATTTCAATCTATGTACATTTAATCAGTTTCACAAACATCCACTTGAAAATACCGTCCAATGACACAAAATGTGTTTGTGAAACAGATGAAAGAATTTTTGGTGTATTAAATACTTCGAATCAAATACTGCATTATTAATGTATCTAAGATTATGAATATACAAAAACATGACCATAAATGATACATAAAGCAACCATGAGTTCTAGATTCCATTACAGAGTTGAAAAAAATTAAATGACATAAGATTTAAATAAATTTTGAAAATTTTTTTTTTGTTGTACATCAGAACCAATGGTGAAAATGAACCATAGATAAGATAGGAGTGACAGTTTATAGGTCTTGTGTATAGAAATATTAATCGACACTCACTTCAAGCTGAACAAAAAAATGAGCGTGTAAAATATTTGATTGTGCTCCAAAGAAAAAAAAAAAAAGAAGCGAAGAACGTAAGTGAAGCTATTAAGATCGAATACATTTCGATATCGACGTTTTGCTTACATTTGCTGACAATGTTGTTTCGTGAACATGTGAATCTTGTCGTCGATATTTCGCCAATTTCGCCTTATTAATAGGAGCACCTAAATAACACAATGACAGATATAATGATATTGTTTAAATGTCGATTGCACTTCTTGGGCCGTTTCCATGTTTCTCAATCAATTTGACTATGAAATGACTTGAATGCGTATGTAAATATTAATTCACTTGACCAATGAAAAGAAAAATGATACCATAACCATATAAGGTCAAACATTGTGTATTGAAAACTTCCAGTGTGGACGAAAGACACTTTCTATTTGTATTTACTTTATTTAATTTTTGAATAAACAAGAACTCACCAATAAAGCTGAGAAGTACGGGCAGGAATACTAAGCCATGTGCAGCGCCAAATAGTACGATTCCCAAGTACATTTTGAAATAGAATACTCTGAATATTTGACTTTTTGCAAGCCCAAGAACCAGGATACCAGCAAATTTCGTTAATGTGATACCAGAAAAAATGGAGCTGCCCATCTTCGTTAAAGAATCGGCCGCACGACGTATTCGTGTGTCTTCCATTGATACTCCAAACGAATGAACTAAATGTGAACAAAATTCGACGGAGATACCAACGGCCATAACTAAATTTACCAGTGACACTGCATTCAATGAAATGTCCCAGAAGTACATCAGGCCACCAAGATTCACTACAATCATCGTTATTGTGATAATAACTACAATTGATGAATGTATATCAAATCCCATCAGAATGAATGTTACAATGAAAATTGCCAACACTGAGTAGCCCATACTATGGAGAGAAAGATTTTTTTAAAAATATATTTACGTTTTACATTGATTGTATGATTTACCTTTGGATCGTATCTGGCCACATTGTTAGATATTGTTCATAGAAAACGTAAAAAACAGAGTATGGAAATACATTCACCTTTTCAATTTCACTCTCTGCAACGCCGCTCAATCGTAAATTTGCTCTGATCATCTGTGTTATGTTATACGATACATTACGCGCTGCACGAAGGGACTCATAATAATCCGATGAAGTTTTCAAAATTGTGTGGTACGACATGAAATATGATGCTTTAACATCGGTATGATTGGCTTTCGATTGACGATAATTGACGGCATTTGAATAGGCAGCATGTCCACCTTTTGCACATTCTTCATCCGGATTGTCTTGCAAGAAAAACGGTAAAAAATGCTCAAATGCTGTGGAGTTGGGTCGTTGATTCGGTTCTAGCATAATTTTACATGATAGGCAGTCCACATCTGATAAAAGAAATAAAATAGATTATTTTGAATTACAAATCATCAAGTGTTAATATATAAAAATACTACTAACCTGAATGTGGACAAAAACTTGCATTGTTTGGAAAATATTTGCAACACGATGACGAGGCAGTCCAGTCTTTTTTAAAGTAAATACATCTAATTATTAACTTAACAATTAAAAAAAAATAGACTAATAGACTTACCAAAATAGTCATCTAGCCACGAAGATGCCGGACGTGCAATATACGTGTAATTTGGTGTTTTACTTGCGATGAAAATTTGCGTGGATAAACTATCAGCGTTGCAGTATTGTCCACCACAAATGAGATTTTGTTCTTTTGTATTTGTAAAGTTGAGACCGGTCGCTACGAAATACACGGGCGGTCCAATGCTTAAGTACTTCTTAATGAATTGGAAGTATCTGAGTACGAAACTATCCTCTGGCATGCTCAGCTCTTGATCGAGCCCGACGTCAATGTGTGGAGCAACCGCTATGCTTGAACAAAACCATCCGAAGAATACAACCATTACAATTGCACGAACGGTATTTTGCATTAAGAAAGGCACATAAATCAATTTGAAGAATTTGTATAAGGCTCCCTCCATAACTTGCATCATGTCATGCAAATCATCGCGTTTGCCGCGTATAAAACATAAAATATCGTATCGATTCTCTGCTTGACGTACAGTGTCCAAAGCCAACAGTGATACAAAACATGTTATTTGCAACATGAAATCAATTATAAGCGCCACACCTGCGTAAAGCGCAAAAGCACGTACAGCCGGCATGTCAGATAATCCACCGAGAAAAAAGCAACAACTCTCACTTACACTCGTCAATAGCATCGATGGGCCGACTTTGCCTAAAATTCGTCCAACATGATCTGCATGGGTTTCATTTGGTCTTCTTGCATCACGCTGATGCGTTTGTACCAATATAAAAATGTTATCTACACCAACAGCAAGCACCAAAAATGGAATCACTTCAACGATGATGAGAGTTGCACTTAACCCGATAAACCCAAACAAACCAATGCTGCAAACAACCGACGCCAGAACAATAATAACACCGCCGATACCAAGCGTAATTTTACTATCGATTAAAATTCGACTGTATCGTTCTAGTTCAACATGGCCCAATGAAATTGCAATGTAGACGAACATAATGAGATATGAGACGAGAATCGTTAAAACATCTGATTGTGATTCTCGTAATAGTTCATCTTCAATGGATCTTTCTGATGAAAATGCGATTTCGATGTGTTTTGACTTGTTATTTTTCACCCAGTCTTTCATGAATTCAACATAGAGAGCTTCCCTGTGGTGTGAATCAAAAAGGAAAAATGAAAATCGATCAAGGAGTAATGGAACAAAATGGAAACATATATAATATTGAAACATTATGTAAATACCATTTTTTGGCTGGCAAAAGTCGCTCTTTATTGTGATAATTATTCACCAAAAATGTCAAAATTACGACATCAGCTTTATTGTAATTTGTAGATTCACTCAATGCTTCTCCATCTTCCAAAAATCCACCTAGAGCTACGGCTGCATCGATTGGCCCACCATATTGTGCCAAACTATTAAAAAAAGAATCATGAAATTATATTTTAATAAATTATAACTTATTTTATAACTTACCATTCCGGATCGAATGAGTTTCCAAAACATTTTATCAACGTATCCAAATAAGTGATATTAAAACCCTTTGAATCCACATCTGTTTCTTCGAACGTCTCAACGTCATCTTGAAAATAACCCCAAATTGATTGAACTACACAATCACTCGTTTTAACTGGTCCTGTGAACTCTGAACTCAATGGTGCAAAACAAATCGACTCCAAGCTGTGATCGGTGCCTTCTCCCAGTTCTAATGTAAAATAATATTCCATAGAATAAATGGAAAAATCTTCATTGAAATATCATTAATCTTGCTTACTCTTTATGCCATTCTGTAGCTCAAGCACTTCAAGCAAAAACTGTTTATTGAATGCTGGTCCGAATTGGACCGGACCATTAGATGTTTCATAGGTAAAATTTGGTAAATTTGATTTGATAATTATCTATTAGAGAAAATAGACCACATTTAAAAAATAACATTCCAATCGCAATTTTTGCATTACAACAAACCTGTTCAATGCGATAGAATGGCTCAAAATTTGAATCGAAAAATTCACGTTCAATACGTGAACGCGAGTTAGGTGCAGCCCATAGCTCGACTGGGTCGGTTGTGATCTTCAAATATATGATGCCATGTCCCATGGCACAGACGAAAATAAATCCTGTTGAAAACACAAAACGAACATTATTATATAAGTGGCATAAATAATGCCGTTATTAATGAATACGATTCAAATGATTACCTAAAAACAGTACCAAATATTGGTTATTTGCACACCATGTCCCCCACGCTGTGAAAAACTTTTCCAGAAAAATTTCTGTACGCGCTCCCAAACGCTCAAAGTATCCGATGTCAACTTCATCACATTGCATTCCGTTATTTTCACGATGGCTATTTTCTGGTTCACCTTCCCATGTTCCACCTATTATTAAATTATAATCATTTAAATACATTTTTGTGAAGACATTATAATAACTACACTCTTATATCGGTGGTATTAATATTTAGTATTTTGGGATTTTCAGCTACGATTAATCCAAAAGGACTAAAAAGTAATCCAATGGGATCATTTTATATTTTTTAACTTGAGTTCAATAAACAATTTTTTGTTGTTTGTAAAAAAATATCTCAAAATGCTCAGTGATTTTTTTTCAAAAGGGTAACATGGCAAACATTTTGCAAAATTTTCAAAATCCATCAGAATCTTGAACAACCGAAACACTATCGTTAAATGCGGGTTGAGGAAAGATTAATTCTTGCTTTGTTGACGAATGATTTTCAATAAGATTCTTTTGCATCGAATATCAACATAGATTCCGTATCACACCTTTGGGAGTGTAATTTAGCGAACATTTTGTCAGCATTTGAAATCGGACTGCAGAATTATGAAATTGTATTTATGCAAGAGTGAAATGAACGCATTGATATTTGTTTATTGTGAACCCGTTCGATCACATGAATCGGTGATTGTATATTTTGATAAATTTTTAGAGGCCTGTTTTTAAAATACCAGGAACCTATAAGTTCATCAACAATAATACATTGCTAAATCAACCGATTTTTGAGTATAATTAATAAATTTATTTGATGGCATGCATAGTCTATCATAGTCATTGTAGTTTTTGATAAATATAACAGTGGCCTGAATATTTTTAAACCGGCACTTTTATATTTATCAAAATATATTTTGATTATTCATCAATATTTCGAGGTATAAATATCGGTGGAGATTCCAATACGTTAACAGTTGCTAAAAATATTGGGCGTACTATCACCTGGAATCGTGATGCAAATGCAGGTCGTAACATTCTCTACAAAGGTTTATGTTTGTTAAATTGATATGCTCTCAGTTCAATATGAACAAGTCAATGAACAATAGACAATGAATTCGTTTTTTTAATTCCTTACAAACAAACAGGATGGTGTGCTGTTATGAATATAGAGCTACATCCAGCATTTCAACGGCATGTTGAAGAAGAAGAAGAAAATGCAGGAGGAGGAGATCCGCCGCCAGCACCACCAGCACGAGCTCGACAATCAAGACGAGCAGCATCCAATCAAGTATGTAATCATTTCAATAATTCTGCTTTGAATTTATCTAATCAATTGAAGCTACACATACTTTTAATTTACGTTCATATTTAGAAATTGATATAATCATTGTCATTTTCAGAATCAACAAACAACACAACGAACATTGCGTTCTCATCTGGATCAAGCGCGGAGCTCTCGGCCGTAAGCCCTGGGTTTTGTGCGGGATTTCAACGTGGTCCTACAATTCGCTACAATTAGTAAGTATTTAAATTTAATCCTACAGTGCTAAAATTTAATCCTTTTGGATTATTTTGATGAAAAATCCCAAATGATTAATATTTAATCCCTTCTATTTTACAGTGTACTGGAACGACAACAATTGCAAACCAACAATAGTTGTCAATATACGAATCAATAATATAAATACATACAAGTGTACAACGTTTTACTGAAACAAGTCAAATTTAAGCAATAAAGCAATAAAAATTATACATATACATATTTTACGATTTAGACAAACCCCCCACAATAAAAAAAACCCACCACATAATAGAATATAAACTTAATTAATACGGATTAAGCCCCATGGTAAAGTTTGACGATATTTAAAAGAAAAACGATAAAAAAGAATTGCAAGAAATTCATAAAATATAAACACAAAAAAATAATAATAAAAATTACACCAAATTTTTTGAATTATTAACTGTTTTCAACGCATTCTGTTATTATTCTTGAAGCTTTATTCCAATGGCATTACATGACAAATATTTGGAATATAGTGATAATTAAGTGTTAGCTTCGTCCGAGGCCGAACTAAAGCTAAACTAACATCAATTTTTATGAAAGTATAAAAGTTTGAAAGCCAACAAAATGTCACAATGTGAAATAGCAGTGCATGTGAAATATCAATTGTTCAAAGCAAGCTAGCAAATTGCTATATGACTGTGATAAGCTTGAAAGTTTTTGAAAGTGAATTTTCTCCATCCCAGAATTGTTTCTATTTTGAGATGATATTTTCATAATTTTAAAATGTTATACATTAATGATACGGTTTGAGTTTGTGGGCATCCCATTTCAAAATAATATAAATAACATAAAAAAACATTCACCAAACAACAAAATAATAACACAAATTGGTTCTTTATTTGTTTACAAACAGATAATTTCGTCATAATGTAAATGTCATGAAAGGCTACTCATGCATGGTTTTATAAGGACGAAGAAAATTAATATAAAAATACATTCTAAAATTAAACCTACTCGATCGTTTCGACTGCAATGGTGAATCTTCACCGTCAATTGCATCAGCATCGCATGGTTGACATGGTAGTCCATTTGAATTTCCACCTAATCGCTGATCTATATTTGAATTTATCTCATTATGACCGTAGTCAATGCGTACCAAAACCGCTACACATTTTCGGAATGTAGAAAATTTGTTTGTTTGTGTGTGAGTGTGTGTGTTTAAAACGTGCCACCATACATTCAATAGAGATTAATTGCGAACCAAAAGAATTAAGATTAAGAAAAATTGATTAGAAAAAAATGAAAGCAACCATACACCATTTGAAAGGGTCAAAATAGTGTCAAATATGACAATATGGGTAATTAATAATCCATTGAACCATTTAATGAATAAATTGATTGTAAAATGTCTCTCCTTTATACAAGATGAACAAATATTATAATCATTTTACATATAAATAATATAATTCAATAAAAGAGGAGCACGTTTAAGTTGCAGTTTCTTGATTAGAAATTTTCTCTCATCTGAAGCAAACAGATAAGATAAGTGAATTTGTGCTCCTCTTTGGCTACATTTAAATTATATCGTTTTACAAAAATGTAAGAAGTATTGAGTGATAACTCACCATCCATAGATTGACTTGGATACAGACAGACGCCGATTAAAAATAACGTCGATAATACAACAAATAATACGGCCATACACACTTTATAGCCATCCATGTAAAAAATTGTAAATTTTTTTGGTGGCTGAGGTATTGGTGGTGGTTTCGGGCAAGATTGTTCACAATCAACACAGGCACATGGTAACGTCTTGTTCTGAAATTTTCGAACACAAAAAATGCAATTATCACTAATTATTAAAATTCATTGACTAATTAAATAAGCGTGGCCAATTGAATTAAACTCACATTGACTGCTTCATTGCAGGGCACAACCATTGGATTGAGTGGTTTATAACCATTGATTGGTTCTGTAATATAGTTTATTTGAAATGGAACGTAAGGATTTCCTTCAGCGTCTCCCATGAATTCAAACCATTTTTGGGGGCTACAACGCGAAGCTCCCCACTCGCCGCACATCATGTCCAATGCCCGTTTTCCAGTTGAAGGAACAATGACCTATAAAAATTAGACAAACATTTATTAAATCGATGGCATCAATTACGTTCATTGTTCGGAATACATACTTGAGAGCACGAACGGAAAGTTCCATTTAAATATTTATCACTTATTGAAATATCGACTGCCTTTACGATTGGACCGAAGCCTTTACGGACATGAATAAACGATAAAGGAAACCATACAAGACATATTAATAAAAGTGTAAATCTTATTTAAATATATTGTACATAAAATGTATTTGAATTTGTGGTTTTGAGAGAAGAAATGTGAAAATAAAAATACATATGCAAATTGTGTAATACGTTGTAGAGTCTCATATCCCAAATGAATGAATGAATTATTTATTTATTGTTAAACAAAAGAATTATTATTCGATTTGGGTTTTGCAATTGAATTTTGAATTGTAGAGTTTTTCGTAATATCATGATATGGGAATGATCGAGATACATAAATTCAAAAAAATTAGAATGAAAATGTCAACGAGATTTTTTTTCTTTACAAAATCTAATTCCCTTCAGCTTTTGCACAGAATAGATTTCATACTTACCATTTTCTCCCTTTTCCTTTTCAATAACTTTCATAAAAGACGATTGCTCTGGACTACATGTGAATTCACATATATGACGTACTAAATTTGTAAAACACGATGGACATCTTTGTAGAAAATTTGCTGCTAATTTTACATTCTTATTAAGAACATCGATCTGTAAAGAAACAAAACGAGCACATATTCATTATTGGATATGGTCTTGTTAAATTGAATTAAATCACTTTATCGCATTCAAAATTGCAAAACCAATGAAACGCGAACTTGAATATTTGTATTTCTAATTTTATCAGTTTATACTTGAACGTTTTTTTTTTTTTTGTTGAGTTTCAAGACACTTTTATGGTTTTAGCGAAACGTCTTGAAAACCTTAAATTACATTTAGGACTTAATTCTTGAAAGAAAATTCATAAGAAAACAGCGCATATGATAGATAGAAGTTCAATTAAAGATTCATTTGGTTCAATTGGCAATTAAATTTGACCTCTTGCGTGCTTTGTTCGCTTATGATAATTTTTGTGGTACTTTTTTCTCTTTTAATTTTTTTTAATTAAGAAAAAATCTGAAAAGATTGCAATGATTTGAAAGAAAGCAACAAATGTTTGCCTACGAAAAATTCCAATTTTGTAATAACTTAGCGCTTTCGAATATTTCATACAATGACATGTAATCGCAAAATTGGGTAATGTGCGAAATCGAAATACATTGCTAATTGTTATAGACTAAACTAGAGTAAACTAATTGCAAAATATACTTTACCTGTTCGGCATCACAGCATGTTTTTGTGTCGGTTTCACCGTGTACCAAATGAGGACAGTATTGTTTTAATAGACTTTGTCCATTTTTATCTAGTGGTACTGGTGCCGTTTCGTTACTACAATAAAGTTTATGTCCGGTAGAGGAATTCTTACATACACCATACCATACACAATGCGCATTACTATCATCATAGCCGTTGATAATCTGAAACGACAATTAAAAAAAATATTATTTAAATTTAATAACAGATTCAATCGGCAAACTTTAATAAAGTTCAAAACGCATATATCATTGTCAATTTCACGCTTATTGACTGACTCAATTGAATGTCGCACATAATAAATGTATGAGTACATCATGACAATAAAATATACTTGACGGGTATACGCTTCTTTAACACATTATGACAAGCAAATTTATTTTATGAGAATCACAATCGATATAGAACAACAGACAACGTGTGACCTTTGGGAAATGTAAAAAAGTCATTACATCGCGAAACAGGTGTAATTCGTTATATTTCTCGTGACACTCTGTCGAGTACATTTTTAAGAAATTCATAATATATTATTTCTGGAAACAAAGAGTTCAATTGAATGAACTTGCCAGCATCGTTTCTTTGATATTTTCATTTTTAGAGTACCAGACTCTGAATCACAAATATTACCTAGCCTTTTAAACCGATTATTTATTTTTCAAACTCAATAAATTTGCTAGCAATTTGGATATCATCGTCAAATTTTGACAGTTGGGATATTCATTTATGTGAGGGACTTATTACTTTTCCGCACACACCTAGTGTGTAAGGGGAAAGTATTGCAATGGGTCAAAGTTTACGACATCTCAAAAACATGTTTTCTAGATGTTTCTGAGGTCAGAGAACCTGAATCTTTATGTAGACTTAAACACTCAAAAATATATATTGGGGGGTTTTTTGGCACGAGAAACTGAATCCGACGTTAATTTTGAGATACAATTAAGTTTTAACAGAGTTTCTTTGAAAAAATCGCGAAAAATTTAATTTAAATATGGAAGCCATGCTTTTATGCTAATGACGTGAAACTTTGCACAGGCTATTTTTTACACAAAAAATAACATTCTAAAAGTTTGAAGAAATTTCAATCAAAATAAGGGGTACCTCCCATACAAAATTTTGCTCAGAAACGAATATTTTGTATGGGAGGTCCTCTTAATTTTCTTACAGGCATTATTCCCATACAAAAATCCAAATTTTTTCTTACTTATGTATGATTATGGCAAAAATAATGTTTATGGCAAAATTAACGTCAGACATATTTTTATAGTGTTTTATTAGAAAATGGAATACTTTCAAATGTCGTACAAATGGGTTCATCATGAAGTGTGAAAAATCTTTTGCGAGTACTTCTGATATTAATTAAAGAATATTTCGATGCCGAACACATTTTTTGGCCTCAAACTTAACGCCGCTTGAAAGGCTTGAAAAATCGAACAAATATTATTTTGAACTAGCTTAATAGAATACGCATTTTGCAACTACCACCGTGCGGAAAAGTTCGTCTTACTCCTGTAAGACTCTTTATTTTTAAACTTGATAATCTATTTGTTTTTGCTTTTGCTGTTTGTGTAAGATTTTAACCCGCATCTTTGTAGATGTGTTCATATCTTTGTTGAAATCCATACCATGCAGTATTAAAAAATTTCAGCAAAAAAAATGAACTGGCAATTTGTAATCTATGAATTTGAAAATATCAAATATTTCTAGATATATTTACTATTTACTAGAGTAAAGTATAATATAATCGAAGTCAAAACTGACTGTATCTGTAAAGCGTTTTTTTTTTTTGGAATCAGTGTATCGAGTAAATTTGATTCATTATTGTAGTAAATTATGACGTGGTTGATAGTTCAATCAATAGCATTGACGTGAATTAAACTGCCAAAATTGTTAGTAACTACATTCACGCATGTTTGTGTGTCGTACGATATATTGTACGTACCAATGTGGAAACAACGGAGATATATAATGCTTTGCTATAAAATTCGATTATTATTTGCATTTAAATTTTTATCAGTTCAAAAAGATTTTCTGGTTGAACAAACAATGATTCAGATCTCTCTCAAAGTAATATCTTTCAATCGTGTTTTTTAAAACTCATAGCAAATCCACCGCGTTTTGGAAGGCAGATAATGAAATCATTTTTAGGGCGGTTGTCAATAGAATTGACATTTAATACATTGAAATAATGCCTTTCGCAAGTTTTATGAAGGCTTATCGTATAAATTAAACAAAAGCTGGTTAATTGCCAGAATTTGTGGTCAGAGCACAAAAAATGATAAATGAGTCATCAAAAACCTTCAAACTTCTTATCGAAATAGAAAGTATGCCAGAAAAATATATATTTTTAAAAAATTCGATAAAATTCGTAACAATCATTAGTCATACCAAACAATTTCAATAATTGTTTGATGAAATATATGATGTAAAAGGAGAGGATGTGTTTCATGATTGTTGATTACAGCTCAACTAAATGATGTTAATAGTCTGATTATGTATGAACTGATTCAAATCAACGATATAAATAGAAATTATTGTTATGAAAACAACATTTACACAAAGAATAAATATTATTCCAATAAACGAGCCAATGGATTTTTCGTTGAAATCAAATCAATGATTCATATGTGTCCGTAAGAATAAATATGGCATTACAAAAACGGAATCTGAAGAACGTTACATAAATTTTTTTTTGTATGGAGTTGTACTACGTAAAAAAAATTTATGTAACGTTCTTCAGATTCCGTTTTTGTATTGTCATATTTATTCTTACGGACACATATGTTCCTGGTCTGATTTATAGTAATCAGGCGAAATATTGGGCGATAATATTCTGTGAATGTGAATCTACAATATTTATTTGATTTCAATGCTCAAAAAATAAACGTCAAAACAAAAATATCTTCTGAATTTCGCACAATGAATGAATTATCACAAAAAATAAAAGTGGAAGTTATTGTTTAATGCGTGATGCGTACAAGGTGAAAATAATTCAAATAAAATCAGCCGATAAATTTTTTTTCCTTGTTCAATTCAATTATTAAATCTTATCAGTATCCTTGTGTAAATCTCAAAATTGACGGAAGTATTTTAATTTCAATTGCAAGATTTCATATAAATCGATTTTTGCTCAATAGTGACACTATGTAAATTGATGTAGAAAGAGATAAAATAACTTGATATGCACAACAAACTTTATTTCAATGCTAATGCAATACATCTGCATCAACTGAAATGCCGAAATCGCCTGGTGCTTCGTTTGCGCATTTTTCATTGGTGGATAGTGAGTTTTAAAACTTTTCCATTTACGAAATTCCATTGCATTGGCAAAGTCATCATAGGAAAGGCCAATAAATACGCACACACCACACAATTTTCATAAAATGATGTATACTGCCAACAATTGGCTCGTATATGAAAACTGCGACGCTTTTCCGAATAATCGTCATCAAGTCGAATTCTTGTTTTCTTTTTCTTTGCTATTTTTTGCTTCATATACAAAAATACACGCTCAAGTTGACCTTTTGTAGTTTGAATGAGCGTTTTATTGAAGCCAGAACAGCGCTTTATTATTCAGTTGAGCCGTGGAAAATGAATCAAACATGAAATGAAAATGAGAAAAACAAACAAAATTGTAAAAAAATCGATAAAATTATCCAAGTGCATGGCATACGACGGGGAAAATCGTTTAATAATAATGCCATGGACTATAGAATGGCGTCGACGAAAAAAAATCGACAACGACGACCATGTATACAAAAGGTATTGATAAAGAACAAATTACCGAACTTAGAAAACATCAGAACATAATATGTGGCATTGATAATTTTCTAAAATATCTATTTTTTCGGTTAAAAGTTGAAATACATTCAATAATATGTTGCCACAAAAAGTACATTTGATATATATCTATCACAGAAAGAATACATCATCAACGTTCACAATTGCATTATTATTACGAATACACGCCATGCTTCGAATCGTTCGATTGTGGTCAAATTGCGGCAACGATAATATATCAATTTGTGTGCATGTTATTTAGTCTAATGGGAGTAAATATCATAATATTGTAAAATTCTTTATCGTTTCAACGAATTACACATATACAATTATACATATACAATTTTGTGTTTGTACAGCAATTCTGTTAGTACGAAACCATACAAATAACAAATATTATATTCGTTTAAGAAAAATAATAAAAAAATATCGACCAATATGAAGGTATACTTTTCCTTTCATCGTTCGTTGGCCGGTCATTCGACACTTTGATCTTAATTCCATTTTATCGTTTTTTTTTTCTTTATGCTCTAGTTATGTACAAAATCTCATTACATCTAAAAATTGAAGAGACTCACTTTCATTATCCAAACAATCAAAAATATTCAAAACAAAGAAAAGAACTCTATTTTATTCTCAAAAGAAATATCAAATTTGATCAGATTTAAAAATTGAGCTTCATCGTTTCAAAATGGGTGAATTCTTCAATAAAACTTAGAAACTTTTGTCGGCCAATAAAACAACGGCAGAATATATCGATCAAAATCACTACGATCAAGAAATCAATATTAGTTCAGAGAGCCGCTTATAATTTACATCGCTGGAAATACCAGCACAGTAAAGTGAGACTCCATAAATTGACAATACAAGTGATTTCGTCATTTCTTGTGTTAAATCTTACTTCAATACTTGTTTAACTGGAAAGTTTTTAACCATTAAAAATGCGTTTCGTTTTTTTCCTGTAATCATTAGCGCAAATAATGATGATACACGTGTTGCGATGAGAAAACAAAATATATATATATATATATATATATATATTCCGTATTTTATAAGAAAAGTAATGTTCTAATCGACCCACTAAAATTGTTGATGGTCTGTGTGAAAAATGTCGTTCACTACATAGCCGAAACAATTCACGCACAAGCGTAGTGTTCATTTAGGTTCATGGAATAACGTTTGACAAGCAATTGCGGCTCCGCTTGTTGAAACAAATGAAATCATCCATAAGAAGTGTCAAAGCGTTTACGAGCTGTACTGAAATACGTTCAAATACGTGGGAATTTCATTCCAATATGATTCATAATATTACTATCTTATATTTAAACAACAATATCGATTATGAGTTTATATATTGATACTACACGTTTTCACTGTGTTGTCAATGAAGCTAATTTACAAAGATTAAAAGCGATAAACAATTTTTTTCAACAAGATATAATTCAGATCGTACCATTCGGTTAATAGCACATCCAGTTCGCAGTATAATTATGACCAGCATAAATTTGTAGTGGTCAAAATACATTACATACAAATAAAGAAAAAAATTGCAATTATATCACATACAAATGAAGCATTTCGTTCACTAAGTACTGTAGATAACTTATTTTAATAATTTGATGCATGAACAAACGTTGTATACTTTACAGCACAACGAATATATCACTCTTACACAAATGTATACCGAAAATATTATCAGAATGACTAATAGCTCTAGCTCATAGTGTGGTCAATTTTCAAATTTTTTTTATATCATGATATTTACTGCTTAACTGGGTACGTTGTTAAAATAGACGCCGACGAAATACTGCTTTGTAATTGATGATTGGCCACAAAAAAGTCTTATCATCACAAATAAATTATGAACCACGCGCAAAATAATTAAAACTAAGAGTTGAGCGTGCAAATCTTAGCGCAACAACAATAAAAAAAACTTGATTGAGAAAAAAAAAATAGTTGAAACACGGAAATGGAAATAAAAATGAACTATTGTGCACTCTGCACCTAAGTTTGTATATGCTATCTCGTACCTTTAGAACACTTGAAAATGAGTGATGAATGAGATGGCATATAAAATCTGAATGAAAATGAGAGAAACAACGTCTATATGTATGTAGTAGTCGAGATATTTCAGTATGTGATGACGAAACATGCATATGTTTATCACACATGCAACTCTAAATGACACTGTTCGATGCAGACAAGCACATTTTGCACGATATAAATACAATAAATACATATGGTAACGTTGTCGTGGCACTACGGTGTATAATTGCTGCTTGGTTACTTTTTTTCTTTCGCACTATCTCATTTTCTGGCTTGTGATTGCGTCTAAAATTGTTTGTTTGACGGTGTGCTTATAATAATAATAAGCGCATGATTTCGACGAGTAATCAATTTTAATCATACACTTTTTTTTTTCTTATTAAATATAAACATTCAATACAACAGTATAAAGAAACTTACCTCTGTACTCCTTGTTATTGGAAAATTTTGGAATAATAGCGCACAAAAAACAAAAAACATAACTAAATTATTTATACAATGCAAGTTTGAAAGGCGATGACATTGCTGTTGTTCCTCCGAATGTTGTTGTCGTATGCAATGATTATTAGGTCTTTTCCGTCGATGATGTTGCATTGATGTGTGATATGTCCAAGCCATTTCGATTAAAAATTGTTTGTCTAATGATTAGAATCGTTGTTCGTATTTTGTTTAAATTTGAATTGGATTCTATTTTTTTCCGTTTTGGCTACATAAGCTCGTTAGGTAATAATTTGTTTTCTTTAATGTGACGTACAAAACTGATTTAATATCGTAAGATATCTATGATTTTTGTACTTTTTCGTGGACATTTAAAATAATCATATATATATTCGTTACCAGTGTGAATGAAACAGTAAAAAAAAAGTGGCAAACTAATTAAAATTTATTAGGCGTGTCCTTGCTTCTTTCTTTCTTTTATACCACATTCCCGACTTGAAAATTAAATATAAAACAACAAAAACACTGAGCGATGCTTCTTCTTTCGTTTCAAGTTGAATGACGACAATGATGATATACACTGTGCATTTTACGTATGGAATCAATAAATCAATTTGAATTCGATAAAATTAAAAACACTTACACACGGAAAACAGAACAAAGAATCACTTTTATTTTGAATTTAAGTTTATAAAGTTATCAAACGTTATCATAGTCTGTACATCTTGAACATTTCAATCAGTATTTTTTTTTTTATCATAGCTATACATATACTTTTTTTTACTCTTGAACGAAACTTTTTGTAAATTATTGAAAAAAGATTTTTGATTCAATTTTCACCTTTGGTTTCTACGGTAACGATAGGAACAAATAATACGATATTTTACTTGCGGCTAAGGAATTTACTCTCAACACATTTTCTCCCTATAAATAGGCTTAGTTTAATTGGAATTGTCTGTGCAACATACGAAATCTTCTTATTTGATGTTATTCGCTGTTGAATCAATGACTGACTGATGGACGCAAGCTATACACAAATATAAAAAGTCAAGGAATGACGAAACTGGCGGCTTTGGAATTACCATTTTTTGCGTTATCGGCTTCATAATATATAGCGCAAATCATTCAAAATATATAATCAGTAGCACTTCAAACAAAAAATATAAAATTTATTTGTAAATAACTTTTGATAATTCAAAGTAAAAAAAAACTTTTAAAGAATTTATAAGACATTTTGGTAATTAAAAAAAATCCTATTTTAATCAATTTATGTACTGTTTGTTCATAGCATGTAGCGCCATCTGTTATCAGAGCCAATGCCGTCCAATCATCTGTCAAAAAAAATGTCTATGTAGACCAAACGTGTGAATGTCAAACTCCACAAACGCTTGCAATCGAATAAACGTATTTATTTATTTTTGGAAATTTATTGATGAAATATCACTTGAAAAAATGTCGGTGGTGATAGAAACCACTCTCGGCGATTTAACTGTTGATTTATTTCTAACAGAACGTCCAAGAGCAAGTTTAAATTTTCTAAAATTGTGTAAATTGAAATACTACAACTTTAACCTCTTTCACACGATCCAAGCCGGATTTATTGCGCAAACAGGAGGTTAGCTTTGTGACTTTCTAAATTTGTGGTTCATCTGCATTGATTTTTGTTCATAACATTTCGTTTTTATTATCAGATCCATCGGGTGAAGGAAATGGTGGTGAATCTGTATGGGGTCTAATAGAAGGTCCAGAGAAGCGATTCTTTCAAGCAGAATATTTACCAAAAATTCGACACTCAGAACCAGGTCTGCTGTCAATGGTGAGCTTAGGCGATAGTTTGATTGGTTCGCAGTTTTTCTTCACATTGGGCTCAGACTTAACTTCATTGGATGGTGTACACTGTGTCATTGGGCAAGTTGTGGAAGGATTGGATGTATTACGCGCCATTAACGAAGTAATTTGCGACGAGACTAATCGACCGTACAAAGATGTTCGTATTACACATACCGTCATTTTGGACGATCCATTCGAAAATCCACGCGGCTTCAAAGAGCCAAGTAGATCACCATCACCAAGTGCAGAACGTTTGAAAGGCGGTAGAATAGCGGCCGATGAAGAAATCGACGAAACAAATGGTAAGAGTGAAGGGTAATTGCCTTTCTATTATTAATTAATTCTTATTGATTCTTTTTTCGATTATTTTAAATAAATTCTATTCTTTTCTTTTGTGATTGTCTCCATAGGTAAGAGTGAAGCTGAATTGGCCGAAATGCGAATGGAACGTGAAGCAAAAGCGAGAGCTACTATTCTGGAAATTATTGGTGATCTGCCTGATGCCGAAATTGCCCCACCTGAAAATGTCTTATTCGTTTGCAAACTCAACAGTGTTACCAATGATGACGATTTAGAAATTATCTTTAGTCGTTTTGGAAAAATCAAAGGCTGTGAAGTAATTCGCGATCGAAAAACCGGCGACTCATTACAATATGCTTTCATTGAATTTGAGGATAAAAAATCGTGTGAAATGGCCTATTTTAAAATGGACAACGTTTTAATTGACGATCGACGAATTCATGTTGACTTTTCGCAGTCCGTATCTAAGCTGCAATGGAAGGGAAAAGGACGTGGTTTTATCATGAAAGATGGCACTCAAAATACGCGACTTGATTTCAATAATTACAACAAACCAGTTCGTGAAAATAATCGAAACAGAGATAATAGGGACGATAAGGGCAACTCAAGCGGCGTAGCTAGAAGTAGTTATGGCATTGAACGGCATGAACGGCAACGATCGCCAAGAAGAAATCAGACAATAGATCGAAGGGAAAGATCAAGAAGTCCATACGACAGAAGGTGGCGTTCGAATGATCGCAATTCTTATAGACGAAATCATTCGCCAGAGAGAAATGTTCGACGTGATGGAAGAATCTCAAATAACAGAAGAAATGATGAGAGAAAAAAATATAATGAACGGACGCGTCGAAGCCCATCACCTGAAAAACGAGTTAAATTGCGTCGAAGTCCATCACCTGAAAAACGAGCCAAATCACGTCGAAGTCCATCGGTTGAGAAGCGCGGCAGTCGTCGAAGTCCATCAATTGAGAAGCGCGGCAGTCGTCGAAGTCCTTTGGAAAAAAGAAAATCTTATTCGGAAGACAAAAAATCTAGCAAAAAGAGAAAAAAGGAAAAATCCAAAAACAAAAAGGACAAAAAACACAAGAAAAAGAAGTCAAGGAAGCATAAGAAATATTCTTCAAACGAAAGCAGCAGCGATAGTGACAGTAGTTCCACATCAAGTTCGTCATAATTCCTGAAACTAGTGATTTATTTGCAAAGAAATAAATGGAAATAAAGAACAAATCTTTGTCACACAAATCACAGAATATTTATTTAAATTTTATAATTTTTTTGCAACGTTATCAATATGATCCATAGAAATATTTTGAATTCGCACAAATCGTAACTGATTTGGTTTTATGTTCTTTGTTTTATTTTGTTCCCATTTCAGGTTTTCTTTAAAGCGTTCGTTTCGATTACTATGCGTTATAAAAGTGAAAATCTCATAGAAAAAAATCGATTCGAATTAAAATTATGTTCGTTTCGAAAATTCAATAATGTGAACCTTAATCCATAACACTAAACAATCATTACAAATATCTAGTAACAGCGAATCACTTTCACTGTCTCAAATATCGTATGTGATATACGACGCATCTATTTTTATTCTTATTATCTTAATTTCTTCTTAATTATGTGTATATTTTGTTTGTGTATTTTTAAATGCGTCATTTGTGCAGCCCTCATCATCAGCAAACACCATTGAAATTTGTGAGCCCATTTGTGATCTATTTAGTCGTTGACTCGGCGCTGTGGTTGGCAAAATAAATTCCGTACTGAAGTATCGACGTTGAATGAAAACTCGCAATTTATAAATCCAGAACAGGATCACATGAACTATAATAGCTAGGTCTAGAGTACCAAACACTGTAACCATAGCTTTTCCAGGTTCCGCCCAATTCAATACATTATAAATAAATGGATTTCCAAGTCTGAAAAAGTAAAATTACAATTTCATTATTGTCTTTAACCCTCCTAGGTATAGTAACGGTCTATTAGACCGAAAACTTAGAAAAAATATCATAATATCGGAACGCGTCGACCGATTGCCATCAAATTTTTGCCTTTATGCGAGAATAATGAATTAAAATTGAAAATAAAATTTAAAATCCTGCCACTGATCTGTAAAAAAAAATATCGCATAACGACGATAATCCTAACTTGATCGTATAGTTACGGTCTATTAGACCGTCCATACAAAATACAGGGAAAAACATACAAAAACAAAACAAAGTCACACTTTTTTTTAATTTTTGTATTTTTCTTTTTTGAAAACACTGAAAGAAGTTTGAATGTTAAAAATAGGAAGGATTTTAAGAAAATTATCAATTTGAATCATCAAAATAATTTTCATAGGAGCGTTTTTTTCGTTGAAAAAAATACTTTCTCATGTAAACAAGTATTGATGTACTGAATGGAAATTGGAAAAACTTCCGATCGATTCTTCTCGTCTTTCCGATGGGAAAAAAAATTCCAGCCATGTTATCCCCGGTATGCTCGACTTCTAGAACTTTTTGGACCAGGTTTGGGTCCACCCAGTCCACAGGATTCGATTCTGGCAACAACATCTATTACTGTAGGAATCACCGATCGATTTTTCTTATTCTCTTCAAAATATCACTTAAAATTAAGTGAAGAGGATGCAGGGATGAGAATTATCAACTTCCAAAACACATTGGACCAAGTCGGATCTACCTATTCCATAGGATACACTTCCAGATCAATTCATCTCACATGATATTATTGAATTTTTCAGCTCTCACTGCGACAATGAGATTTCTTAATCTGGAAGTGCATCCTGTTGAATAGTTAGATCCGACCTGGTCCAATGTGTTCGGGAAGTTCAAAATTCTCATCCCTACATCATCTCTTCTTCATTTCAAGTGATATTCTACAGTAAATAGCTTTTATAAGCGAGAATAAGAAAAATCGATCGGTGATTTCTACAGTAATAGATGTTGTAGCTAGAAGGGATTCCTGTAGATAAGGTGGACCCAAACCTGGTCCAAAGTGTTCTAGAAGTCGAGCACACCGGGGATAACATGGCTAGCAATTTTTTTTCTCCATCGGAAACGCGAGAAAAATCGATCGGAAGTTTTTCCAATTTCCATTCAGTATTTCAATTCTTGTTTACATGAGAAAGTATTTTTTTTAACGAAATATTTTTTTTTCAACGAAAAAAAAACGCTTTCATGTAAATGATTACGATGATTCAAATTGATAAATTTCTTAAAATCTTTCTTATTTTTAACTTTTAACCTTCTTTCAGTGTTTTCAAAAAAGAAAAATACAAAAATTTGAAAAAAAGTGTGACTTTGTTTTGTTTTTTTTATGGTTTTCCTGTATTTTGTATGGACGGTCCAATAGACCGTAACTATCCTATATTGTTTTTATTTCGAACTATACCTAGGAGGGTTAATATTGTTTTGAATTAAATTGACGTCACTCACATGTTTACACCGCCACACAAATAATATATGTATGAAAAAATTCCGTAGGACACTCCAAAGCAAATCGGTTGAATGACATGAAACAGCCTTAAAGGATGCGCGACAATTAATATGTCCAAAAACATAATTACCGAATTCATTGCATGTGAAAGTATATTAGGGGCATTAATGGGTATTTTGTCTACATTTCAAATGAAATTAAAAATATTTACATAATTAAATTAAACGACATATAGTAATCTAAGTATATTTCCAGATAGTTTGACATTACCATTATGCAATATTGACCTGAACACAATTAAGGAATAAAAAAAATACTACGTTATTATAAAAAAATACACATTATTATCGTTACATACTGACCAGTAAATGATCGTTACAGCAAACGACGTGATTAACGCAATATTGTGCAATGCCCAATATATTTTGAACGCAGTTGGCATTTCGCTATTTTTTAGAATATTTTCTATAAATTTACAAGTAAATAAGTGGAGCGTTGTTACGTCTGATGATTAAACACAGAAAATATCGGTTGAAATATAGTCTACTATACCTTGGAAATCTGTGTGAAAATGCCAAGTAGTGACTAATATGGCACCAAAAACTCCAACAACCATGTTGATTAAGATGCCCCAATGTGTCAAGTAGATGAAGAATAGCCCAAAACTGTATTTTTGCATATGAGAATACATCGAAACGATTACAACCGCAATCACAAATATTGCAACCAGCAAACGGTAAATTAAATAAATATTGTTTTTCGATCTGGATTGCCATTGTGAACGGACGATTGACTCAACAGGATCATGATCGAAGCCACAATTACTCAGCTTCAATTCTTTTTTATGCGTCTTTACGATTTTTTTCGACATTTTTTTCTTCGTTTTTCGATTATTTCAATATACACTTGCGACTAAAATGCAATTGATAACCCAGCTAAATGATTAGTCGGCACTTTTAGCTAAAATAAATAGTTGAATAAGTTTACATTAGATAAGAAATATTTCATAAAAATGTGTTGATTTTCTTAAAGATAATTTGAAACGAAAGCGCAATCATTTTACATTCATTCACGTTTACGTCGATAAAACGAATGACTCAAACTTTTCGCGACTTTTATTTTGAATGTTTTACAATATATTTGTTTGAAGAATGAAGATACAAAAATCGTTCAAATTTTAAACAATCCACATTCAGAGGTTTGAATTAATATATTTTTATATCCCGAAATGTTTTTTTTTTCTTTGAAATACGCGTGAGCGCATTGAAACTTTGTGATTATTTTTCTGTGTGAAATAACTTTTTATTACTCTTTATCGGGAAGCAATATTTATTTGTATGTATTTCACTTGGGTCGAATGCAACATTTTGCAACCACCTTTGATTGCTCTCTGAAACAAATTCTTGCCTATATGCCATACAATAAATTCCTCTCCCAGAGAATTGTCAAAATAGCTTTTGATTGATTGAAGTTCGAATTAGTTAACCTTTCAATTTAATCGTAAAATATCTTCTATATACATATAAAAAGTGCAACTCGAGATCAATAAGTGAATCAATGAAAAGTCTTTGTTAGTGCTTCAACTCAAACGTTCACAAAAAATGCTTCGCAAGTAATGGCATGCAAACATAAATGATTTACACCCGCGCAACTTGCGAATGAATAACATTTAAAACTCACCGTCAGCATTCCATATGCTCGTCAATAAACTAGCCATATTGTAAATCATAACTTTAATTATTTAATTGGTAATCAGAGATTATTATTTAAGATCAATTTGTTGCCGATTTAATTGTCCTACTTTTTAATATCGTTTCAAAGTCTAGCACCGTATCTATCTGTGGATGTTAAATCTGTTTTTGTTTTGACATTTGAACTTAATTGACATTATCAATGAATTTAAATCGTTATATCTTGTGCAAACATAAATTGTCTGATGAGTCTTCTGGTAGTTTACTGAACAAAGCTTTATGAAACAAGCCCTTAATTTTTTGTATCTGATAATTGGATTTAACGTAAACGATGGAAAAATAATGATAACAGAAAAAATGACAAAATGACTATTCGGAATAAAAACTGTTGATTCATCATTATCTTGCAATAAGTCAGAGCTGGGCACGAACATCAATGTCCGACTGTGATCGTTCGTTCATGTGCATTTTTTTCCTTTTTTGTGATCGGTCGTTCGTTCGTTGAAGTTATTAATGGTCGGTCGGTCGTTCATAAAAATTGAAATGTTCGTTGTGTTCGTTCGTATGTGCGATCGAACACCGAACACGTGCGGACGTCCGGATGTTCGAAGCAAAATTGTAAAATCAGGTTTGTTAAATAATTTATAATTATACAAATTTAAAGAAAAAAATATTCAAATAAATAAATTTTCAAATATTTTCTAATTCATATAAGTTTTCTTTCTCAAGTGTTCAAAATATTATTTTTTTTTATTACGAAATGTTGGGAAATTCATCTATATTTATTTCATCATTGAAAAAGGTTATTTCAGGTATAGACTATACCAAATATACGGAATTTCCCAAAATTCGTAATAAGAAAATTTAATATTTTTTTAGTGTTCAAATTAAGAACATAAATGAATGTGAATTAGAAAATATTGGAAAATTCATTTATTTAATTATTATTATTTTTTGTACAATTTCAAAATATTTAACAGAGAATTGCAAACTCGACTTGATAATTTTTGCGCCGAACATCCGGACATCCGGACATGTTCGGTGTTCGATCGCACATACGAACGAACACAACGAACATTTCAATTTTTACGAACGACCGACTGATCATTAATGATTTCAACGAACGAACGACCGACCACAAAAACATATTTTTTACAATTTACGAACGAACGACCGACTGTTCGTGCCCAGCTCTGCAATAAGTAAACAAATAAACCTTCCTTTCGTAAATAATATTCAACAACGATAATTTCCAAAATCACTCTGAACTGTCATCCGTTTTATTGTTAATTGTTGTTCAATGTACTTGAAATCCAATTTCCGGGGTGAACAGTTAATTTCCACAGCGTATTCGATAAATTTGACCGTCTTCACATAGTGTAGGCAGTAGGCACAATGCTAACAAAAAAATATGATTTCATAGAAAAAAGTGTTCAACAGCCATCATATATGTCATTTATTGATTGACTCAAAGACAGAAGATAAATGAAAACTGAATAATAACGCATGAGATAATGAGGATTAGTGCCGGTAAAAAACGGTGTTATGATTAGCTTCAGCTGATGAGAGGCACGACAAACGACCGTATATTGAAGATATCAAACATTATACACGTTGTCAAATCTAATACGAGCTCATGTATCAACGTTTGTGCGCACATTTTACTTAATTATTATCGAGAGTTAGATAACAGCAATTAAAGCTTCTGGTTTCCATTTCTCGGCATCTCTCCATGAAAATAATAAATTTCCTCATTGCTTTGAAGTAAAAAAAAAGTTTAAGCTTACACTTTTTTTTCTTTTAGACATGTCAGGTATCACGCGTCAGAGCTTGTTTTTGTTTATCTCGTGAAAAAGTCTCAACTTATTTTTTTATTTATTTATTATACATTCAGACAAAAAAGTTACCCACTCACACAAAGAATTTAGAATGGTTGACGCAATACACTCTGACTCGTCTCATTTAAGCACGTAAAAATATTCAATTCCATTACGTTTTGTTAATATAAATAAATTATTTTCACTTTTCGTAATTTTAGAGGCATTAAGGCAATTCGAACCGTTAACAATGATAGATTCAAAACATAAGACCAAAAACATTAGACCATTGTCAATCGATTGGCAAATTTCAAATAACTGATGTGATATCAACAGGAAAGAAAAATAACTCACTTCCAGCATGACGGGCGAAATTAATACAAAATTACATACTTTCGGCTTTGACACGTAAATTTACTAGTATAAACAAATGTTCAATAAATGAATTGTATGCGAAGTAAATAATATGTTTGTTTCAACAATTTCGTATTGTAGTTATCTCTATTGCTTGAATGACACTTTTAGACACACAGAATTAGACACATTTAACGTAGTTCAATTAACATAATTGAAATAGAAAAACAACAACGTTCAATATTTTATGGATTCCATGAAAAATCACCTGCGTCAATATTGACGATAACTATTTCAATTGATTTTATTTTAATGAAAACCACGTCAAGACATAATTTGTAGTTTGTATTTTGACCTCCAATCGTATTTATAGGTATAAGTTATACACCAAGATGCTCTAACTGACCCGGCGAAAAAAAAAACAAACTCTTTAAATATAATACTTGTTTCGGTGTATTTTCATTCAAATGTTTATTACTTTATTTACTATTTATATCTTTGGAACCATAAAACGTTACAAAGGTGAACGAAGATGAAACTAAATGAATGGTCAATGTGCGTTTCCAACTTTTGATCGTCTTTTGTTAATGAATCTAAAGACGATGAATTGGAAGGCTAACTGGATCCAATCGATGCATTTTGGGTCAACATACAAATAATTGCAAGACAATTGCAAAAACTTAACGGCGGTGGTATATTTATTCTTTTAACTTTTATTCATTTAAAGACTTTATGAATGAAAAAAAATTCTGATTATTGTGAACAAGTTTTTGGTGTTATTCACGATTCCACTCTACTCTGTGATACAATGTAATACACAACTTCTACTTCACTTTCATTATTTTGTTATTCAAAAGAAACACGTTCATTTTAGTATGAGCATGAAATGAATTCTACTTAATCTTTCTTTTTTTCGTAAGCTGTTTTGTTTAGTCGAATCAACCGATAGAAAATTCTTAACACCTTAACAGGATTTGAATAACTTTATTCTGAAAGTAAAATAAACACCAGGGTTCGCAAATCCGACCGAGGTCCGACCGCCGACCGACCGCCGATCCGATCCGAACCGAAAATACTCGGAGTTCGGTCGGCGTCGGAACGAGTTTTCCATCGGATTTTTTTTCGGAATTCGGTTTTCGGATATTGATCGGATGCTCACAAAATTAAAACCAATATTTTTTTTACACATTGGTTCACATAATTTTTTAAATAAAAATGAGTTATTATCTAGATAGGATTTTTGGATATTTTGAACAATAAAATTTTATTCATTTTGACTCAAATAATATTTAACCATTTGGTAAATATAAAAAAAAATTATTTTCATTAAATTTTTCCGAACTCCGAGCACCGACCACGACCGACCACCGATCCGATCCGATCCGAGATATTCGGAGATCGGTCGGCCTCGGATTGAATATCCTCGGCGTCGGATCGGCGTCGGAATCGAAAAATGGCCGCCGTTGAGAACGCTGATAAACACACACAAATCAAAACAAGCAGAACAAAATCAAACTATGCCTTTCAATGTCTGTGTAATTTGAATAAAATATGATAAAATGTGAACTCTTTTATTTGTGAAAGAAACCTCAATGTCGTATGATTGTAAATTTTGTAGATCGATATTAAAAAATATTTGAGTCATGCAAAAATAATACAATACAATTTAGACCTGAAGGTATTTGACACTGCGTCAGCGACACATTTTTCTCTTCATTCGTCAATGAAATGAAAATAAAATTATACGAATTGTTTTGTGTAAAACGTTTTAAAGGGTACTGCAACCCATCAAAACTAATTGAAACAAAAATAATTGAAATGGTAAAAATGTGCACAGTCATGAAAAGTTTAAACAGTAAATTGTTCGTTGGATGTTAATTCTACTAATGAAGATTTGTGGATAATTTTACCAATTTAAAATCCGTTAATTTAATGAGTATAAAAAGCAAAAAATGTGGGTTATTGCTTCATTATTACATATGATTTCACTATTTATATTTCGAAACATCTTCTTGGGAATATACTTTAAAATTCGCACCTCAATTATATGTTTGAAACTATCATTTCTGTGATATATTTTTGAGTTTTTCATTTACTCAATTTCTGATTGTTTGCGCTCAAATTCAAAAAGTAAATCTATAACGTCCAAAATGAGGTCTGTGTTGCACAAATCGATATATCTATTGTCTATCGAAATATTCATAATGAACCATTTGATGAATGAAACAATTAACAACTATTACGTCGTCATGGAAAGAGATTTCTATATAAAAGAAATAAATTCAACACCATAGCACGTACGGTAATAATAAAAAATAATTACAGGCATATGACGCAAAACTGATTGGGCTTGAGGGAATGATGTTTTGGGAAAAAAACATAATGGTCACCACTGGTGAGATTATATCGCAAGCAGAGGCACTGAAAAATGTAATGAAGATTGTACCATTTATGAATGAGAATGTACAGCATTGCTACCAAAAATCAAGCTGGAAGCCATTTACCTTGAGAATGGAATTGAGATAGTAGCTTTTTATTCCAAACTCGTAACGGATTGATTCTCTTTGAACTGAATACTCATATTGACCAATATATTTCGCCACTTTCAATTTTCTTCCTTTCATTTTTCTGTGCTATAAATTACAGTGTAGCGATGCGTTCGACATTTATTCTTTGGGAGAATACATTTTTGAATGTTTTGTTAGTTTGGCTTGTTTAACTGGTTTGAAATTGGATATTTTTTTTGGAACTCTTTATATACAAACCTATTTACGAATAATATTTACGACAGAAATAATATTTAATCTCCTCGAAAGAGTTGAAATGTTTGTCTTCGAAAAATTGACACTACAGCCACAAAATTCGTTTTATTTCTATCACTATCTCAAATGTTTCATTCGTTTGGAGGCTTAACTTCAATGAAAAACCTTTCATAAGACCTAAAGTGGTCAATGGAAGGAGCAATGTCTTTATGAGTGTTTCGCTTTTGATCGGCTAAAGTTTTTTTTTCTATTCAAACATAAACAGCTGATGCGCATGAATATGGGTAACACAAATAAAAACCCAAGATCATCGTCTTTTATTATTATTTTGATGGCTGAATTTTTGAATAATATCAAAGTGATAGGAAAAATGTTCAAATTTGCTTAAAATGTCACATTGATGAATGTTCACAACAAAATCGCACCATACAAACCGTGAAACGCAAGAATAAAAACGTTTCATTAATAGACTAAATATTGTTTAAGCCATTTCGATACGACGTAGCGCGTACGTTATATTCCTGACCTTGACGATGTTGACCATGAACTACAAACAGCAAACACAATCTTTCTCGAGCTGTTCCAACAGCGTGAAGCTTTAAAAAAAATTAACCTGTTTACTTTCGTTTTGTTTTTACTAATTTTACTTGAAATAAATTTTCGTTGATTCAATTGGCATTTTGTATCGTATTTTGTCTAGTTATTGACAGATAGCCATCACTATGCTATCGATATGGATGAACGAAAATCAAAGTCATTGATGATATTACACGCCACGATCGGATTTGGTGTGAATTCAATCGAATCGCCTGTTATATTATTGTGCAAGACACTCTGAATGAATAAAATTATTAAAAAATGAATAAATAAATAAAAATACATGGAAACAAAATTACTAATGCTTATTCAATTAAGTGCATTTTTATTTAGTTTACGATGTATATTGTCCGAGGAAGATAATGTATGCGCAAACAATTAGCACACACTTGAAAATGGATATCGCTTTTTTGGTTTTCCTGTTGTAGTCGAATTGAGTTTGTGAATAGAACATATTAGCAACGTTGAAATTCGGTTAATAGTTTTGCATTGATATTTAAGATGTAGGCGAACAAAATGTTTTTATGTCATCCAACCTGTCGAATTTCATTGAAATCAACGTACATATAGGCATAATAAGTACTTTGGCCCTGTAACACGTGATATCGATCATGACATGCGACAACGAATGAGAAAAACACACACATAAGTCATTAAAAATTACGCGAAATTTACTAAGCAAACCACGATGAATGCATTTTATATTCTTTTCAATTATTAAACATGCATGTAAAAACGTCAATATAGCATGATCGCAACTGAAAGGCCAATACCATAGCGCAGCTTAGCGCCCCATAAAATAGAATCGACTGTTGGAAGAGTTGCTTAAAAATGCAAACGGCAAACAATTAACCTTCGTATAAACAAAACATTAAAAAAACACTAAAAAATCATCATTTGATGAATTAGTCGCAGTCATTGTCTTGCATGTTTGTAATAAATAAAAAAATACAACTGAAAATAAAAATGTAATTATTGTTATTACTGTGAGTTCACGCCGCGGTTCAGTTCTGTCTATTTTTCTTCTTTGTCAATCAGCAAAGTGTATCGTTATTTCGTTGTTTCTTCTATGCGAATCATAAATTAAGAATTCATAGCACGATCAGTTGCATTCCTCGTAAGCAATTTACCGTTAATACTGCGGTTGTTGTTGTGTCCAAAATAATTGCCGGTTTCCAAAGGTTTTTTGAATAAAAGAAAACATAGGCGAACAATTGAAATGCAAAACTGTGTTATTAAAAAAGACACGCAAACATGAATGGGAAACAGCCCGGCCGAAGTATTATAAATTACCGAATACCACAAAAAAGGTAGTTTACGATGAATTGAAAACCGCTCATTTTTAACGAAATTACAAAAGATCCATTCAACGTGATCAATGTAACTGCATAAAGATTGCGGAACCTCTTGCAACTTCTTTTGCTCTATCTACCAAATGCCTTTTGTCATTACTATGCATTTGGTGCAAAGTTTTTGTCGTTGTGGTTGTTCATTGAAATAGCCAAGAGAATGACAACGATTGAAGCGATTATCTCGGTGATACATACAGCCATAAATACTTGTTTCTGACAAGATACAAAAAAAAACTGATCAATAAAATCGAGACAGGTATTTGTGCAAATAGAAACTCCTACTTGCATACACAATCTGAAACGTTTAGTAGCGGTTGCATGAATTTCTTGTCCATTAAAAAAAATTTCTTCTCTGTTTTTGCATCGAAATGCCATACTATTACTTAATTCTACTTTGCGGCGTGCAATGTCTCAAGCATCATGTTCGACTTCTAACACAAAACGAACAAAAAAAAATTGAATCAAACCGCCTGGTTAGCGCTCACAAAAGCACACATGCTTTCGTTACAGGTAAGCGCCTCCTATTTTGTAAGTCCAGCACGCAAATATTTTGCATCACAAATACATATGGCAATTACTCGACAAGCCACTGAACAAGTCACTCTTGAAAAACGGATTTTTTCCAAACTAAAGCTAATTTTAGTATCGCATTTCTTCATGAAACTCCTTGAAACAAATGTTTAATGGACTTTTTTAAATCACTTTTTAAAATTATTTCTGAAAAATTCAATTTAGCGGTAGAATCCAATTGCTATTCAGAATTATAACAAAGGCAAACACGTTTAATAATGTTTATCAATGTCTACAAACCTAAAAAAATGGTGCAAATACCAAATTTTACTGTTCTTGGATTATTATTTTCCAAGTAACAGCAATTCAATTTAAGATTAGAAAACAACAAATTTTATTGCAATTTCCATGACTTTTTATTTCCAGTAGGTTAGATTGAAATGTTAAAACACAATCATTGCATCGATTACTTACGTTCGACTCAAAAATCGAATTGCAAAAAAAGGTAGAAATTTTTTAATTGGCTGTATTTTTTTCTAGTGATAATTGATTTTAATTGTTTTTAATGAAATGTTCGGTTTATTTCTCTTTTTTTGCTATGACGTATTGTAATTTCATATATAGTTTTTTTTTTGTTAAATTTTACATTTGTTCGTGGTTATTTCTATATATGTTGTTATTTATATTTTATTTTTTTTTCAAACTTCTACTAGTCACTCTGATTGGAACTTTAAGATTTTCATCAAAAAATATGTCATCGATTATGTCCATTCGATCCGAATAGAATCAGATCAACTTATGGATTTTTATACTTTACGGTTTTGCATTTAGAATTTTTTTTCTTTTTCTTTCTATCTCAAAGTGTTCAATAAATTCACTATACATTCACTACTTACTATAGTCTCGATAAATATTTTCCCTTCATTCGTTCATATATTGCATAATATTCACTCGTTTTTTGCAACCCAAGAATTAATTTTTTTTTACTATAATCGATAGAACTATTGTGATTTGTTAAAAATTGAATTAGTTGTTATGCATTCTTGAAACGGACCTTTGCAATATACTGAATTAATTTTTTTTTTTTCAGAAGTCAAAAAAAGAACATGGAATTAAACTAGTCTGTGACTTTATATGTAATGTATATGTATGTATCATAGTTTAAACGTAAATTATACGCACATTCGTGTAAATGTATTTTTATTTTATTTTTTAATTTAACTCTGTGATGACAATTCGATATCGAAATATAGCTTTTAAAACAGTTTTCTCACAGTTCGTTTTCTATCATAATATTCTTCGTTACGTCATAAAATAGAGTTTTGTTGTTAATATTTTTTTATTTATTTATCTTAAAATACCTTTCAAATTGTTGCAAAGGTTGTCACACTCGTGCCAAATTCAAATGTAATGATGATCACTTTATAAAGTAAGTACTGTTATAAAACAGCAATGAGATGCTTCAATTCGATTTAGCATAAGACCAAATAAAGGAAAAGAAAAAAAAGTAGACACAACACGCAACTTCAATAGAGATTTTTGAACTAATCGCAGCTTCTGTTTATTTCATGAGCGCGCTCTCATATGAGCTTGTTTCCATCGAAAACCACAATTAAGACTAACTTGAATTGCGCACAGCGTCACTGCGAAGTGTGGATTTGCCGAAACAAGACACACATATAGACTAAACTATAGAGTGGTGGCGTGTAGAGAAATTCAAAGAAGCGCATCGTACGGTTGCGCTTTGCAAAGGGAAAAATAAGCAAACATATGCGAAAAAAGAACAGTTCCAGGCGCAGTAACACACATTTTTAGCATTCTGCATACAGCACACAGCTGTTCATATACAGTGTATATTAAATACCAATAAAGAAAAATGTGAATGTAAAAATGTGTGCACGTTGAGTGAGTGACGCATTGTGACGAAAATTGTAAACAAAAACAAATTTAAAACGGTGCGTATTTCATATAGTCGTTGTAGTCTCCTTAACTGATTATAGACACACTGATCAAAATGGTCAAAGCGTACACTCTTCAGGATCGTTCAGATGACGCAAACAATCTATTTAATTCATGCGCGTACATCTCGATTACATGATCATGTGCGTATGTTTTTATGTTTTTGTTTCTGTTACTTGAATATAATTTTATTTAATACATGTTCGATTCAGTGAATTTGAAGTGTTTTTGCGTAGATGAATTGGTGTTACCGCTGTTAAATTCAAAGCTAGCAAAGTTGAGCAATTTTTTAAGAGAGAGAGAGAGAGATTGTTTTGAACTCTCGGTTCCGTTAAATGTTGGAAGGAATCAAATTTTGTTAAATATACTGATAATAGTTCTAATTCTCTTGTTGAATTCTGTAGCGTCCATATGTTTGTGTGTGTTTTAAATACGTAAGTATTAATTCAAATATTTCACAATTTTTTAATTTCTTCTACTGAAATATATAATATAAAGGTGCCGAGATTCTCTTTGTACTAATTAAATCAACTAAATATGTCATTTTTGTGTTTACTTGTGTGTTTGTGTAGTTTTTTTTTTCTTTTTAATTTAACGGCACTTAAATCTAATTATATCACTTGTGTACAACACATCTAGTATTGAAATAAATCAGGGTTAATATTGTCAAACATTCTAGTTGTATGGTTTAATCTCATGGCATTTGGCTAGAACTCTATGATATTTACATTTACAACATATATTTATTATATATATTTTGTGGAGATTTTAGTTTGCAAATAGAAATTTGTTTTGTGTTTCACGATTTTTTTCTTTTTTTTTTTAATTATATATTTTGTTGTTGTTGTCTAGATTAAAATTTAGCGAGTATGTGCAATTTATTTATTTATTTATTTTTAAATTTTTGTTTTCTTCTGAGGGCGACCGAATGCCACATCAACAGAAATTTAACAAACTCGATAGTGTTAAAAAAACGTGTTTACCATTTATTTACTTAAGCTCAACAACTGTTGATGGATTGAAAAATTGATCGGATTTCGATTCATCATAGGATGACGGCGTGCGGGCAATTTTAAGTGTTTGATTGTTTTCAATGATGATTTGATCATCACCCCTTGCATATTGATGGAAGGTACGTTGACGCATGCAAAATTTTTGAAAAATACACACTCGAAAACGGTACAAACAGTAGACCAATACATGGACGACAAAAACACAGAATATACATGCCAAACTAACAACTATTGCCTTTCCCGGTTTTCGCCAATCGAGGAGCCGATAAATTGATTTTGATTTTGTCCTAGGAATAAAAAAAATCAATATTTTATAGTGTTATTAAAATTGAATTGATGAATAAATTCAATTTAATCATTTACCGAGTGGTGCCGCCAGCAATAAAGTAAACAACAGTGAATAGAGTGTAAAGAATTCCAATACTCATGGTCCAATAACCATGATTAAGGTTAACGGGATGTGTTACAGTCATTAAATCGATAAGCATGATTACCGAATTAAAAACGTAAACCATCAAATTGATCGCATCAATTTTGTCCCTTTCTATAATTAAAAATGGAAAAACAATGCGTACATTCCAACATCATGCTTACGCTAAAAAATTGTAATGAATGTCTATAACGGTTACCTGGATCATGCAGCATTGTCCAAAAAAAGAATGTTATTATGAATGAGTATACGGTGGCTATTGTGTTCAAAATCCAATATGCGTGGCGCAACCAACCCTTTTTCACCTTACGTTGCATGCCTGAAAATTGTTCAAGGAAACGTCAATTTCTTTCTTGGGAAACACATGGGAAAAGAAATACTCTACCAAAATCATCACGATCGACCATAAGACCTTGCGTTACAATCATTGCACCAAGCCAGGCTTGTACTGAACACACGACTAGTCCCCAATTCGTTAAGTCGATCCACCTTTTACAGAAAGTTAGAAACCAAATCAGAAACATATTCAAGGAGTAAAGTGTATTGAGAATAAAAGGACTTATTTAGTGAGTGTTTCAATGACAACTGAAGTGAACAATTTAGTTTGTATTCGTTGTTTACTTTTCAATGAAGTTTATTAAATAATTAAATTGTTTTTTTTTTATTTAGTTTCACAGTGAAATCGCTCTATTCATGAGCACATTTTGCCCTTTATAACATACCGTAAAAATCTAGGATATAATTTTCAATATTTTATCATGCACATTTTTTGGCATATACAATAAAGTTTATTGAATAAACAGACGCAACATTTTGATAACTCACTAAAAAGTATTTACTTAAAAGTTATTACTCACCACTTGGCATAGTGATTTTCGAATCGAGGTTCATCAGCACGGCCAATGTCAAGGAGTGAGCAACTTAAAACAGCCAAAAACCATATCGCAGCGAACCAACGGTATATCAAATATAAAATGCTGACATCATGATCATTTTGCCACTGCACATAAGAGAGTTTAAACCATAAATAGGATTCCATCGTGCAATAGAAGCGAGAAAATAAACAAAAATCAAATTAAAAATGCTCCGATTAATAATTGTATTATAAATGAGTTGATATTCAAAGAGATCTCTAATCATAATTGAGGAAAGAAAAGAAGAGCTACAACAGAAATAGGATGACATTTACTGATGATGGTAAAACATAAAACAATAATTTGTGCATGTGTACGACGCATATTTGATTTGTGTTGTTTCTGATTAAGCAGATAAATTGTGCGTTTAAAAGAAATAACGTAAAAGAAGTAGCATGCGATAGTTTTTGAAGATGGACTTTTTTTTTTTTTTTAAATCGTTTTGTTCAAACTGATACATCTTATTCTAGGATTACATAGAAAGTGAAAGATGATTGTACAATGAAACACAATTTGTTAATCTTCCAACACGAATGACAAGCAGAAAAAAGGAACAGAAACTAAATAAAAAACAACAAAAGAAACGAAAAAACAAAAAGAAAATACCATCGCGAACACCATTTCGTTTCAGTTATAGAATAAAATTTGAATTGGTCTCTGTTTCAGAAAGACTTTGAACACGATGTGTATGATAAATATCGCATTGCATTTGGCATCAATTTTGATGTGTTTATTTTGTTAACAATTTCAAATTAATGTCAAACAAAAAACTCAAAATTTTATCGAATTTTATTTTGTAACAATTGCAATGTAAACAGCGTATTTAAACTAAAATTTAGCATTGTTTTTTGTTTGTTATTCTTAACACGAACCAGATGCTATTATTTTGGACACGGCGATTTTGGTGTGTTAAATATCGGTAAATGGGCACGGAATCATCTGACAACGCTGTACAGTATACACATTTTGTTCGTTAAGTGTTTTCTCACACGCAAAATTATCTTAAATAAAGTGAACGCATTAATTTTTCTACCTCGGATCGTATGTGTTGTGTAATGATTTTTTTTTTAAATTAAATTAATAACTGTTAGTTTAATCATTCGTCATAAATGAAAAAAACTGTTATGGTTCTTAATTTGCAAAAAAAAAACGAAAAGGAGTAAATCGAATACGGCTTGACACAACTTACTTGGCACAAATAGAAATTATATCGATAAATTTGCTGTGATTGTGGAGCTGGTGGGAAACAACAGTTTCCTATCTTCTGAAGCACTGACCTGTAAATGAAAACATACATAGACACAAAATGAAGAGTGGCCATACAATCAGCATAGAATGCATTCACATAACTATTGCACGCCCATTGGCATTTAATTCGAACCTATGATTTTTTTTTTCACAGATCCGTTCAACTTAAATCAAATTAGCAACATCGTACTCACAATTGCTGTGACGCCCTTCCACCGTTATCAGTCAATCCTTCTTGATGTGAGCTCGTGCACATGGACATGGACATTTTGTAAATATTTTATATGTTCTTTTTCCCAGCAACAGAATTCTCCACATCGAATGGCGAGACTGCCAGAGCACAAATGCTGCAAAATACATGAAAGGGGAGAAACAAAAAAACAACAACAATAGATAGAAACAAATCAGTAATCGATATTTTCCGCAGTAGACTTGTAAACATAGAAATTTTCTTTTGGTTCAAGAGGGCTTGATTTTCCACTTTGTGTTAAACTCTACTCTACGCAGGAAGGAAGTTCACGCATATAATTTGTCATTTATCATCATTGGATAGAAAAAATTATTTATATATTCTCAAGGAAGAAATCAGTGCGCGCTCTACTTGCGATTTAGAATACGAATGAGAGCATGACCTACCTTATAGCAAAAACTTTTATAGGCGGTTGTTCTTCATTTTTTTGTACTACACATACGAAGTGAATTGCCTGTCGTGTACAATGTTGATGTACAACGAACAAATGGATGATGACGGTCGTCGATGGTGACAGCAAGATGGTTTGCAATTGATGCCTTTGCCAACTATATGTATTTTATGTAATAAAACTACTTTCAGAGTTAAATGTTCACATGAATATGCACACATACACGAGTAAAGGTCCTCGAGGCTGACACAAAATGAATAAATTAAGAAACCAAATGCACTGGCGAAATTATTATTATGATGGCGAATGCTCTTATTCGATGGGCGACAAAATTTTACACGTTTATTCGAAGCACTTCACTTTGATTCCCAGCTCAAATGAAATGACCTCGATTTTGGATGACAGATATCATATCAAATTTTTGCTACAGTCTTCTAACATTCACGTTGATTTCACAACAAAAACTCTATTTTGAAATCTTTTAATCACATTGAATTTCCTTTTTTATACACAGGAACATGTAATTTGCAGAAAATCTTTTTTCTCGTTAATTATTTATCGAAATAAGTTTGCACAGTAACAATCAAGCTGCCAACCTAGTCTATATAGAAACACTTTTTTGTGTCACAATTTTAATTTCTATGTTAAACTTAAGGTTAAACACGACTATTTTATTTTTTCACCAATTAGAAATAAAAAAACGAAAATTAGAAATAATAAAAATGTATTAATGGAAAAAACGTGGTATAGTTTTCGATTTTGCAGAAAACTCAGCATCCAATGCGTTTAACACTAAAGCAGAAAACATTCTAAGAATTTTAGATGCCAGCATCCATCGACCTACACATGTAATGTGAAAGTTGGGGCATGCGAACAAAAAGGACAACATGTGAAAAACTTAGTCGGAATAAAAGGGAAAACCCTCTATAATAATAGCACATACAGAACAATGGATGAATTGGAAATGGGAAGCATTTTGTTATTTTATCCGACCCATAGATGGCGCCAACACAAAAAGCCTCTTCCTGACTGATTTCTGAACAAATCTCTTAACTCAAGTATCAAACATTTTTATTTCTATTGAATTTTGAATTTATTAACTAAATTCTGTATTACAACATTAGTATTTTGCCATCAAATATGTCCATTTTGTTAATTTGAATGCGAATGCTTTCGGTGTCGCCTTCATTTGAATCATTTAAATGTGCAATTTGATTACTTCCCGCTGTAAATAAATAACAATCAAATTTTCCAATTTAAATTATGATTTCGAATTTTCATTATGTCTTTTCTCACCCATTATCTGCAATATAAGATCATGTTCAATAATGGATTCCACCAAACCGATGATATAATCACTTTTCTGAAAATTCGGCGTAAATACCTTGAACGCAATCATATCCATTTCCTTTATGTCGTTGTCTATTTCTCTGTATTTTCCAATTGTCTCAAGATGTTTCGCCAAATGTTCAAGAGCCGGTTCTTCTTTTTCGTTTGGTGCATTTTTAATCTCAGCATCATCTCCGTTGATTTGCACAACATCAATTGATTTAGATGACGTATTTGTTTTAGTAGTTTCAACGTCCATTCTTGGTGTTTCACTATTCATATTTGTTACATCTGAAAAGATAAAGAATGTTAAAACGTACTTATATGTATAAAACGAAAAATTACCTTTAATTTCTGCATGTATGACACGTGCTGTTTTGGGTAGAAATATTTCCTCGTCCAATTCGGACAATAATTCATCATCTTCAAATCTATATGGGAATAAGTATACATTGAACATTTGAAATGAATGAGTGGAACCAGAAATTTTCAATTTATAATTGTATTTGATAAAATTTTGAAAAGACGTGATCAATATGCGGCCTTATTATGTAAATAAATTTTCTTTATTTAGAAAAATTGCATATTGTATGAAGTATAAAAAGATTTTCGTGAAATTATTTGAATTATATAAATTTCCTTATTTTGGTTAAGTTTCGAAGTGTTTGCTTGACTTTTGAAGTTTTTTCGAGGAGCCTTGCTCGAATAGCACTTCTATTGGATACAGTAGATGAAGTTTCGTCCGCTTTAATGGTTGATAAATCATTCAAACCACTTGGCATCAAATCAACTGTTTCAATGGGAACCATTACAGAAGCAGCTTGAACTGTGGCATTTCCATAATCGCTTGGATTTTGTCCGGAACTAAGCCAACGATCAACTTTTGCATTAGTATTGAGCAAAACAAATCCATGATCTCTAGTCAAAGCATCTGTCAACGTGTTAATGTTCCAATCGGAAGAAGCTTGATTATGTGTAGTGGACATTGGCGGCAAATCTTCCTTGAGCATTTGAGCCATTTCTTTATCTTCACACTTTTTCTTTTGCCAATTCATTACTCTTTTTTGTTTGGCCGTCAATTCTTCGTCAAATGTTTTTTTGCGCCATAAATCGAATGCTTTTATAAGGGAATTATTCAAAAAATTGGTGTCATTTGCATGGCTCTTTGCTGCATCGTCAATATCAATCAATTGTGATCGGGTATATTTGATTTTTGATGTATGAAAATCGATGTCATTGGCGTTGACAGCAATATTCATATCATTTGATTGTTGGTTGCTGCTTTCATCGTTCTTCTCGATTTGTGGTTCAGCACTGTCAACGAAATCAATAATATTTAAAGGTTAAAGGAATATTGACTCCTTCTTTTCAATCATGTATTTAAATTTTCAGAGTAAATAAAATTGGGATTTTTCGGTTCCAAAAAGATTTTCTTCGAAATTCGGGGGCAAAGGCAATCTTGTTTGTAATTTTTCCTAAAGGAGAAAAGACAGTAGAGTTCTTTTTAGTTTCTTATTGAATTAAAATCCCTGATGATTCATATAGATCGGTCGTCATGACAACAATGAATCTTTTTTCGACAAGTTTTTGAAGTCATTTTGGTTTTATGTATAGCGAGACCAGATTCTTCTTCCAAATTTAGGTGTGTTTTTGTGTTGCACACAATAGATGTATAGTTACATATTACATTTTTTTCAACCATGCAGTATTGTAGTTTGGTGTCCGTCCCCGATTTTAACATATATTTTGTACAACAGTCTGTATATAGAATGTTTCACCCCATGTCGCTGTGTAAGCATCAAGAGAATTTTTTTTCTCATTCTGCTCTTTTGCATCTGTCCGTATTTTTTGCCGAAAAATATTGTATTAATATGCAGATACATTTTTTGTATATATCAAACGCATGCACGTGTTTTTTTTCCTTACACACTGATCTCGCTTAAATATAAAATAAATGAATTCTACGTTTTTATTTCTTTTAAGTTATTTTTTTCTTTCGTTTTGACACACGCTTCTAAAGTTTTTACAACATGTTTTATTTTTCAAATTTACGACAGGAGTACATCGATTAAAAAGGGTGCCGAATACTTTTCAATGCAACCGTAATATGAAAATGGATGATTGAATGTATGAAATCAGAGCATATCAGAACGTAGTCATCACCGACGTCACTGAGCGACTGGTTTGCATATTACATTTTGATACAGTGTGTTCGATGCGTATGAACCACTTGTTACATTTCAAGTGAAATGTAATTAAATCTGTTTCAATGCTGAATGCAGAAAATTATCTTAAATTTTCATAAAATCATCCGTGTTATTATTAAAATATTATTAAAATATACTGTGCATATAACGGTGCAAAAACTTTTACAGTTTCACGAGCATGTTTGCCGAATAAACCAGTTTAATCTTTATATTTATTATATACATTTTTCGTTCGTAAAGAAAAAAAAGTCCCCTTATGGATTTGAGCAATTTTTTCGTCTTTTTCCGATATCGATTCAGGTTTTGTCATACAAAAAAGGGCCACGAAAAAAACGACAGTAAAAAATTATATGAAAAAACGAGCAAGTAATGTCTAATGTATTATATAGGCACATGTATATTGACAAGGGATTCCATCCATGTGTGTGAATGTGAATATTTGAGTAATTTGAATTTTCAATTTTGAGCAAAGGGCGGTCCTCTTTTTCATTTTTGAAAAAAAAAAAAAAAACGGATACTAAATTCGTAAAAAATTGAGGGTGAATTCAGTTGCGGATGCTGACGATATGAAGCATTTACAGTGTGGTATATGCCCCACAATATTTTTCCCGGAACATATAGAGTATAGACTACTGCTTTCTTATTTCTCATTCTCTTTCATTCTTGTTAGGTCTGGAACAGCCCAAGAATAAAGACGTTCATAAAATTGCTTTTTTTCCTTTTCGATATCCACATGCGTTGGCACCAAAGTATTTTCTTTTTTTTTTTTCAATATCGCATGAAATACATAACGTATTTTTTGTGACTCTCACAACTCAATTCTCTGCATATAGATATCACATACACACTAATACATATACCGCACACAAACACGTATGCAAAATGACTTTGTGATTTTCCACTTGAAAACAGTACTACACGTATTCATGCGTTCTTGTCGCTAACTCCGCGTAGTTACTATACTGTCGTCCATACATGCTACCATACATACATCAAACAAATACAGGCAAGCTTGCACTCATCACATGAAGAGAGAATTCATTGTGAGAGATTAACAATACTACGATCGGCGTTCTTTCATTTCGGTTAGTACTGGTTGGAACAACGCAAAGATAACGTCAAAACTACGTCGCGCTGTCCGTACACCGCATTAGAGAAACACACAATCATACCAATTACAAGAGCAAATGTGAAGAAACTTATTAAAATCAAATAGATTTGAGATCTTTGACATTTTGTGAACGATATCAGAGTGAGACGAAATTTAAACAAAACGTCAAACTAACCAAACTGCCTATCATTTTGAGTTCAAGTCAATTTCAAGGTGGTGATCAACATATATTGTTTTTTTTTTCCTGTTGTGTAAATACATAGACTGAACAAAACTAAAGGCTTGAATTTTATGGATTGATGCTAATAATTGCTAAAGTCCCTTTAGCATTTTTCGTACCAAATGGACTCTGGTCATTGATACATTCCATTAAATCGCAAATTTTTTTCATTTTCAACGATAAACGGTGAACAATTTTATAAAGTGAGTGATTTTATATGCTATATAGTTGTTGTCGAGATAATAACACTCAAAATCATTAAGGTCTTGAAAAAAAGTTACACGCGATTCTGAAAAAGTCGAAACCATCGTGTTTCGTATTTTCAAAAAAAAAAAATCTATGTTATTGACGTACGATTAGAAAAACAAGATTACTATAAGCCGTAATTTTATATGTTCCATGTATATGTAGCATGCATGTTGTAGTTTATTGGAAGTAGCAAAAAAATAATTTGAAAGAAGACGAAAGAGAGAAAAAGAGAGGAAAAACTAAAGTGAACAAAAAACAACACTATTCTTTCACACTCAGTTGAGGCAATACACCGTAGATAAATCTGTTTATATGCGAATTGTTTCTGTAGCGAACAACAGTATTCCATAAGTTGTTTGATATTTACAAAAAAAAAGTTATATTAGGTTATTCGATAGACTATTTGAAAAAAAAAAACAGCATGAGTAGAGAAAAACAATAAGAACAATGAAGGTAACATACAAAATATATATTGGAGCAAGCGAGTAAACGAATGAATATTTGAATCATCGCGTAAATACACAATGAAATTTGTTTTTGTCCTCCGTTTTGATCAACTACGTAACTCAGTCGACGATTGTGTTTTTCTTTTCCACTTGAATTTAATTGAAATTTTTTGAAAAAAAAAACCTCCGCTCGCACACAAACACACGTTCGATAGCCTGCTTCTCCGTAAATATTCCTTCATGTATTGTATATATATATAAAGAAAATCATTTTGAAAAAAGCGATGATGTTATAGCTGTTGTTGTTGAAATTGCGCGTGTTGTTTTTTGTTGCTCATGTTTTTCATAAGTTTTTTGTTTCTTTTTTCTTTCTCTCTGTGTTTTTTTATTTTTCTCGTCGATACTGATGTTTTTGTTGTTGATGTGAGGCAGAGAATGATAAAGAGTAACATTGAATGAAAATGGCAAATGGATCTGGAGCACAGAATGGAATGCACCACCACTTTTTCCAGCAATAAGCACTCAGTTTTTGTTCTTTCTCATTTGTTTCCTTTTTTTCCTTTTATTTTCATCTTTAGTTTTTTGTTCGATGCTTTTTTTGCTTATTCCATTTTTCCTATGTACTGCATGAGAAAAGAACTATATGCTTATACAGTGCAAAAAGTAAGCGTACACAGACACAGACCTACAGCAATACAAATACAACACTCAGACTGTGTGTCTGTGTATTAGTAGAAATGACAAAAAATAGCACTTTTTTTTCAAAAAAAAAAAAAAAAAAACGAAAGAATGAAGAGAGAAAAGGCACCGCAAGCATTCAATACGATAATATATCATTCTAAACAGTTTTTGCGCTATCTCATCGCATAAGAGCGAGAGCATTGTGTTTGTGTACAGTGAAGTCGACGTCGTCATCGTCATCGTATAAGATGTGTTGATGAATATTGTCCGTATAAAACGGAGAACACTTCGCACAATTGTATCGTCTGTTCGAGTTGATTGAAATATTTTTCGAAATTTTTTCGTAAATTTAGCTTTTTTGAAATTTTTTTGCATCGTCATTCGATTACGACAATCATCGTTCGATTTTTCGAAGTTAAATACAAAACAGACATTCTTTGGCGTTCGGTCGCGCATGTTTACTTGTAGCAAATGTAAAATTCCAAACAAAAAAATACGTTTTTTTCTAGACCAGGTCAAGTTTAAAGTGGTCATTTTTTTCGAAAAAAAGAACTCATATCATTTTTAACGTGAGTCATTAATTTGCATAATTATACAAATTTTTTATTGGCCAGAAACTGAAAAGAGGTGAAACATATATCTGTTTAAATATACATTTATGAATGTTTTCATAATAAAATTGCGACCGGAATATATATATATATATATATTTTTTGAAAAATAAAATACGTCAATTTAATCACTGATTTCGAGTTGCGAATGAGGAGTTGAATAAAAAAGAAACACATAGAAAATGCGACACACACATACGCCATAGTCATAATATAGTCATAAAAGGAATTATTATATATATGCATATTTATATATAATTTTATATAAAGCCGAGTAATTCATGTTATTTGTATTGAAAGTTGTTGTTCGATTAAAAGACGAGAAATAAATGTTTTTGAGTTATCAGTTGAATTCACGGCATATGGTGTGTGAACAAGAAAAGTAGACTCAACTATGGTTTTTTTTAATTGTAATTTTTGCAAATTTTTTTTTTTACACTTTGTTTATTGATTCGTCAGCCCTCATTTATGATTTCTGGTATATTTCTTGTGTAATCTTTTTCTGAACAGTTTCTTAAAAATGGCGTTGCAACAATATTGCCTTCGATGGAAATATCATCATAGCAATTTGCAAACTATGTTTTCGCAATTATTGGATCGTGAGGCATTTTGTGATGTGACTTTGGCGTGCGAGGGACAAACTCTTCGGGCACATCGGGTAGTTTTATGTGCGTGCAGCACGTTCTTTGATTCGATACTTTCAAATCGATACACAGACAAGGATCCAATTGTCATCATGAAAGATTGCAAATTCGATGATATTCGATGTCTAATCGAATTTATGTACAAAGGCGAAATCAATGTTGAACACGTAAGTGAAATTCACATTTGAAATGGGCTGGTGAGTATCTTAAAAACAATTTGTATTTATATTTTCTTGTCACTATAGGAACAATTAGCATCATTGCTACGAACTGCGGAGGAGCTACGAATCAAAGGTTTGGCTGAAGTGTCATGGACTGATGAAAATGGTGACAGCAGACGAACAAAGAACAGAACTCACAACATACGGAACTTGATGCATTTGAATGAAACTGCAGTTACACCAGCAAAACCACTTCAACAACCAAAACGCCATTCTTTCAGTAGCAATAGCAACAATCAATTGAATTCTAGCGATGTGGATCCATTGGCAGAATCGTCAGGAAAAGGATCCGTCGCCGATGAACCTATACAGGTGACAAAATCAGGTGCCAACCAGTTCCTACTTCCAGTTAACTCACCTCAACGAGGTGTCGAGGAGACAATGCCAACGGTCAAAAAGAAACGCGGTCGTCCACCTCTTGATGACGATTTCGATAGTTATAGCACACCGAAAATAACGCATGTCGAAAGCACAGCAAACAGTTTTGATGTACATCCCGATCAAAATGCTATGTACGACGAAAATTCACACGAATCACCCAGCACAATGTTAGAGCAATCAATGGAAGTTTCAATGGCGTGCGATAACGATGAACCGACTCTAATGCCAATTCAACCGAAAATTGAACGACCAGACACACCGGCAAGCGTAAAAAATGATTACTATGATGAAAATGATTACAACCCGAGCAGCCCAATGGACGAATCCACAGGCCTGTCATCACAGGTCTGTTTTTTACTCTAACATATAACCATTTATATTTAACATATAATCTATAAGAATGTTATCAAATGGTGTGTTTTTTTACGTTTAGGTAATGTTAACACCGCAAGAGGAAGAAGAATGGCGTGATGTTATCAAAATGAATGATTATTTGGCCAAAGGACGTAGACCGCAATTTTGGGAAGAGACATTTACTAAACGTGTTATGGAAGCGATCAAATCAAAGGAACTGGAAATGAAAAAAGCGGCTCAACTTCTTGGAGTTTCTTATGGTACACTGTATGGTAGATATCGAGAGACATATGGCTGTGTAAGCATCAACGCAATTTTTTCTCTTGTGCCTTGCATTCAATCCATTCTGCTCAAAAATATTGTATTAAAATGCAGATACATTATTTTTGTACATATCAAAAGCATCTTACACTCTCGCTCAAATATAAAATAAATTAATTCTACGTTTTTATTTCTTTTAAGTTAAAACATCCATATCGGTAAGTTTGGCATCCATCAAGAGCAGTCGAAGCAGACCAACGAACGTCCAGAATTTTGGCAAATGAATCTCATTTTGATTTTTTTTGCAGAGGTCCGTTTATGGTTTCGAGATTACGTGAATTTTTAATGGATCATGGTCATGAAGACTTGATTGGCCGCTTACAACGTGGCGAGATAACTTTGCCGCGCGCTGCTGAACTTATGAATACTTCTCTAACAAATCTGAGCGGACTTTTGGAATAAAATCAAAAGGGGTTTCAGTTAAACAATGACAAAAGAAAGTTAGGATGCTTAACGCAAACAAAAGAAAATAAGTAAAAGAATGAAGAAAAAAAAATGAATCGAGAGAAAACAGAAATATATTCGGTTTAATACTGAGCAATGATGATAGGAAAATCGGAAATAATCACACACTCGTTTTACTGAAAATAAGACTTTACAAAGGACACATTCAATGAAATATATACCAAATGTCATGTACATCTATTTTGTAATCCAATTCGGTTGCAGAGCAATTTATAAAATTGTGAATGAAGAAAATCCATTAGTTTTAAGAAGATAATTTACATTTATAAATAAATGCAAATATTATATACAATCAAGCGTTTTGTTGTTTCAATTCAATGGCAGGAGAAAATAATTCGAAATATTTGTATCCAAAAAATGCTTACCTCACATGAGTGTTGCATTTCGATATAGCTTTGACACGTGGAGACTTTGGAACTGTGTCGTTTTTTGGTGTACCACCTGTTATGGTTGATGCTTGTATATTGGGAAAATTCATCTCATTTTCATCGTATCCTACGGAATTATTCTTTCTCTTACGATGACGCACCCGCTTACGTTTCGAAGCTGTACTGTTTGTTTCATTGGTGCCTACTGAATCGGCATAGTCATCGTCACAAGTAGCAAAATTAATTGAATTCTCAGGTGAGATGATTTCTTTTGGAACTTTGAATGTTCCACCAGTAGTATTTATTTTTTCGGTCAAAGTAACCATCACTTCCGTTCCAGTTGAAATAACTGATTCGCTGTCATCTTTCTTGGCAATGACACTTTATAACAAATTAAAAAAAAAAATAAGAAGAAGAAGTCGAATGAATGAAGAATATCCTAGTTTGTTCCTACGAATGAAAAAAGGCCTACTTACTGGATTATATCACCACTTTGGATAATATCAATATGCTCTTTGGCTGTAATCAAATAATATCAAAGAAAAAGGTTATAAAAAGTATGGATATGTTAAAAGATTTAATATTATATTACGGTGTAAATATACGCCATCGTTTGCAAGCAAAACAAATTTTTTCACGTCGAATATTTCAGTAATATGGCGATGAAATTGGCGAACATTTTTCCACTGACGATTAACACTGACGTATGCCTTCGATTTGTGATCGGAAAAAAAATTTCCGAAATCAATTTTCACGCGAAAAATATCTGAATCAACCATTGTGTTGTAAACTTGCTTCCGATAGATTTGAGCTATTGTTACAAAGCGTTCAAATGTTTGTATTCCCTTTTTTGAGGTTATGTTTCGATGTGTTGTATTTTGACAGTTCGGTTCTGTTTATATGAAAATTGAACGTTTTTATAGTGGTTTTTATCAGCTGACAATTAATGACTCTGAATAGATAAAAACAAACAAATTTCCTGATTAAACGCAAAACTTTATTCGATAAATGAAAAATTCATATTTTAAGGCATTTGAACATTTACATTCGATTTAAAAAAAAATAGCAATAAAAATACTCTTCAGGACATATAGAGATTCGGCAATTAACTTAAATGAATAAAATGATATCGGGCTTTTTTTCCTTTATTCCTTACTGCATGTATATATATAATTATGTATGTTTAACTCTCTCGAAAATATCTATGTCTTTTTAAAGCATTTAAAAAAGAAATTAAAAAATAATTGAGCAAAAATACAAGAAAATCGAATTAATTCAAACTGCCGTTTAGGCTTTTTAAACTCGACGACGCTGATTTTTGTACTGTGGTCATGTACGGCTGTTGCTTACGACGTTGTTGTTGTTGTTGTTGACTTGGTGGAGGCATTATCTCTTGACAAGCTTTCAATTTTGCGGCCATTATCTAGTAAATTAAAAAAAAGAACATTAAATTCATTATTCATTATTCAATGTTGAAAATATGAGTTGTCTGTTTCTAAATGAACACAAGATTTTTATCTTACGCAAGCAAACAATTGGATTCTAATTGCAAACAATGTTAGGTAAAATCAATGAAAAAAGGGGATGACATGAAAACTCAAGGGTTAATGAAGAGTTAAGTGTGAGTGCAATATCGCATTCGTTTAAGTCTAATGACTAGAATTCATTTCATATATTATAACTAAATTAGATTTCATCAAATCGTACACATCAAATGCAATCAAATTCGACTTAAAATAGGTGTTAGTACCTTGACCGTTGTCTAAATAATATGATGAGTGAGTTTTGTGGGTTAGACGAATTAGAATTTTTATGATTGGATATATCTTAAGCTCTTGTGAAGCGAAGTAGATGAGATAATTATAGGCTGAATGAATCGAACCTTTTAACAGTTGATTATTATGCGGCGCATCGCAATTAGCATTCGGATAGGACGCGATTGTCATTTTATCACAATTGATAAGATTTAATTGACTAGTTGATTTGGAATTTCTGCCGTTAAAAACGTTCGACCATTGGAACGATTGAAATAAACGCGACGTAGATCGACTGCTTTCGTCAAGCAAACAATTGTTACCGCAATCCATGTCAATTGAATCAGTTGATTTTGACGATCGAACGAAATTTGTTTGCAATGAATGTGTAGATGATGATTCCGATTGAGGTGGTTTTATCGGAGTTGAAGATGGTGGTGGTGTCATTTGTTTGGGGCATACACAACGGAATTTCAATTTATCACATGTCGGACAGAGTAACTTACTTAACTGCAATTGGATTTTTTGCTAATGTCAACAAATTGTGAAAGAAAATAATAAATGTCGATAGGGCCGGGAGGAAGTTGTAATACAATAGGAAGTAATAAAATAAAACGCTAAAAATGGGGGGAAAATGTGAGGAATAAACGACAAATAGGGAATAACAAATTATTTCATTTGAAACTTTGAAATATTTCAATGGCTTTTTGCAGAACCATGAAATATTTGAGGCACACAAAAGCAAAAGTATGAAAATCGAAAGCGCGTTTGAAACAGAAAAAATCAAAACAAATACGGGAAAAATTCGAACAAGTGTGAAAAAAGCCTCGCGAACAATTGTCAAAAAATTGGGCTTACGTCTATTCGTCTCAATGAATCTGCTATGATGTTGAAAGCTTTTTGACTAGCTATCGGTGGAGTGTTTCCATTCAGCATATTATCGGAATCTGTGTGAAAAGAAATAAAGCGCATATATTTAGCAATTTTGTGGAATTATGAGGAAAATTAAAGTATACTCACGTAGTGGAGTTTTATCATTTGGATTGGTTGTATTTGATGATGTTCTCACTTTCATCTCCTGTTTCAGATCTAATATAAATGAGTAACAACAGACAGATGTTGATTAATCATTAATTTAATGAATCATTTTGAATTCAAATTGCATACCACGAAGTTCATCCAAGACGCGTTGATGTTTGACTGTCAAAGTTTCCTTATCTTCTACTTCTAACTCTAAAAATTCATTCTTTTCGTATGCTTGGTTTAGCATTGCTTCTAAGTCTGTTACAGTTGCCGCGACTACACGATTAGCTCGTTCCAAATCGTCATTTTTCTGTTCAACTTTACGCGTATTTTCCCGTAACTCTTCCAATTCCATTGTAATTTGTGTATGTTTATTCTCCAATGAGTTGTAGTCCGTTTCGAAATTGGATATTTTATTCTATATTTTGAAAAAAATAAAATAAAATGTATATGTATTTAAAATTAAGCTGATGAAATGAAATTGATTTCTCAACTATTCATACCCGCAATGATTCGTTATCAGTTTGCAGTTGGTCGAGTGAATGTTTTAAGTCTTGGATTGTTTTTTCCCGTTGCTCTAGACATGTCTCCAATTCAGCCTCCAGTTGACGTGAATTATCCTCAAAATCGGTGAACTCTTGTTTTGTTTCGATTAGTTTTTGTCTTATCTCATTGTATCGTTCTTTCCAGTATGTACATTCTTCGTCTATTGATTTGAATACTGGCAAAGGTGGCTCCTTAAACGAATCATCCATGATTTGACGATTGGATTTTCCACCGAGTTACAATAACGTTATTTTAAATTTAACGTTATCTTATCCAAATCGTAACACAATTTAAAAATCTTCGACCAATCTTAATGTTTATTTTAGATTCTTCTCAATAAACAAACATCTATGGTAAATTGTTAGGTTTGATCTGTCAAACAAAGAACAACTTTGTTAAAATTTACTAAGAAAAAATAATAATACGCACAGTGTAGTACACAAAACAATGAAATATCAAAATATTCAAGTCAAACTACGCAATCACAGATATCGATGCGAACAATTTATGGAATGTAGTTGAATGTAGATGACTCTTTGCCATCTGTCACATTGTGATTGTAAATATTGTATTATCGAATAGAGTAAGATTATGAAAACCACAAATTATGGAATTTTATTAAAACAAACACAAAAATGAAATGTATTGAGTGGATTCCAGCCAAGGTAGAAAAGCAATATTAGCCCACGTTTAATTTGTCTAAACCAAATTTAACTCGATTGTTGAAGGACAAATTTTTTGCGTATCAATTTATTGATTGAAGTCGTATTAATGCGAATATATCGATAGCAAAAATATTGACTTTTCAAATGCTTTAACATTGGCTCGATGAACAATTGTTTAAAGTCATAAACGACGTGAAAAGTCTTTTTACCAGAACGGGATTTTCTGCTCAAAACGTATTAAAAATAAGTGGGAGAACGCACAGTAATATCTCAAACAATCACATAAACCAAATACAGCTTATTCACTTCAGCATCTACAACTAAATGAAACTGAAAATATCATCACTACAGCTATTCTGTGTGTCAAAACGCAAACAAAATGAATAGTGTCATCCAATGTGAAATTGGCTACAAATGCTTTCTACCATTTTTCGAATTCGAATGGAACGGTGTCCAATTCATGAGTACGTCCTAGGTACGTCTAAACTGTAAAAACAAGTTTTTATTGAAGGTATTTTCATTTTTTTTAAAATTGTTTTAATTTTCATCGTTCATATATTCAAATTTATTGTTTTCGAAACATTAATATAGGTTCGGAGAGTGAGTTCGCTTGCTGAACTAAGTAACAAATTTAAATGTCAAGCGCATATGTGCACACCAATACATAGAAACTAGTAGAAAAGAAACCGAATACAGCTTAAGGGACATACGAAGCACTTTTTCCGATGAACGATCTAGCGAGAAGAAAGAAGAAGAAGGAGAAGGTGGAAAAGACGGAGAGCGCGAGCAATGACTGTATTATAATGTTAAAATGTCTACCACGAAGCAGTTGTTGTAGTAGTGAGCTGTGTGCCATCAACGCAAACGTACGACTTTCTATACACGTTCTACTTCGCTGTTTTTTTTTTGTCTTTATATGACAAAAAAGAAGACTTTTTGAAAAAAATAAATTATTTCATTAGTAGTACAAACGGAGCAAGTCATTTCAACTTGCTAGATTCAGAACTAGTACTTTACGTATTCACGTTCGTATGTGTAGTTTTAATTCTGAACAAAGAACAATTTTTTGGTGCACAAATTAAGTGAATTTTTAATTTGAATTAGTGACGAAGCGTCATGTCAAATACAATTCCAAATATTGGTGATATCAATTCACAACAAAATAAGCAATTGAACGTAAGTAGCAAAAAATAAAATTTCAAAAAGCAATGCTCGTTTCCGTCGCATAGATTTCTGACTCATGGCCCCGGGATTTCTTTTTTCTTAATTAAAAAAAATAGTATGAATGAAATTTTCTTTTTTGATTCGTTTGTACAACCGTCCAAGCAATAAGAAAATAAGCATAATGAGACTTCCATGTGTGTGTATATGATATTTTCGGATTTCTCCTAATGACTTTCTCATTTTGAGTACAGCCACCAAGAAAATAATACAAAGACAGAGATAGCGACACATTCGACAAGAGCAAATCATTTTTTTATTAATTAAAAAAAATCGAGGAATTATTTGCTTTACTCGGCCACATTGAAACTGTTGAAAAAGTGTGTATTTGCGTATAGTTTTTGTTGTTGCTGTTGCATGAAATGAAATTAATAGATTAAATATTGATATAGTGCTGGATGAAAGAAAAAACGAAAACGACGATAAATTCCTTCTTGTTCCGAAAAACAGACAACGACCCTGCATATCAGTAGCGTACAGATGTGTGTATTCGTTGTAAAATATTTGTGTTAGTGTGCGTTCAATTCAGAATCGGAGATTGTATTTGTGTGCAATATGAGATATTCATCGTACAGTAAAACCTACTTCTTCTCTCGAAGTTGGTGATTGTGCGTATGTGTGCAAGAATGTTCAGTTCAAAATCTAAACCGTAGAGTTTACTTTTAGCTCTCCCTCCCTCTCTCTCATTATCTGTTTCTCTCTCACACTTTTGCATACATACCTTGCGATCTGTATGTTCACATTGCGCTGTGTGTTTAACTACACAATATTCTGTTTATCTTTGTGCGTCCCTGTATGTATATTCATTTAACTGTATTGATAGAGCTATGTAACGTATGCGATGCGTATGTTGTTTGTCTGTGTGCGTGAATAATTTATTACTTTCCTTTAGCCTGATATTTTCTTTTTAAAATTTCATTATCGATTTTTCAGTCAAATAAAATTATTTAGAATTTTAGAGTGACTCCGCGTAGCAAGCTAAGCTCACTCGCTCATTCGTTCGTTCGCTCGCGATGGATGGTGGATAGATAGATGGATGGCTGGATGGATGAATGAATGTATATATGAGAGTGTGTGATATAAAGAACAGCAAGCATGCATTGTATTGTTGTATGGAATATTTACATTTCGGCTACGCCGTGCTTAGCCTCTATGCTTGTGTTCATGAATTTTTTCCTCTTCTTATTATTTGTATTTTCGTATTACTCTCCATACACTCGATTCAATGTTTTCCTTCAATCCAATGTTTGTATCGGCTACGAACTGTACTTCTCTGTCTCTCTATTCGGGTAATGTACTTGTACTTATTAGATAAAAATGAAACTCGCGCATTTCGTTTCGTATACAGATTGCGCTTTGGACGTACGTGTATTTGAGTGTTTAAGCATTTTGAGTATTCCAAAATGTTATGTATATGCTCTAGAGGAGTGAGATCTAGAACGGGATAGAAATAGGGACATTGAACGAGTAAGAATGTGAAATACAAATGTGTATAGTTGTAAAAATGTATAGATGGAGTTTTGAATTACAAGCATGAATCAAAATCAACATCCTCGGGAAAATGCATTAAAAAACCATATTATTTCATTATTATTTTTTAAGGGATCACCTTTTACAATAACTACGACAACGACCACCACTACATCGTTTCTTCTTCATTTATTTTAATTTCAACTTCAACTTATTTTTCAAACTTCCTCATCATTTTTCCAATGTTGTATGTGCGCCGTACCGATCGGGTATGTACGGTGGAGGTGGTTTTCCGCTGGGCTCGGAGCATGAATATGAGTATGAGTAATGTTTGTAGAGAGTGAGGCAAAATGTTATTAGTCTAAAGAAAACACAGCACGAAATGCAATCAGAAAATTTTCCTCTTGTTTTCAAAACGGTCGTAGATTGATAAACGTTGTTCGGAATAAATTTTACAAGCAGAAAGAAAAAGTTTACAAAGTTTGCAATAGTTTCCGTTTGGAGTTTTTTTTTTTTCATTATTTGGACGATGCAATCATCGTTTGCCATCACTTTTCTTATTTAGTTGATTCATTTCTGTCTATGTGTGTATGTGTGTATTGATATTCATTACAATTTTCTTCGTTTCTAATTTTAAAGTAACGAACAATAATAAAGAGAAAAGAAATTAAAATAAAAAATATATATAAACGAAAAAGAAGAAGCAAAACAAGAAGAAGAAGAAGAAGAAGAAGAAAATATTGAATTTAGTTTTATGACATCGGTCGTAAACGCGTCTTAATTGAAGCGATAAAAAGAGCTTAACGTGTCGGATTACTTTGAAATGAATGTTAGTATGTATACTGTACATAGTAGAGAGAGATATTGTTTGTAACAATGAACACAAGGAGGGAGCATATAGAGTGTGAGCGAGTGAGTCAAGGAGAACAGAAGAGTACAGAAAAAGTAAATAATTATTAATTAGATTTGTGCATTTGTAGTTGTTGGTTCGTTTGCGCGCTGCTTGATAAATTCTCCAGTGTGGTGTGCTCGAATTTTTTTCCATTCCTTCGTTTACTCTATGCGTGTACTCCATGTTGTATATATGTATTTGTATATATGAGTGTATGAATGTGTATGTGTGTGTATATATATGTGTAAACGAATGAACGAACGAATGAACGTTTATGTATTCGAACGAGTGAAATAATAAACTCAATTTATATTGGATTTCTATTTACATTAGAAGAGAGCCCGTTTGTGGATAAAATGCTTTATTCACAGTTCGTTGTGTATCATTAGCCGTGTGTATACAAGAGAACGATTTATATTTGTGAGCGTGTTTTATGTACTTAGAGTTATAAATATATATGTAAAAGAAACCAATAAAATACTTTTCAAAACATTAATTAAAATTGATTGAAGTAAAATTTCAGATTAATTATGCATTGTAAAGTTAGTCGATAAGTTCGCGTTGCCGATGAGAGTCAATGCGTGTATGTGTATGTATGTGCGTGTTTGTGTGTGTTTGTATGTGTATGTGTTCGCCTAATTGTTGTATTGTACACTTTTTGTAGAGAACTATAAATAAATTCAATTTTGTGTCTATTTGTTGAACTCTAATAATGGAAATTTCTAATCATTTCTACAACACTAACCCCTTTTTTTCATGCATGTACATTTTTCAATCCTGTAGACATTCCACACGCCATCATTTGGTGACGACGATTTCGACGTGAGCTCAATGCAAATTATGCAACAAACACATCAAACACATCAAATGGATCAGTATCCGATGCCAATGCCCCCACAACAAATGCAAGACCAACAATATATGTGGCAACAGCAAGATGCAAATCAAAGAAATTTCGCTGCGCCACCGAACAACATGAACATGCCAATATATAACAGCCCAATGATGGATCCACAAATGCACTACGTAAGTCAACATTGTGTCGGTTGTTTTATTTTTCAACTTCCATTTCATGATCAAGTATCTTATAATTCATTGTACGCTTTAAAAAAAAAAAAAAAACAAATGACAGGGTGATCCCGTTTATAATCATCAGGGCCAACCCCAAAATCACATGCAACAAATTCAGCCTCGTCCAGTTCAGGCTCAGGGTCCGCTGCCGCCACCCCAGCAACAACAGCAAATTCATTACCAACAAACACAACAGGTACTTTTCCACTTTCTTTTTTGTCAATTATTAATCAAAAGCCATCAATTTTCATTCGAATAATAGCCTTGTAGTTATATATATTTTTAACGGAACAATCAATAAGCATATATCGATAGAGACTTATTAAAGATGAGGAAATCTTTCATGACTTCAAAAGCAATTTTGAACATGAATGAATGATAGACAAGTTGAATGTATATAGAGTTTATTGGCGAAATTTAACTCCAGCGAAATATTGCGCAACATATATTATACTATACGTACAGTACTTTACTTTAATATACAAAGAACTTTTTTTACATACATATATACAACATAACCAAGTAAATTGAGACTCACAATTCTGAACATGGATAAATATATTATTGACTGTTCCGCAAACATATTCAGACTATTCAAAACTAACTTTTTTGTTCTGTTCCCATTTAATTTTTTTCAAATTTACAATTATGAATAAAAAAAAAATCAGTCACAGGATCAAATGTTAATGATGCCACCACCCTATAAGTCGCCACCGATGAATGTACAACAACCACAAATTATGAGCAGTCCAACGACTCATCAAATCAATCAGTCTCCGCACTACGGTGTTCCCACAGAAAATGGTACAACCAGCGAAGATAGCGATGGTAAGTGTCACTTTTCGAAAAAGGTGCTATATTTTTCATAAAATGCTATAAATGAGATAATGAGAATAGCAAACTTTCAAACACTTACAAAAGTGAAAGAATTTAAAAAAATACGAGCAATTACATGAGAAATGTTTTTTTTTACAATAACAATGACACACAGTTATTGGCTTATTCTTTAAAACGCATTTCTTTATTGTGCTTTATACTATCTTATCTTTTACGGTTTCCGCTTCAGTATAAATTAAAACACGCATAAACATATACACTCAATGTTCCATATTCGTTCTCAATTCTCATACATTTTTTGAATATTAAAAAAAACGATTCAATATAAATTTTGATTTTTTACGTTTTTGTTTTATTTCAACGCATTCCAGGTAGTGTGAATACATTGAAGCGACCATCACCCGAACCATTGAACGAATCACCATCGAAAGGTGGAAAAGCGGCTGCGTCAGCACCAAAGAAGCCAAAACCACCCAGAAAGAAGAAGAAGAAAGATCCAAATGAACCAACAAAACCAGTGTCGGCGTATGCATTATTCTTTCGTGATACACAAGCAGCTATAAAAGGTCAAAATCCAACCGCGTCATTTGGCGATGTTTCAACGATAGTGGCATCAATGTGGGACGGCCTGGAACATGAACACAAAGAGGTCTATAAGAAAAAAACGGAAGCGGCTAAAAAAGAGTATTTGAAAACGTTGGCAGTCTATCGCGCAAGTATCGTATCTAAAGGCAATGACATTGATTCAACTAAACCATCAACACCGACTGGTACCATGTCCCCACAAAATCAACTTCAACAAGCAAATAGTACGCAACAATCGCCTCAGAGTCTTCCAAATCAGCAAAACTCGACTCAACCATCAGTCCAAGTGAAACAAGAATCACCCAATTCGATTCAAGCCCAATTACAAAATCAGCCAAATGTAAACATGAATCCACAACAACAGCAACAACAATCATTTATAGCACAACAACAGGCCGGTCCTCAAACGTCTATGCCACAATCATCGCCATATCAACAAACTTATAACCCTCCTACGAATGCATACAAATCGTCGCCGAATCCAAATCAAATCGATTACAATAGTATGAATATGTCAATGCCACACAATCAATTGTCGCCAATTCATCATCAATCAAACGTTCCACAAAATCATCAAATGCAAATGCAACAGCACATGGGTCATCCACAGCAGCAAGTTCCAATGGTTCGATACGGCTACGAGCAACAAGCACCGCCACCACCGCAACAACACAATATCGCCATGAATCCATACAATTCATCACCAAATCATGGGAATCTTCAGCCGCCAATGCAACAGATTCCAACACATCATCAACCCTATGGAAGTGAAGGTGGTTACAACATTCATGCAAATGATGTTAGCAATCAAAATTTTAATTCATTCCAATTAAATCAACAGCCCACAACTACTATGGTTCTTCACAATATGCCACCCAACCAATTGCAGGAAACGCAAACGGCAACAGCTACGCCCCAGCTATGTATAAGGAGTGGATGTATAAATCAGGCGGTTGTACATAACGACTGGGAGGACGAGTACTGTGGTTCTGAATGCGTGGTTTTACACTGTAGAAACGTTTTCTCAAATTGGGTACAGTCGAACAACAATGCAGCCTCGATCAACCCTCAACAGAACTTTTCTGTGAAATAGTGTCATCATCTCGTTGTGTCATAGCCTAGCTGACAAGAAGAAAATTTCTATACCATTACAAAACAAATACGCAAACTGAAAAAAAAACTAAGCAAAACTAAACAATACAAAGCAAATGCAAAATCAAGAAAAAAACGTACACAATTTTTATTTTGTTTAATGTAAGGGGAAAGAGATAGGGAGCGAGTGAGAGAACTAGCGCAAGGCGAACTTCAACGTATCAATATTTATGGCCATTGCAATAATGAATGAAGCATAAATTACAAGACGTCTATCTTCTCTCTACGTCTGTCTCGTTTTTTTTTTTCTTTACATTTTACAAACCACGCTTCATTCGGCAAACTGTAAAAAGAATTCTCGTTTTTTTGTATCATGTTTTTTGTTGATCATATAGTCGTACACTGTGTGCTACAAATTCGCATTATTATTGTGCTATTGCCAATCTAAAAATACATAGAACGTGCATCACATCCAAGGAGACAACTACTACTTCAACGAAGATTGTTGCACCATAAAAACGTTAAACTATCCATTTTATCGACAAAATATTTAAGGATTTTTAAGAAATATTGTAATTTTCTTAATAAAAATTATTATTATAATTGAATAGCAATTAATCTCAAACAAATTGGTTTATTGTTTATTATTATTATAATTATTATTATTATTACCATTATCATCATTTTTTATTATTAATATTATTATTTTTCTTCGTTTAAAAATCGAGGTTAATGAACTGAAGTAGCCAAAAGGTGAATAATTTACATAGGAAATGTCATAAATTTGTTACGGAATTGAATAACAAAAAGGGTCTTTTTGAACTGGACTCGAATCGACCTAATTAAATTGTCCGAAAAGCACCAGTGAATTTTTATCGACAAAATAAAGATAAAAAAAGTTGATGAACAATACAATTGTGTTTTTATTTTTGCCATCCTAATGAACAATTGTTGTGGCAAATTCATCCATTATGGGGCATATGTTAACGATAGAATTTGGGCCCGGATTGGTGTGTAGTTTCAGTTGAATTCAACGTCATCAATGGAAAAAAAAAATCAATTAGTATGATACAAAAATTGACTTGATATCCTATTCAGTATAGTAAACTATACTAACCTACAAGAATACTTGTTCTGTGGCAAGGCCACAATTTAATCAAGCCTAGCGGACTGACAAATAATTGTTATAACTAATTTCTAAATTATAATTTGATTGAATATTGTTGATTTCGTTGAATGAGCGCTGCTACACAACGGCTGCAGTTGTCCATTGTTGACATTCTGATTCTGACCGTGATACAATGGTGAAGGTTGATTGTTGATAACGCGGGTAGGTCTGCGTACATTTGGATGAATTCTTCACTTGAACACCACGAATTCACCTACCAAATGGTATAACAAAAACACATTATTATCAATTTGTTTACAATTTGTATCAATTTCATTAGATACCTTTGTACAGGATCAGCTTCGCTGCTGCGATATCAGGAAGCCATACAGTTGTTAGCGATGGTTGTGCTCCAGCAGCTCTCTCGATTCCAACGTTTGTAACATTTGGTAGCCATGTTTTGAAGAAGCGTTGCTTCTTTGAAACCAAACGAGCTGCATTCGGTCCATCTCGAAGAGTTGGAGCAATTTCATCGCCCATTTCTCGCATCTCGCGCCACATTTGTTCAATTACTCGTCGCATTTGCAGTAATCGTTTGCTCACATTGGTTACGATGGTTCGTGGTAATCCAACAATTGGATTTGGTACACAATCCACACATTTCTTGTATCGATCGCCTCGAGTTGCTAGTGGAAATCGCTTGAAACACAATGGGCAATGCTGTGACTGTGATGTCATGTATTTACCCACCATTCGAATGATGCAATTGCCACGTTTCATGATCGATGCAATGGGTTTGCGCGTGCCTGGACAGCGTATATATTTCTTTATTCTAATCGGCGAATTGGCTGGTGTTGATCCGCCGGCTCCAATGTAGAATAAAATGTCTTACATACGTAAGATGAACTTTTCCGCACTGTGATCCACAAAATTCATTTATAACTTATCTTTTACTTGAATTTGAACTCACGAAAAACTGAATCTGACATTAGTTTTGCGATACACATAATTTTTAACACACTTTTTATATAAAAATTACTTAAAATGGGAATGGAATCAATCCTTGCATGACGACGTGAAACTTGACACAGGGTATTTTTCCACAAAAAGCCAACATTCTGGAAGTTTGAAAATATTTCAATACAATTTAGGGGTACTTCCCAGACAAAATTTTCGTTTTTGGGTGAAAAATCCAAAATTTTGTTCGGAAGGTACCCCTAATATGTATTGAAATGTCTTCAAACTCTCGGAATATTATTTTTGTGTGATAAAAATAACCTGCGCAAAGTTTCAGGTCATTACGATATCATACAGGCATGGCTTCCATACAAAAATCCATTTGAAATATTTGTATGAAAGGTGTGTCGAAATATATTTGTATCGCAAAACTAATGTCATATTCGGTTTTCTCGTACCCAAAAACCCCCCAATACATATTTTTGGATGTTTAAGAATACATTAAATATCACTTTTGGGGGGAAAATTGAATTTTTCCCATGGATGGCCATGGGCATCACACCAGACATGACACGTTACTCTATCAACCAAAGTCGCTCAAAATCTAATGGTTTCTATTCCTCGGCGACCCCAATCATCCTGTGAAGTCAGATTTTGAATTACTTTTCTGGTTTGAAAGTTATCGTGTTAACAAATTTTTGCGTACAGGGTACAGCGTACAGCGTACAGCGTACAGGGTACCACGCACATACATTCGGACATCGAAAAAACGCTAGATTCGTGTTCCCTGGGTCCTAAAACACCCAGAAAACATGTTTTTTGAGGGTGTTAATTTTTCGACCGATTCCAATACTTTACCTTACACACTAGGTGTGTGCGGAAAAGTAAAATGGATGGTTCATTTCGTACCATATTGAATGTCGTTTTGTCCATCGCACGTACCGATTCAATGTGTTTGTCGAGTCCCAATCGTACATACTGTTTGGCCGAATACGTTTCAATTCCGTTGTTCATCATTCGAAGTCAATGTGCAATGTACGAACACCATGATGATCCTTTTGGCGATGGCATTTCACCAATCATAGCTGCAATTCGATTGCGGTCACATTGTTCTTCGAATGCAAACAATCGTGTGATTCTTTCGGCTTTCGCATCACGACGATTTTGTTTTGCGTCCCAATGATATCGTTTGCTGGATATACACAAATTCACCTAACAAAATGAGAGCAACATTGTATTCGAAATCACAATCACAATCTCAATCACTTTGATTCATTGTAAAACAAAAAAACAAATTTACCTCTTCGTTGATTTCAATCTCACGTCGTACTGAAGCGTTCCACGTACGCATGCCCGGATCAACTCCAATAGCATAGTTCAATTGTTTGCTATCGTACATTGCCTTGATTTCAGCGTTCGTTGTCTCGACTGGCTTTACTTTTGGCTTTTTGTACAAAAACGATACAGATACGCCATCCGAAAAAATCTGGTGATCAAAATCCTTTTTGTTGCTCACCAATTTGCAAAGTTTTTCCACATTGAAAAACAGATTCCAACTCCCATGTTTGTTTGCACTGCATTCTTTCTTCTCCAATTTGGCGTTCCTTTTTTGGATTTTTGTTTACCAAATTTTCCCGGCACAATTTTTATATGTTGTATAATGCATCTGTATCGACACGAATGTGTCGCCGTTGGAAATCACATATCGGTACAACACCGAAATTCCTGAATCGTGGTTCATCACGGCGATCTTTGTACGTGATATGAAACATCCGGATAGAGCGCTGAATGAATATGCGAATGGATTTGAACCAGTCATTCTTAACAATAATACTTTTATATTTTTGAAAAAGACGGGAATATTCCCATTTGGATGAGTGTAGTACTCAACACAATCAAAACTTCACTTAAACCTTGAAAATATGACAAATTTGTTTTATTCTGTTTCAGTAGTTAATTAAATTAGACGAACAATGGCAAAATATACATACGAAACATAGTGAAACTATAATGTTTGTTCAGAAGACAATAACACAGTAATGGAATACATAATTTGAAAATAGAACAACTGATAAGGTCTTTAAAATCGGCCATTTCAAGCACAAACCAAATAGAAATTATCAATCACACAAATATTTCTACATTTATATTGGAATTCATTTTATGATATTTTTATAATGAAAATCTTTATATCTCATTTTGTCTCGTTCAAATATAAATATATATGTTTCATCCAGAAACAACATCATTGTGCGTTTGCAAACCACTGGCACTGTCAAAACTGTACTTGATCTTAAAATGGTCATAGCCTGGTTGGCGCAGTTGGCAGCGCGTCAGTCTCATAATCTGAAGGTCGTGAGTTCAAGCCTCACACCGGGCAATTTTTTTTTTTCATGCATTCTATCGCTAATTGAAAAGTATTTATTATATCGAACTTCGTTGTTCAATATTTTGTTGATATTTTAACTGTCAAGCATATTGTTATTTATATTAAGTCCCATTCTTATGTCACACAACAATTCAGAACAGTGATTTGGACCAGCGCTAACATACAACAACAACGTTGTGTATTCGGCTGCATAGTTAAAAATGTATTTGATTTCAAAATATTCACGACTGAGCAACTGTGACAGATATTGCGAATTGACTATATAGAGTCAACGACGAAATACCTGTTTAAAAAAAACTGTTTATGTTTTATTGTGTTTTAAGCGTAACGAACAAACATTTGAAATTAAATAAAATAAATTAATAATAATCATAGCGGAAAAATATATATACATACACGAAATATACGAAATTCAGACCTAGAAGGCCTTTGGCTCAGGTTGATGTATGTTTGGAAAGCCCTTGGGCCATATATTGAGCTCCGTTCGAAAAATTCAGCATTTTAAAAATTTCATTCAATAACTACGGTCACCGGGTAACCTCCATGTGACACGACCGGACATATGCAAATCGTTGGCGAAACTTTGCAATTTTAATTTCTTATTTTTACAATGTAGTTATACAATTGCGACTTAATTACAATTTTGTCTAATGAGTCGCGACGACACATGCGTATCCGAAGTTCCATCATACTCTTGATTCAAGAATAGTGGAGTTGACACATGGAGTAGAGCAGTACTACTAGTTCTAGTACTACTTTAATGCCACATATTACAAAATAATTAATTTTCATTCCTGGCCGTAATTCCAAAGAAAAAATCTTAAATTTTTGAATTTTTATCCAAAATGTCGCCTATTTTTTGTCCAAAAGTACACTGGTTAAACGAAAACAAATCATAGTGTTTGATACACCGTTGGAAAGGTATTTAAGAGTAGAATAAGATGGTATTTGAGATCCGAAGTGCATTTGGTGACATGTAAGTGTGAAGGAATCGAATTTTTAATCAATATCATGCCAAAAGGACCCTCCAGAAAATACCCATGGAATGAAAAACAAATATGATGTTTTATACATCGTTGGAAAGGTAATTGAGAGTAGATTGTACTTAAATAATCAAAAATACGTATTTGGGGCTTTTCTGGCAGGAAAAAAAAAACAAATGTGCTCAAAAATGAAAATGTTGTGTGAGGGATATCCTTATTTTGATTGAAATTTCTTCAAGCACTCCAAATGTTATTTTTTTTGTTAAAAAATAACCTGTGCAAAGTTTCACGTCTTTACGATACAAGCATACAAGAAACCAAATTTCTTGCTTTTGTATGAAAAGTGTTCCAAAAATAAGTTTTATGGCAAAATTAACGTAAGATTTTCTTACCAAAATACATAATCTCAACAAGTTTAAAGAAATTTAAATGCATATTGGGGGTACTGCCTATACAAAATCTTCGATTTTTGATTCAAAAATGAAAACTTTGGATGGGATGGTATTTTTGTCAAAATTCATTCAAACTTTTAAAATGTTATTTTTTTGTAAAAAAAAATTGAATGTGCAAAGATTCACGACAATATACAGGTATGCTTTTAAATGGCATGGAAATTGTTTGTAAGCTAAAAATGGACAGACTCGGTGATTGGAATTCTTCAGGAAGTCAATTTATGTAACTTTGGAAGGTAACCAAAAAGTGAGCATTCGCCCAATAAACCATCCGATCCGATTCGACCATATTTCTACATTTCGCAAAGTTCAATAAAAATATCAGTCTTCGACCAATATGGAACGTCCTAACGACTGTATATCAAAGCTATAATCAATTATTTTTGGTTGAAAAGCATTCCAACTTCAATACACATCAATTTATGGAGATGTGTATTACCTTTAGTATATTCTCCGATTTTTGGTAGAAACTGTTTATTTTCAACCAAATCGTCTAAAACTTCACCAGTACCTAAATTCTGGTCATAAATGATGATTACTCTTCATTTTGGACCGATGTGATTGAGATAATCTAGTGTTCCAAGGGATCCATCATGGAATCGAGATAGCTCTTGCGCTACCTACTGGTGACCAGTGGTGAGACGAAAATCTAAAATTTCACCGATATGTTGTTTCTGACGTCTAATAGACGCAAAAAAAAAAATTTCCTAATCCTTTGAAAACATTTGTATAGCCAAATTTGTTTGACACCCCCCGATACGATCGATTCTTACCAATAATCCTTTTCGATTGACCCTATGGACAACAGCTCTTTCTCCAAATATATTTTTCTGTTAGATTTTATTGCCATATTTCATGTTCTTATCATTGACAAACAACATGCATTTTGGCAAAAACCATTCGAAGAGAGATAGATAGATTGTACCATGTACCTGGTTTTAAAACAAAAGCTACAAAAAGTTTGATGAAATGCATATAGTTAGTTCTTTGGATTTGTTGATTTATTCAATTAATAGATATGTGTGTATATAATTTGTTCTCAAACATTCATCAATAGTAGTCGTGTCTCTAAATGTCATATTTACACAAATGCTAATGAAAAATAAAAATTACATCAGTTTATAAAGAACGCAATTGAACGCAAAATGAATTGTACGATAATAATTTGATGCAATCTTAATTGACTTAAGCAATAAAGCAGTAGTTACAACAATAAACTATTTCATGCATTGTGTACTGTTGTCTTTTTTTCTCTTTATCATTAAACTATCAAAACAATTGAACAGATTAAAAGAAAAATTAATACAAAATGAGATTTAATATAATTTGACAATCACTTGATTTGTTATTTTGGTTAATTTTAGTTATCATTCAAAAGTGGGAGTTCGTCATCTATTTCACTACCACCGACTCCAATTCGTTTCAAATAGCGATTTCGTATTCTCGGACTGGAAGTGGTTGCTGTTCCCTCTATTGGTGGAATGTTTTCGGCCGATTCACTGTTGATCAATTTTGAATTTGCGCTGCTTGAACTGTATAGGGGCATGAAAATAGAAGATGGAACATCGATTATACTTTGGATCTTTGAAGCTTTGGAATTACCAGAATAATGAAAAAAAGACTTACACTAGCGCAAAATGCAGGTCACGTTCATATGGTGTCATATTCAAATTTCCATTCTTGTTGCTGTTGTAAATCCAAATGACTATAGTTGCTATAAAAGCAACTGCCAACCAGCAAATGAAGAATATTTCCAGTGTAAAATAGCCACCACGATCCACAATAATACCAGCAAACATTGAAACTACAGCTAGACCTAGATTTTGTACAGATTGACAGATACCATAGGCAGTACCAAGTTGATATTCAGGAATAATTAAAGCAACAAGCGGCCATAAACTAAAAAAATAAATAAAATTTTAATCATTTAAATTTTTATCAAATTTAAAATTTGAATATTTGAATTACCTACTCGCCAGCATCGAATATGCTAGTCCCATTGTGATCTACACAAGGAAATATAATTTTCAATCATTTTACTACATGCTATAATGTATGAGATTCACTCAAAGAAAAAAGACATGGCAAAATTCAAAGCAACCAGACTAAATTGGCATTTTGACACCTGTATTTTTTCTCACATGACAAAATGAAATTTTTTACCGCATGAGATTATGTCATGTGAGAAAAAACACAGATGTCAAAAGGCCATTTTAGTCTGGTTGCTTTGAATTTTACCATGTCTATTTTCTCTGAGCAAGTAACACTTACCATACAAATATATGGATTTACATATGTAAATGCAAGGAAAGAATGTGCACCAATCGTAGTCAAAATTGATATCAACATCCACGAAACATTTCTTCCAGTTTTATCAATGACAAAACCAAACAATGGACTTGCCACAGCTGAGATAAGGAACACCAATGAATCAAGAAAATTGGCATCTTCGGGAGCCAAGTCATACTTTTGCATGAAGAATACTCTGACGATATTTAAAGATAAGACATTTTTTTTTAAATAAATTATTCTAGAATATTCGGACATCAATTTACTCACTTGCCCAACGCAACAAATGGGAAAATAGCGACATAATAGGCGACACAAATGACGCTGACCATCCAGAAACTTATTTTGAATGTTTTTACATCACTCAATTTGGCAACATCACCGGAAGGATTATCGTTTCGCTGTAAAATTCGTTGTGCACGCTTATCGAGCCATCCCAAAAGTACGGCGCAAGCAAACGACATCAAGCATGTTGTAAATGAGATGAGCATAACAACACCGAGACACATATGACCCTTGTACCATTTGTTTATGTACTTATAGATGGGCTCCATAACAATGAAATTGACTGTACTTCCAACACGCGCGAACGATAATTGCAATCCGAACACCATATTTAATTCTTTGCCTTTGAACCATAGTACTGCATAATTATTTTGTGCAACAGCAAGCGATTCGGCACCAATTCCAAATATAAAACGACCAACGATCATCATCCAAAATGCATCAAGAATGGCTCCAAATGCAACTATCAATTGTCCAATCATCAAGATGAACATGTAGAGTATGGTACCAAAACGAATTCCAAACACACTATTACAAAAAAAAAAAGCAAAATAACATTTCAATATAATTTTTCAAAATCAAAAAGAATCAGTGTAAAACTTACCGATCAATCAAAAATCCACCAATGAAACAAAATACAACGTTTGGCCATGAATATATAGAATACAACCATACGAATTGTGTCGTTGACATATCCATGTCCTTCATAAAATAATTCTGCAGCGATGCAGGGTTGTCATAGCAAAAGTAGGACGCTAAAAATGTAAGATAAATTATTATAAATCGTTGTGAAATGCGCAATTACAAAAGTGTAAGAGAAATAAAACTTACCGAAACCAACTAAACACATCAAAATCAATGCAATGAAGCGATGACATGTTGATGAAGGATTGCAACAACATCCACCAAGTTCATTTGATGCGTCCAGCTCATCGTCACTAAATGTTCGACGATTTCTTACTACGTCTTCGTCGCTGTTCAAGATAGGTGTGGATAGCTCATCATCCACTCCCATTTTTCCTACAAATAAAATTGGTATTTTTTTCAATTAGATTACAAATATGATACATCATTTGAGAAATATTTAATTAATGAAAACAAGGGGCGGATTATGGTTAAACGTATTTTTCTCGAACAATTGTATTGTTCAACAATACAGTGTTATTAAATAATTAATGAAGCGAATATTATGTTTGCACAGTTCTTTGATATTGCTCTTGCTATACACAACTAACCCGTATTTGAAACCCGCATAGCAAGGAAACGTTTTTTGAATGAACGAGTAGAAAGTGAAGAAATGGTGTATTACACTACTCTAAGAGAGACGAATTAAATACTTTTCGTCATTTCGTCTTATTATTATTCGGTGATAGAATAGTGAAAAAAATCAGTAAGTTCATCCAATATGTATTGGAAGGCAAAGGTTTTTGGCTTCTTGATAGAATTTTGATTGCGTTTCATTTCGTTTTTTGCCCTTTTATTGGATTTTGATAAACTCTCGTGTATGTACTACACATTTTTTTTACGAAATAGATTTAATAATTTTAAATATGAATCGTTGCGGAGAAAAAGGAGCTCTTATTTTTTTCCAAATAATACTGCAACATAAAGTTTTTTATGAATAGTTTATTTGTTGTATTACAACAAATAAACCGTGTGAAAAAAACTTTATGTTGCCGTATTATTTGAAGAAAAATAAGAGCTACTTTTTCTCCGCAACGATTCATATGAAACACAAAATTTCTTGTCGGTATACCGTTTAAAGTCTTTGTACGCAGTGAATGCGCAACTGAAAGCGCAACAAATGGTTCAACGATTAATTTGCAATTGAATACGGTTGCCAGTCTGGAAGATTATCAAATTGCGCTTTTCAGAAAGAATGACGCATTGCTATACTCTTTTTTTTCCTGTACTGATACTGAGTTAGTTCAAGACAATATTGTAAAAAATGTGCTAAATCAGTCATTCAAAACTATTTTCGTAGAACTCCAAAAGGGGCAAAAAACGCTGAAAAAACATGATATATATTTTTTTAAACATATTATTCCATTTATTAGCCATTCCATATGGATCCATATGGAGGACGTAATTAAAATTGAAAACGTCATCAAATTAGAAAATGTTCAATGAAAATGTCATTTTATGAAATAGTTTTTTTTATCAACTGATTTAATATTACAAATTAAAAGAAGAAAATATGCGTATTAGATTTGCACAAAGAAAACCATAACAGAACACAATGATTTTATGGCCTTTCGACTGACCTTATGTGTTATCAAATAACTAGAATGTTTTAGCGTTTTTTTTTTCAATGCTCTCTTAATAGGCACACGATTTGTATTAAACAAAATAAGAGAAATGCACTTTTTTTAATAACAAAGAATTCACTTAAAATGAACTATGAAACTATGCTGTGAATGAAAGTAAATAGTTCACGGATTTGTGAATACACTTCATATAAACATCTTGGACGAACAAACTAATCGCAAATTCTGTCATACAAACTCATCTCAATACTGATGATACATTCAAACTATGTGCTTAGAGAATTGATATTTGTGTTGACATCTTCACATACAAAGATTGGAAAGTGACAGCATTGTTACATACATGCAACACATATGTGAGAATCTACAATGGAAAGATGAACGTATCCATTTAGTGTAGAAAAAACTAACCTCAATTTTGTACTTGCCATAGAAAAACATCGTAAACAAAGTGCAACATTTTATTCTTTTTCAATAAATATTGAATGAAAGTCAATTAATTTAGTATTTCTATTTATTGCCCGCCTACAGATTCGACATTTGATTATTATTTAGTTATGAATCGAATTAGATTTAATTTAAGCGGTGATTGCTGGTTTCACCCCAGACTCTATTATATCGCCTTTCAAACGTTGCAACTTTAGCGGTAACAAATGAATCATTTCTTTGCTTACACCAACTTCTCCTTTCATTTTTTCACCAATTTCCTCTTTCTCTGTACAAACATCCACAAATTTTTTATAGCTCTCAAGGCAAGTGCATAAATTCTGGTATTGTAGATGCTTATCAGGCGTGATAAATTTATAACTGATTCGTGCAATTTGAAAATATGAGAATGCGATCGGAACCAATTCTTCATTGCTAATATCAGATTTAAGTTGTTCAGTTTTTGCTTGATAATATGTTGAAATGAATTCACTAAAATTGTTTCGACTCTTTGTAATTAGCTCATTGATTTTCTTCAGGGCATTTGGATTAACAACGGTATCTGGTGTCTTTTGACCTTGTTCGAATGCTTCAAGTTTGATATCAAGGATGTTGGAATAAGCGGTGCCCAACTCATATAGCAACTCACGAACAATATTCATGTAAAACAATTTGTTTAATTGTTTTAACAAATCTTCGAGCAAATCAATTCGTCGTTTGTGCATTTTCGCTTGATTCGATGGATCACTCTCGAAAAATGCCAAATGTTTATAGGCCATAGCATGATCCTGAACAATTTTCGAATATTCCGTTGCTTCTGTATCGATCGTATAGTAGGATTTGGCCTTCTCCACCCATTTTATCGTGGTTAGGAAAACTGGTTTGGCATCATCCATGTCTAATAAATATCGATCCGTGATTATATTCTCGTAGGCCTCATCGATTTTCAAACCAAATTTTAACGGATCAGACACTTTTAAGCTTTCAATGCCTGAAATCAATACAATAAAAAAAATAATGGTAAAAAAGTGAATTTTAACATCTAATTTTGAAGTGCACCTATTTCTTCAAGCAAACGATCACGAGAATCAGAAATCAAATTCAACGCGTACTTGATCCAACAACGATTCAGATCCGCTACGCGATGGTTAAAATTATCTATAATTAAAAAAAAATTAAGGAATTGACTTGTTAAAATTATAACAACAAATTTCTGTACTATTAGGTCGCATATTATCTCGATCATCATCATCTGGCAAGCCAGCAGAGCCGAATAAAAATACGTTTAATATGTAAAATAATAAATTTTCACACAGTAAAATTACCTTCAGCGGCCTTCTTTTCATCGTCTGTCATGCCGGGCTTAAAAATATTCGTCTGATGTTCCAACAAAATTTGTGTGGCTGCTGCCAAATGGTGTCGAGCCTATATATTTTTTTAAATTGTACAGATAATACAAATTTGAAAATCGTAGCAAAAATTGAATAAAATCGTAGCAAACAGTTGAATGTAAATATCAAACCTCAGAATAACGATTGTTTGTGCAAAAGTATTGTGATAATGTTGCCTAAATTGTATAGATAAAATTAATTCAATGAATAAAATCGTAGCAAACAGTTGAATGTAATATCAAACTTGCCGCATTTAGGGCCCAATCGATGGCTTCAAATTCACCCATAATAAGTTGTTTTTTCAATGTAGTATGGCAGTAGATAGCGGATTTTGCCAAGTCTTTCAAACTACCAAACACTTGGGCTAAATAAAACAATGTGAGAACATTAATTTTTTCCAACAATTTTTCGCCTTGTCCATTTTTACTCGTTGTATTCCCATTGAATATGTCATGAATAGAAAGTGGTTCTACTTGTTTCTCTTTGAATGTGTTGTAGTTAGTTTCAGCGTTGATGAGGAATTCTTTGGCTTTCTCTGTTTCACCTCTGTTCATCCACATAACACCACATTCATTCATTGCGTTTAAAGCAATTAAAATTATTTCACGATCCGTTTCATGATTCTTAACCAGTTCAAGTGCTTCGTTCAAGTATTTTTCACCAACCGATAGTTCCTCCGTAAAATTGTAAATCTTCCCCAGATCCACAGTTACATGAGCTAAAATATTTTGCAACGTCTGAATGTCATCATTTGCATCATCGATGTGCTCTTTAATGGTTTGCGATATTTCCAACAAAATCTTTCTAGCTTCATAATGTGATTTAAATGGTTCTGTCGGCGGATCAAGTTTACTTGTGTCAATGACTAAAACTTCGGTTTTTTCATATTTTTCTTTCAAATCGACCAGCAATTCTTTCGATAGTGTCATTTTTAATATTCACTTTCTATACTAAGCACGTTCCGTGGTTAAAAGTTGTTTGTTGTGACTCAAACTCACTTGGAAAATGTGTAAATCGATAACTATATGTCAAAAATCCAATGGAAACGTTCAATGCTACTGAATTCACAGCAAGTTAAAGTAAAACATTTGAATTAACAAGTGATTTGAAAATCATTGTTTGCGTAAGAACAAACGACAAAAAAATATATTTAAAAAAACCTTGAGAAAATGACAAAAGATAAACTGATGAAAGGAAAACTGAAATTGCATTGAAACAAAGCATAACATAAAATAGCAAAACAAAGAATAGAGCGCTTTTGTGTACGGATATTTATAGTAGTCTTGCGGATGGCGAATATTGTATGGTAATATAAAGGGGTTGCGAATGTGGAAAATGCTACGAATTACAACTACATATGGCACGCACTTAAGACAATTGAATTGTGGTATGCTAGTTTTCCATCGAGAAAACCGCGAACTTATCTACGTTTAGTTCGCTTGAGGCTTTCCTATAGATAACACGTTACTCGAAGTCGGAGGCTATCGCGTTAATTCCATTGTATGGTGTAGTTTAAAGTGCGTAGTTTTTATACATGTATATGCCAAAAAAATTTGCAAATATTTAAATTATTATATTATTAGAAAGATTGTGCAGTAGGGTGGAACATTTTTGGCACAATTTGGTGGCCACTTAGCAAAACATGTCTTATAGTCCCCAGATTCAAGATATGAAGGAATTTTCAACTTAAGGTTCCATATAAGATAGCGACTTGAAAGGAAAGGAGGTAAATTTTACTGGAAAATCATGAAAAATTGCAGTGATCCAATCACCATGTTTTCAATTTCAACAAAAAATATAAGTGCCTCCCATACAATTTTTTTTTTTTTCTCAAAAACAAACAATCGAAAATGTTGTATGGGAGGCACCTTTATTTTTGGTTGAAATTTCATCAAACTTGGTGATATTACTAATTTTGGTCAGAAAATAAGATTCACAAGTTTTCATGGTGATTGGGTCACTGCAATTTTTCATGATTTTCCAGTATAATTTACCTCCTTTCCGTTAAATTCGCTGTCTTATATGGAACCGCAAATTGAAAATTCCTTCATATCTTGAATCTGGTGACTATAAGACGTGTTTTTTTAAGTGGCCATCAAGATATGCCTCGAAATTCAAAAAAATTTTCCACCCCTATTGTGCAGAGTAAAAAAATATTTTAAAAATTGAAATAAAAATATGATCAACGAATAATTATCGCAACAACACTTATTACCTATTACAACATTAAATTTAAATAAATGTGTTGTTTTCAATTCGTTCGATTCAATTTATAAAGTGTCTGTGAAAAATCAGTTGAAATAAATGGTTGTAAAAAGCACGCCAGAGCTATTTGTTCGTATCACAAAACACAATAATTAAATATGTATTACGTGGATGACGAAAGTGTTTGAAGTCGCATAGGGAAAATAGTAAAGTTCGTGTGTGAATGTGTTGAGATAATTCGAACAACTGGAAAAACAATTTGAACCAAATAAGTGCACTCATGCATTCATACTCCAATTTTATTTCACGTTCATTTCCATAGAATGTTTGGCTCCGATGTATGATTGCAAGACACACTGGCTACATGCTTTCTTTTCCTCTTTCCACTTCCTTACTAGTCGTAACTAACTCTGTCATCACAACCATTCTCCGCGTTTCTATGTATTCATATCGACCCAAAAACATCAACCATTGAAATCTATTTTCCAAATTGAATCAAACAAACTACGTTAAAGTTATTTTTATTTCAGAGAACTACTAAAAAGATATACAATACATTCTTTAAAAATGCAATAAAATACGTTTTTCAACGATGAAATATTATAAAAAACGTTACACATATATGTTTTTCTATTGATTGTAATTTTTTTATGTTAAAGGACTCTTAATTCGAACTCTAGAAAACATGGAAGCGATTAAGCATAAAATCTTCAATATCTACTATTTTTACATGCTTTGGATGTTTTGTACAGGTAAATAGAAAATTCCTTACAATAAAAATCGCGTTTATAATTGTTTAAAAAGTCTGACAAAGTCCAAAACAGATTTCGCTAAACAATTACTTGAATATAAATAAACCGATCCCAACGACACTTTAACTGAATATCATACCATTTTCATCTTGTAATAAAAAAAAATGCCCGGTGTGAACATAAGAATGGAACTTAACATAAATAACAATATACTTGACAGTTAAAATATGAACAAAATATTGAACAACGAAGTTGGATATAATAAATACTTTCAATTAGCGATAGAATGCATGAAAAAAAAAATTGCCCGGTGTGAGGCTTGAACTCACGACCTTCAGATTATGAGACTGACGCGCTGCCAACTGCGCCAACCAGGCTATGAACATTTTAAGATCAAATACAGGTTTTGACAGTGCCAGTGGTTTGCAAACGCACACTGTTGTTGTTATACGTTTTGCATGTCACATGTGACACTAGATGAAAAAAATATATTCATATTTGAACGAAACAAAATGGGATATAAAGAAATTTATCAAAAAATATCATAAAATGAACTCTAATCTAAAATCGACTTTCAGATTTTCCAAATTTGTGTTTGAGTGATTAGGAGACTGGCGTACTACCTACTGCGCTAAAGCCATGAAAGTGGCCCAGCCAATTGACTTTTTGAATATGCACTAAAAGTCCAATAAGCTTACAGTAGTCCTATAACCGTATTTTTCATATACAATGAATGCTAATAAGATTGTTTGCAAACACAATTTCTTCAGAATATACGCAATCAAATTGTTAATAGGAATTACCTAATGATTTGATTCGGAATTGTTCGAAAAATTACAATTATGGGGACATTGTGCGCATTCGAAATTTGATTTATACATTAAACATGAGAGCAATACACGAGCTTGCTATGAATATTTTATAAAGCAACGAATTTTGATGATGTTTGGAAAATGGTACCAATAAATCTATTTTTACACACGTCATTCGACTAATTTGCCTTGGCAATTTTTATCTATTTGAGTTTAAGGCATTAAGGAGAAATAAAAACGTTTTGAAGTTTATTTGTCAAACATTGCAATCATTCTCAAAGTTCCCAACCAAGAGTGATTAGATGAGACAAGAAAATCTTATGAGGTAGCTATAGAAACCATAGTCTTTGCTCTTTTTATATAATGTGAGATATAAAAAAAATCAAAGATAATGCAACGAAGAAGAATAAAGTATGTCAACGACTTGACGGCGCCGTTTGTATCCAAGGGGGATGTTATGTGCGTGCATGTTTTTCTTGTATATCAGTAGGCTCATTCGAATCGGAATTTTCTTCTATCCACCAGTCTCTGCATTTATCCCGTTCGACCACGCATTTTATTTGTATTTCTTTCGGCTCACATACATTTCAACGAATTCAGTATTATGATTTTAATGCGCTCCATTTAGACGCATGTGAATATGATGTTCTTTCGTGTTATGGTGGTGAAAGAGCCATACAGAAAAAAATGTACTGCAAAAACGTTAAAATGTAGCGTTATTAAATACAATGCAATTGATTACAAGCTAATGGCATTGAGTGGACTATCCGCATAAAAATAGAATATACCTACAAAATATACTTTCCGCATATTTATAACTACAGCATTACAAAAATTGCCAAGATTAGCGCATTGACATTTATTGTTCCCATTTTTTTATAAGTACATTACTAAAAGCCGACCAATAAGACAACATGAATGGGTTAGAATAAAAATCCGACTTGTACGCAGAGTCTATAAAAGTGTTGTAGAATTTTTGTTGTATTACAACAAATAAAATATGTAAAAAAAACTCAGTGTTCCACTTTTATAGCCTCTGCGTACAAGTTGGATTTTTATTCTGACCCATTCACATGTACTTCTATATAGAACTAAAGTATATGGCACAACACCACTCTTTTATATTTTAATTGATAGTAAAAAGTGATAAATTGTAAACGATAATGGAAAAAAATATTTTGTTTGATCAATTGATCTCGATTTCACTCTCATTTTTTTAATCTTCGCGTGATTTGTGATTTGTCCTGAAATTTCAATTTTAAATATCTTAAATAAGAATATAAATTTTCAACCTTTGGTTTATTTATTTTCTTTTTCTCAACAGAATTGATTTTGGTGAATGCATCTGAAGAGCAATCATTTGAACCAAAGTTAATGCCATCGGTCAATGAAGTAATGCACTCTGAAAATGACACGTATATTGTTTCATGTGCTGGCGATGGAGTTCGTGTGAGATGGTTTGATCCCAATAATAAATGGATTGATCCAATGGATCGAGGTCATGTTCATGTTGAAGAACGAAATAGTGAATCGTTATTGATTTTTACATCCATATCACCAGAGGATAGGGGAAATTGGACGTTCGTATTATATAATCCTATAGTATAATTCTATCGTTTAGAATTAAAGTGATCCCCTGTTATATATGCACTTTGCTACTAATATTCAGTAATTAACCCAAATAATTTTCTACAGGTGTCAAGCAGAAAATAATACACGAAGGGCTGGATTCAATATGATTGTTTACAGTATGAGAATCTTTTACAATAAACTAGCGTAAAATCTACATTCAGTTTTATTCACTAATTTCTTTAGAGCCAATAACTTTTCTCGATTCGCAAAATGTTCAAAGTGTAAAAGAAAATGATGATGCAGTCATAAAGTGTATGGTTGACGGCGATCCTGAGCCAAGTATTTCTTGGTATTACAATGGCCAACCATTAAATCGTAAATATTCTTGCATAGCAGTCAATTTTCCATTCGCTTGTTTAAGTCGTCTACTTGGTTTCAGTTGATGGAAACAAATATCGTGGCCTAGCTGACGGCCTGTTAATCAAAGAAGTACAAAAAGGAGAGGAAGGAGAGTACACTTGTTCCGCATTTCAAATATCATCTGCAAAAAGTAATATTAAAAATTACTATTCCATTACTCTACAAATCCTTCCATTCTGTTCCATTACTCATTGATTCATTTCCATTTTTTTCCATCTGATCAACGCTAGGTAATATTGAAGAGAAAACAATTCGTTTAAATATTCAGCGTGAGTATCTTTGAAAAATAAAAGTGAAAGAGTATGACATTTCAAAACCATTAACAGACAAACCTATTATACCTGTTCATCGAGAGAGTGCTGATGTTCAATACGGGTATCTCAAAGGATATGTGGATATCATATGCGAAGCCGAAGCAGAACCACCAGCTACATTTCGTTGGTATCGCAATAAACAACGTTTGGATCCAGGAGAGTATGAAATTAGTTATGGTGAACATAGCTCCACTCTACGGGTAATATTTCATTTCTAATGGAGGAGAAGAGAAAGAAGGTACCAGTAATTTTATTTATATTTTTAGATTCTCTTGAGTGATGGGGATCAATTTGGAGCATACGTTTGTGAGAGCTCTAATAGTTTGGGAACATTGAAAAGAGACATAGGTGTGTCAACTATTTCGCAATTTTTTTTTTCCATTTTTTTCTAAGTAACCCTTTCATTTTCATTCTGATTATTTTGATATAGTGTTGGTAAATGGAACAAAACCTAATCCACCTCCATACATAACATTACGTGGTGTAAATTCTAATACTTTTGATTTGGACGTTGGTGCAAAGAAAATTGGTGAACCCGACGAAATGGATGTTATTGGCTATCGATTTGAAATTATCTCAAAAGAGGAACATCAGAATGAGAGCAAATGGTTGAATGCACGCGTTGTCAAGAAAGATTTTACAGAAGGTCGTTTATTGCAAATAATTTTCAAAAATCATTTAAATTCTTCTATTTTGGTTTGCAAACTTAAATTGGAGGTCATATGTCGTTACAGGTGTCACATATTTAATCAATAACTTATCACCGAACACAACATACTTGATTCGTGTTGCATCGGTAAATCGCGCCGGCATGTCGGAGTGGCTTGGTCCAAGGGAGTTCGAAACACATGCAAAGGAAGGTTTCGGACACACATCTACATCAACACATTCCGGATCACAACACAATGTTGTGGCAATGAATCTTATTCATCTGTTGATATTTTACATAGCTTATGAATTTTTCAGTCTAACCTAATGGACCTAGATTCGACAGATATTCAATTTTTAAATGTTTTACTATTACTATACATGGATAAGCTGTTTTTAATGAAATTGAGGAAATGCCTCCATATAACGACATCGAATAATTGCAGTACACACAATAGATTTTTGCCTGACAGTTAATAATAATAAAAATAAATTGAAGCAATGGAATTTTAACTAATATTCCGCTAAGTCACTTGCATACAATTGAAACTGAGCTATAACTTTTTTCAATTGAAGCGGATATATTTATCATACATATTTAATGGAATGCCTTTTACGCTCTTTGAAAAAAACCGAATGTTCAACATTTAATGAAGAAATAAAAAAGTTATATGGATTTAAAAACACTAAAATGTGTATTATTTTTAAGACACCAAAAATGGTAATTGAGCCAAAGACTTGAATATTTATTGCTATCTAATAATTTATTACGTTGAAATATAGCGGAATACAGTGGAATCGAGTAACGGTATTCGATTGATTTTTCCAACAATAAACAAAGAAAACGTCTATATATACAGCAAAGATCTTTTTCTCATTGGTTATCTGGAAGAAAGAATATTCGGTTAGTAGAAGCAAATGTGCCCGTCTTCATTGATATATGAATATTGAACTGATTAAAATATGATAATAAATATTGTGAAATTTTTGAAAGAAATTTTACTTAAAATTTACCATTGAGCTATACGTAGTTTAAGTTGTCGTTTTTATATTATTATTTTTATCTGCAGAATTCTATCATCCATACAATTGTAATCAGACTTTGATTAATTCACTTTTGAATTTAATTGTTATTGCTATGTATCTGAACGTCTAAGTATTAACGTCACAAATACTTAACAGCCAAACGTTCAAAAATGCACTTAACGAAGCACATTGTGACAGCTCATGACTGAATCAACAGTATATCTCTTTCTTTACGTATGTTATTTCGGTTTGTATTTTATTTACTACAAATACATTCACAATTAACTGCTATGTATTACCACTACAAACCGGCTCCTTCTATGGTAGACAAAGGCAAAACAGTAATCGGACTATGTGTATCGTTTTTAGTCGAAGCCAACGACATTAGTAGGTTGAGTCGCTCTGTGCATTCATATATACACACAATGAATTGTAGCTGCACGACACACTAAATTGGCTCATTTTAATTCATTAAAATTTACTATTTTGTTGTGCGTTTTTTTAAATCGTCTATCACTTATTGTGAAGTGCAAACTATTTGATATGCTCGTAGTGTAGAAAGCTTCCGATTGATGTTTCCCATTCGAATTGAAAAATAGAATAAAATCTTCGAAAAATAAAAAAAAATCTGTGAAACAGAAAATGGAATGAGTATTACAAAGAATTGAGAGTGTTTGTTTATTTTATTTTGCTTTGATTTACCAAGTAACTTTCAGGGTTATTTGGTGTATTTTCTCATTCTTGAGTTGGTACGGATCGATTTCATTGAATTGCCCAAAATTGGGCCAATGTTTGTGTGTGGTGAATAAAATTTCAAAATGAAACATAGGGAGTATAAAAATTCTATTATTGATATGTGCAATGGAAAATACATCAACAAATTCATTCGAGACAAATTCCAATGTACAAACGGAAACCGTTTTAGAAAATGTGAAGTCAAAATTGATAAAACAAATGAAGAGGATATAAAAACGCTATCCCATACGAAATGTAATCGATCTCAGCGGTGCCTAGAACATAAATCAATAGTACAAAGTAGTCGCAAGAATAATACGTTGTTTTATTCGAAATTTGCATTCCATCGACTTATAAATCTCATGATCGTTCTATTGTTCATCGCATGTACGATAGTCAACGGTCAACAGCAACTGGAATTTCGACAAAAAACGCGAAACACAGGTGAGTCATTGTACATACGATTCATTGTGTATACCCACTTCGCTGACTTGATTTGAATGAATAAATGCTGATTCGTGGAAGAATGAAGATTATTTTAAAAAAAAACCATTAAAATGCTTTGATAAATTGTGCGCGCGGCGTGTGAGTAACGATTATAATTTTTGCAACATCTTTTGTTCAACTTAGTTTCAATTATTTCATTATTGTTTCAATGTATGTATGTGTGAAATAAGTTTTTGTGTTCATCTTCTGATGCCGTGATTTTTCAATGAGAGATGGGCTTTTAATATGGGTGTGCGTGTATAAATGTAAATGTATATTTTCGCGTTTCCCATATGATTTGCAGTTACGAATCATCAACTTAATTTATAACATGAATTTGTGTATTATTTCATACAAATGGAGTGATGTCTGCGATGGCAGCTGAGTAATTGTGCATTCAACGTATATGAAGAATACATTTCCTATACATTCACACACTTTGTCCGTTGTTTCCATTTTTTTTTACATTCTTCTCTTTTCCTTTTCGTTCTTGTGCCTGTAATAATAATAACTGAACAAATGAGGCAAAGAAAATCGACTTCTTCAAATCATGCATGTAAAACGTTTTTACTACTTACGCATTTTTCTCTCACACTATTTATGCAATGTGAAAGCATACTGTTGTTTTTGTATTGCCGCTTGAAGATGATAAATGTTTGCAGGCCAATCACAAATGTCTATATTTGATGCACATAATCTAAGTGCAAGGAACTAATAAACCAACTGGCAAATACGGAAGTTGTGACGCAAGTTTCCATATGATATCATCTTTCTAGAATTTCTCCCTTTTTCAATTCAAACGGCAACAATATTCTACTGGAAAACAGTACATAGAGACCTGCTTATATACTGTTTGTACGTATTTTCTATATTTATGTCAATAATATAATAAATGCTGACTACACTCCATGTCATAGCATCACATTGCATCACATCAATCATCACTCAATTAACATTATTTTTTTGTCGAGGACTGAATCGTTTTCACAGAACGTTCTTAATTATTTCAATGTGAACTTTGGAGAATCCATTAAGCGTGCTAGATTTAAAATTGGTCGCATCTCATTGTCTTCGTGCTGAATTTTTTTCCCCATAATATGTGTTTTCTTTGTTCATTGCAACAGACAATAATGTTCTAAACTCCAAATATAAAAAGCAAAACAAAAAGCATTGCCATTAGATGTTCACAAAACAACGTTTCTAGTGCAGCACAAACCATAGTTTTCATACATGAAAAACATTATCTCGTCAAAATATAAACACAAACATTTAAAAAAAAAAAACATCAAATGAACAAAAAAGTAAACTGCTTTCGAAGCACTCGACGATCGTATTTTTTGTTCATTTTTCGTCTCTCTTTAAAATGTTTATTTTGTATACGATTCTTTTTTCATTTTGTCGTTCTATCTTATCGTCAGCAAGACATTCGGTTCTACAATTTACTTTTGATAAAAGATAGAAACAATCGCGCAATCGCACGTAATAACTTCATGAAATGGTTCTTTTTGTTTTTACAAATTAAATACAAAATACCTGGAACATCAGATTAAATTACGATCACGATGAAAATAAAGTAATTACAATTACAATTGAATTGTACTGTAATGTTGACACCAAAATACGCATACTGAATCGTTTTATTTTTCTTCTTTATCCATAAATTAATATTATGCATGGAGTTTGATTGAATTGTGTAATTTTTAAATTGCTTCCAGACATATTCAGCGCACATAAAACGCATGCGGTAATTCAGCCAATAATTTTTGATGGCACAAATCAACGCGAAATACTATCAACAACGCGACAAACGGTAAATCATTTTCAATTTATCATTTAACATATATACACAGTATACCAAGCATAACTGTTCTCATATAATGACAGTGATTTAGACAAAAGCGCGAATTAAACACAGTTAACGATTTTTCGAAATTATTATGTTTCAATTCGTTGGTTTTTTTGCATTTTTTATTTCTTTGTGTATTCGGTTGAGTGAGATTGAATTGCTAAATTTTGAATTCTCTTTGCTACTTTTTTCGCAACGCATATATAGAATGGCGAACACGCACCGCACGTCGTTTTGGAGTATACACATCTGGACAGAGCGATTGCTGTCGATTTGTTTTTAACTCGACACTTACTAACCGACCGACATTTTTTGCAATCCCAAAATGCCAACGGATCGAAAAACATTCAAACATTCAATCGGACCAATTCCAATTTATGTCACTATCAAGTGAGTATATACGTTGTTTTAAAAAAATGTTTGTTTTGCTTAAATTAAAATACACACTCATTCGTTCATGTGTTTATAGGGTCGTATACGGCACAATCCAAAATCAAAAGTAGCGATCTCTACTTGCAACGGCCTAAGCGGAATGGTTTACGATGGAAACGATACTTACTTTATCCATCCAAATGATATTGGTGCCTTACACGAATCTCACTATATTTTTAGGTAAATATGCACAATACCACATGAATCATGACAACTAAAACGAAAATGTTTCATCTTTAGCCAAAGTGATTTGAATGAAACAAATCCAATGATGAAGAATTCCATTTTTACCGATCCGATCGTCATGAAGGAAACAACACAGAAAAAAGTTAGTTGACTCAATCAATATATTTTCGTTCAATCTAATTGTAATCTATTCATATTCAGTTCAAACGATCTGTGACCGAAACAACAACCGTACGCGAACCATACAACGCAAACAGACAGTCATCTTTCGTTGAATTGGTGATCGTTGTCGACAACGATGTGTTTAAAAAAATGGATGAAAACCTCGATAAAGTTCACAACTACTGCAAAGATATTGCGAACATCATCAATTCGGTGAGCCAAATTAAATAAATGCGAATAAACAAACGATTTAATTGTGTGTAATTAAACGCACTCAAACTAAAACTCACTTTCTATACATTTATAGCTTTATGTGCCGTTGAATATTTTCATTGCGTTGGTCGGCGTTGTAGTGTGGACGGAAAAAAATGAAATTGAACTCTCTAATGACGGCGATAAAACGTTAAAGAATTTTTTAAATTATCGACGCAAGACATTAATTAAAGACCATCCAAATGATAATGCTCAATTACTAACTCAAGTTCAATTTGATGGTGGTGTTGTTGGTGAGAGTGAATTACTAATATCAAATATACTCAACCAAAAAATAATTAAATCCCAAAATAAAAATCAATTTTAAACTTTCCATTCATTTAGGTAAAGCATTGAAAGGTCCGATTTGTACATTTGAGTTTTCTGGCGGCGTGTCAACGTATCACAGTGCAATAGTTAGCGTGGTCGCAACGACCATAGCTCATGAAATGGGTCATAATTTTGGCATGGAACACGATACACCCGATTGTAAGTGTCCCGATGATCGATGTATTATGTCAGCATCAAGTTCATCAATCGCGCCGACTCATTGGAGCGAATGCAGCATTCACCAACTAAATTTGGCAATTCATCAGGGAATGAATCATTGTTTGAAAAATATGCCAAAGCACTTATTCGATCCACCTTCTTGCGGAAATGGTTTTGTTGAGACGGGCGAAGAATGTGATTGCGGTTTACCGAGTGTTTGTAAAAACACATGTTGTGATCCATATGCATGTAAACTTCGGTCAAATGCAACATGTGCTATGGGAAAATGTTGTGATTTAGCAACATGCCAACCTCAATTGGCTGGAACTGAATGCCGGAGTTCATTGGGTGAATGTGATTTACCCGAATACTGTGATGGAAGTAATGAATTTTGTCCGATGGATTATTTTAAGCAAGATGCCGAAGAATGTGAAGGTGGCAAAGCTTATTGCTACAAAGGCACTTGTAAATCACGTGACGATCAATGCAAATTATTGTGGGGACCATCAGGCAAATCATCGGAGCAATGCTATGAGAAAAATAAGGAAGGAACGCGACATGGAAATTGCGGATTCAATCGAACAGGGGGTGTTTTCAATGCTTGTGCCAAGGAAAATGTATTTTGCGGAATGTTGCAATGTCGTCACTTAAACGAAAGACTAGAATTTGGTTTAGAGTCGGTGGCCGTTTTATCACATAGCTTTATAACGTATGGTGGAAATGTTATTGCATGTAGAACCGCCGTGATAGATTTGGGTATAGAAACTGTTGATCCTGGACTAGCGCCGGACGGCTCGAAATGTGATTCTGGAAAAATGTGCGTTAATCAAAAATGTATTGCAATAAATACACTGCGTAATGAAGGCAAGGTGAAAACATGTGAAAATGACTGTAACAAACATGGTGTTTGCGATAATATGGGACATTGTCATTGTGATAAAGGATTTGCTCCGCCATTTTGCGATTCACCGGGACCTGGCGGATCCATTCATTCTGGTCCGGCTACAAATCCATATGGTATTTTTTTTTTTTTAAACCAAGTTACTATATGTATAAATGCTGCAAATAAGTGTTTATTGACAAATGTTAAATATATTCCTTTTCAGATGGATATGGATTTGTTCGCGTTATGTACGTTTTCTTCTTGGGCGTTGTGCCATTTATTGCATTGTCGCTATTTTTGTTTTACTACTGGCGACAAAATCGTCCGTGGTTTATTACACAAGCATCAGCTAATGAGTACGTACCAAAAAAGCGTAGTGTAGAATTACCGAAATCGAAAAATCTCAAAATTACTGATAAAAAATTGGTTTTTAGCACGAATGCACATGTTTGGCAAGATTGGCATTAAATTTGATGTTTGACTTAAAACATATGCACATATTACTAAAACTATGTACTTGTTTTGCTTTATTTTGTTTTCTTTTAGAGTTTGGTTTTTGTAATCGGATTCATTGTTTGATAGTTTGTAATGATAGTTTGTAATAACTTAGTTTATGTAGTTTTATTTTAGTTGTTACGTCTATCTATGTATTGCATGACATATGTACCAGTTGAGGGTGCTTTTTTTCTGGTTTTTCTATACAATTTATAATTTAGTTTTATGTTCTTGCTTTTCTGGTGTAATTGGATCTGCTTTTTAATCTCTGTCAATGCTATTTGTCTTATTTTTGTGAGTATAATTTCTGTGGTGTTGTGAATTTTATAGCTCGTATTTTCACAGATGTCTTTTTTTTTGTTTACTCACCTTTACAAAGTAAAATCTAATGTAATTTCTTTTGTTTCAAATTTCAAAGTCTGAAAGTGTCGGTTCATCATTATCCAGACCGACCTGCTCCTCCACCACCACCACCTAACGCACCATCTTCAAATCAACTTTCACCAAGTAGTACAGACGATATGAGTGCAACACTTCTCAAGGCAAACGAAGCCAATGAAGATCCAATAAAACGTGAACTTTTCGGTAATTTTAAAGGATTTTCATTGAAACCATTACCAATGTCAAAGCCAAACATAGTTGGAGCATCAAATGTTGCTTATGTTCATCCTGTTGCAAAAGCTGAAACAACTTCTGAACAATGCATTCCGATGCGAGCCGCACCGTTGCCACCATCAAATTCACCAAAAAAATCACAAATCAAATCGTCACCCATATCGAATCCAAAATCTTCACCGTCGTCATTTCGATATCAAAACTTAAATACATCAACGAATAAAACACCCGAAACTCCCATCGAAGTTAGGTTGTTTGCGAAAGAACGGCCAAAAATATCTCATCCAGTTCTGGAGAATTCAACATGTTCTGTAAAAGAGCTCATCGCTACCGCTAATGCAAACCAAAATTCCCAAAAAAATTTCAACACATTGCCAAAAAATAATCATGTGGAACAGAAAATAGCACAAAAACCAAGTGATTCTCAAACAACACTGAAAAGAGCTCTGATTGATAAAAATATTGTAAAGAAATTAGATATTTCGGCTCCAGTAAAAGCAGTTACGTTTGGCCGTTCGCAAAGTATGCGAAGTCCTTCAAGCGAAAAATCACCAGTAAAGCGGAATGTACTTGCATCTGGTTCGATGCGTCATCCGTCTGGTATAAAACGTCTTAATAGCGTAGATCGACCCAAGAATCCACCACCTCCAAGGCCAGCAAATTTACCAAACTCGGCTACCTCGTCATTGAGAAACATCTACTCGAACCTGAACGATGATGTTGGCACACAGTCTATTGATAATAGCACCGATAACATATATTGTGTTATAGAAGATGTGAAGGAACCATCACCACCTCCAACAAATGGTTTGCTCAATGAGATTGTGAATGAAATCGGAAATCGTAACAAAAATTCAATTTATTCGACAACAAAGAAAAATACAGCTCCAAAAAATGTGGGCAATCAACGAACGACTTATGAAAATATTAATCAAAGCCTTAGGACAAATACAAGCAGATTAGTGGATGATAAAGAAATGGTACCTGGAAGCAACAATATTTATATGAATACAGCTTCAGTTGTGGAACAACCACATGTTCAAAAGTCTAATAATGTCACAAATCCAATTGAAAATGCACATAAACCAAATGTAAATTCAATTGTAAAAAAAATATCATATAATTCGATGCATCCAGGTACTGCAAAATCTTTTCCAGCTGTAAAACCAGCGATCGCTACAAAACCATCCATTGCAGAACAAAAAAAATCCACAAGCAAAGAAACTAGTCAATCCTCTATGCCAAAAGTGGCCGGTTCGAATGTCACAAAAATGGCAAATTCTGGAAAAGCCACCATAAATCCAACGTCAAATGTACGAGCAATGCATAAACGCTTCGAAAATCGAAAAACATAAGTAAACGCAAAACAATATTTATTCATTACTGTCGAATGATTTATTATTATGTGTATTGTTTTTGTGACTCCGAATGCTTTGTAGCCAGGAGAAGAGCACAATATATTCATGCTTTACATATTTCAAGTGCTTTCATTGTGATAAATTATAACCAAAATTGAAGTTTGTGCTAAAATCCAATCAATACCAATGGTGATTTATACCTGTTAAATCATTGCACTGAATAGAAATCTAGCACTTCACGCATTGTATACAAAGTGAACTAAACATATAAAAAAAACTTTAAATGCTTTAATTGTAATATTATATATTTTAATTATATTTTATAGAAGAATGAGATTATAAAATTTCGAAATAATTCAACGTTTAAATTGAATAGAATGCTGAATAATTTTTATAGATAATTTTTTTTACATTGTTCGCAATACGCAATATCTGTATCTTCATTAGACTAGACCAAAAATAAAAAAGTATATGGAATTATTATTTATATGGTATCGAGATGCTCCATCCGGGCTGGTGAAATATGTGAAGAAGTAACATATTTGGCATATTTGTTTCATCCAAAAGTAGATCGCAATTTTTTTTAAAACTTGTTGAGTTTATGTATTTTGGTAAGAAATTCGTTGATTGAGAAAAGCTCCAAGTCTCCTTGCGAGTACCACCGATCGACTTTTAGGTGAAACAAATACGCCAAACATGTTATTTTTTCATGTATTTCACCAAACCGGATGGAGCATCTCGATACCATATACATTTTTATTTTTGGGCTTGACTAATCTTCAAGGTAATTTTTCAATAATAATTTTGTTCTAATGGTGCCTTTGTCGTGTTTTTACATATGAAACAAAACACAGATAAAAAGAAACGGTTAACGTCAGCTGAGAGCAAATGCACTCATTCGCACACGATGGAAAATGGATTGAATTGAAGGCAAGATGTTTAAAACGCGTCAAATCAACCTAAACGATAACCAGTTGTCATTTGATTCGAGCCAAAGTGTTCCGAATCGAATATGATATCGATGAAATTAAGTTCAGCATTACGATTAACTATGTCAATGCGGTTAAAGTGAATACCAAATATTATGCATGACAATTGAATTACAATATTTTTGTCGCCTTGCAATTGCCTGCCAGTGTAAGCATAAGAATATTCATTTTTTTTATTTTTTCGTTGTAAAACTTGTTCAAAAACATGTGTAAATAAAATGCATACACTTTGACGTGTATTTTCCTACAATCATTGTAATTGATCCGATATATTTCGAGAATCCCTGAATCCCCTCCACACTTTCAATAAAAAACATCTCATTTTTCGATCTTATGATTATATAAAGGTAAGCCAACTTTAGCTAAGCTAACTCAGTTTATTGTTTTCATTCAACTTGTTAACATCATTTCGTAGCAAAATCAGATAGAATGCTGAAAGTGGTAAGTGAATATTATTGTGGATACAAGTTGCACAATTTATTGTCTTGATTTTATTTAATTATTTCTATAGCTTTTAGCGGTATTTGTGTTCGTTGGCGTTTCCTATGCTCAACTTTCACGGATTCAGCAATTTTCACAACTTCAACAACTACAACAGCTACAACAACTGCCTCAAGTTCAACAATTACCACAGCTTCAACAACTCTCACAGGTTCAATCAGTGCCATCACTTCAACAAGTTCTCATTCCAACGGGAGTTTCAACACAAAATATTCTTCGTAATGTTCAATCATCTCATCTACGTAACTTACCTACTAGCTTAATACAAGTACCAGCCAATACACTACTCTCTGATGGAAGTCGTACATATCTCGCTGCTCAAATTCAACAAAACCAAGCAAGTTCAAGCGATGACGAAGTTCTTCAATTTTTGGCTGATGTATCATCAAGAGGCAGACAGAATGCATTGAACTCGAATTTACTTCGATTATTTGAAAATCAACAAAGAAATAACAACGAAAATCGTAGATCCAGTCAAACTGTAGAAGATCTATTGCGTTCACGTAATAATAACAACAATGATGAAAACGACAACGGCTCAAACTTAAATCAATTGAATAATGTTCCACTTCTCTCATTGGTACATAATAACCGTGATGATGGCAACAATAATCGTGGCCAAAACCGCAACGATGAACGAATTAATAGTCGCAATCAGAATAATGGCCGTATTAATTTGAACAGATTGAGAGATCTCGTCCAAAACTAAACTTTTTTGGTATACTTAACGAATGACATATCGGCTAAAATGAATAACTAATAATTGATTCAACAAGTGTCTTACATCAAAATTCAGACATTTTCTTTTAATAAAAAACCATGCGTCAATGGAAAATTGGAAAGAAATATTTTGTCGAAGATTCCTTAAGGAATAACGAACAAAAAAAAAAATACTAACGATCACATTTTTAAATTTAGATGAAAACTGAAAGTATTTATTTTCAAATAAAACAGACTTCTGCAAATACTTAATATCTGCTCATTTTTTTCGGGCATCACTTTGAATTGACATTATTATTTGTTGGTTCTTTCCACTTTAAACTGTTTCTGCTTTCAAAACTTTGTCGATTAAATACACCTTTTTCAGCAAGCAGATTATCTGAGTAATTTGTCAGCTCGTACAGCTCATTCAAATGACAGTAATATAACTCTTTGGATTTATTGTAAACGGTAAGCGCATCACTTGAACAATTTGCATAATCTGTATCGGGAATATCTATAGCTAAAGAAAAAGAACTTTATAAAAATTTGGTAAGAAGATTCTCGGAACTAGTACTGCGTGGTACATATGAATTTGAACCTTCTATAAATGTACAATAATTGAATCAAAACCATAAAAATACTAATGTCAAGTGGTTGGTACAGGTGCAGAGAAAATGTGTGCATGACGATTGTGCCCAGCTGTAACGCACATTACAGCACATCGTAAAGCAAACGGTAAAATAAATATATACATAGTCTTGAATGTATTGGTATCGCACCCGAACAATCCATTGAGAATTGACGCTTTGATTTCGCCACTTTGATTTCGATTGCATGCAAATCTTTTAAGACCGCACGACGAGTTTGTTCGTTCGAAGTCAGTGAGATTGCAACATCTTTTCTAGGGTAGGTCAATTTTTTTTAAGTGCCGATATTAAAATGCTTGGGGTGGCTATGAGTACTACACCCAGAGGAAACTTTCTCTATCATTACTTTTTCTAAAGTGATCTCTCTGTCCGGGGAGCCGGTTTTGAAAGAAAAAAAAAACGATTTTGGCGAAAAATGTGACACATTTTCTGATTAAAATTTTGTTTCATCGAACGTATGTGACGATACACTTAGCAATCATATTCGTTAGCGTATACACAGACTCATATGCACGCAACGAAACATAACTCGTTGAATGCATGCGGCAACGTACATATGTATTACAAACATGTATCTCTTTTTTCACTGTGATGCATTTACTTCGATGAAACTAACACCAAAAATAGAGTTAAATAGAGTGTGTAACTCATTTTGAGGGGTAAAGCCTCTTCTAACACTGCAAGCGAGTAAGCGTACTCGAATACTTGTTTCTGTGTTTGTTAAATTGATTTGTTCAGCAATATGAACAGTGAACAATGGACAATAATTTCGTTATTAGCTTAATTTCTTACAAACAAACATGATGGTGTGCTGTAATGAATATTTCCGTGAATCCAGCATTTCAACGATCCGTTGAAGAAGAAGAAGCAGGAGGAAGAGATGAACCACCACCACCACCACCACGAGCTCGTGCAAGCTGCTCGATACAATCGAGTATGTATCAATTTCAATATTTTTCTTTTGAATTTATCAATCAACAAAGAACACAACGAACATTACGTTCCAATGTGGATCAAGTGCGAAGCTCTCGGCATTGGATTTTGGGCTAGATTTGGGTTTTGGTCCTACAATAGCTACTATAGTAAGTGCCAGTCAGTACTAGTTACTAGAATTTTCGTACTAAATTGCAATTTAGTTTTCATATTACTAATATTGAGTTTATTTCTATTTACAGATCAAGATCATTAGTTTGCGGAGAAGATCATTATTTATTTTGTTTGTAGATAC